TATACCTTTCGTAGGCCCTAGGCACACCGTTTTTGGGCCTTCCCCCACTCCTCCCCTCTTTTCAAAATATATGCTAAAATTTTCTTGCATATTTTTTTTTTTTTTTTTACATTTTTATTAATATGGATTTCAATTTAAAAATTTGTTTATCGAACTTTATCTGCAATTCGACAGCATAATACAATATTTCGTTAAATCCAAAAAAGTAATATCTTAGATCATAAGATTCTGCAAAAAAATTTATTACCGAAAAATATTATTTTTTTATTTGTATCTTCATAATTTTGTGCAAAATACACCTGTTGTTTTTAAAGCTAAATTATTTTTGTCAACAAATTTTTTTCTCCCAAGTTTTTCGTAGGCCCTAGGCACGTGCCTATAGGTTAATCCGGCCCTGACAATAAGTGTTCAAAACAGTGGATGGCAGCGGCTATGCTGGTACAACGGCGAAGAAAAGATAGGCGAAATTTCCCTGCAGTGGCCGAAAGCTTGGCGACAAATAACGTAGTGCAGTAACTCGCAATAGGAATGGAGCTTTCTCGTTTGCATGAAAAAACTTTCCAAATGCGCAGCACCTTTGCGTTTTGTTTTCGACCATGCATTCTTTGATAAAAATTGTTTGTCTAGGTGTGTACTATCACTTCCTAAAATTTCCACCATCTTTTTAGAATCACCCTGTATGTATATATATGTATATTGCATTTCATTCTTTTTACTGTTTTATTGTAAATAATGGTGCTTACTAAAAATTTGGCATTTTATTATATTATAGAAATCTTTTAAAGTTATTATTTGCCATGATTTTAAATAAGAAAAAATTATTTCATTATTCGAAATTTAAGCGCTATTTTTTTAAGAATATTTTAAGAATTTGTATGACAATTATATTAAATAATTTGAGAATTAAGTTTACTATCAACTCAATATAAAATATCATAAAATGTGTTATTTCTTAGTTTCCTAGTAAATTTTAATCTGAATTATTTTTATGCGATATTTCATTAAGGTTCACTTTCATTATTGGTTCTTCTATCATTTATATTGAAATGCATGAAATTTAAACTTCTGCTATAATTTTTAAAAAATCTTTTTATTTATGAGCTTGAAGAATATAATTAGTTAATGTTCATGCAAAGTTTATTTCCTGTTTATAATATTGTTATTTATGTTTAAATTTTGACTGCGACTTTATTACTTTTATTTTTTGTTCGATTTATTAAGTTTTTCTTCGATAGTAACTTTTATGTCTGAATAAAATTTGAATACAAAAAACTACTAAGTATTTAAATTTGCAATCCTTTTAAATTCAATCACAACTGTGTATAGAAAGAAAATCTTTCGTGCCTATAAATTGACTTGTTTTGGTGATTTTTAAATTTTTATTTAGGCTTGAATTCTCAATTGTTTCCAGTGTCAAATTTTTAACAATAGTGGTAAAAAATCTCTCCTGTAAGGCATAGTGTAGTTATTTCTCTTAAATTCTTTCTATCGAAGTTATTTTTCTTTTAATCCTTGTCAAATTTGCCGTAAACTAATAATTTGATAAACAAATACTTATGATTTATATTTTAAAAGTATTATTGGTGCTTGTTTGTCTTTAGAAAAGTTATTTTCTCACTTTTTAATTGTTGTTTATTACAATTGTTTAATTTTTAACAGCCGTTTAAATTTCTTACTATCATTTCGACTGTTTACAATTTTATTTCTCAAATCTTAATGGCATGTTCATAGCATTCCTGTAAAACATGTAAATGTGTCAAAACCATTTAATTCTTGTATTTAACTTAATGTGTTATCATGTCAACTATCTCGTTAATTGCATGTTAACTGTCTCTTGCACGATTAATGTTTCCAACTAAAACAATACATTCAAATTTTTGTATGCAGATTATTTTTACTAATAATAGTTCTGTAGTGTGTTTCAAATATTGATCGACAAATCCGTGAGGTGATCAAAGACATTGTAAGATTCAAAACTTATATTGCATGGAGCCGATAAGAACCATAGAAAACAGTGAAATTCGCGGAAAAAAAACGAAAACCTATGTTCTGAATTTAGAAGAGATAAATTAGTAGAGGTCAGTTGAAGTTTGTCTTACTTAAATTAAGCATTAATTGTTATTTTGACAAGACATCAAAAATACTCCTGGCATCTTCTAGTGTGTTCGGAAATCGATTTTACGTCATTGTCATCATTGCGTCATTGTCATCAATCGATTTTACGTCATTATCAGCAGGTACTACTTTAAGCAGCTGTTGCATTAATTAGTCAAATACATGGTTTAGGACTAGATGTTAATCCCCATGGTGCCTTTTTCATTCCTTTGCATTTGTTGTTCGAATTGCAGATCATTCTGCATTATTACAGGATATTATTGTAGAAAAATCTGTTTATACTTTTCTCTGTGCCTTTTATAAAATGTTCTATTTAAACAAGTGGATTTCAGAGTTCGCTTTTCAAATTCTTATTTGATTCATTTACTTTATAATTAAATACTAAACTAGAAACTAAATGCTGTATAATATACGAGGGTTGTAAATTAAATAGTGGCAACTTAACGTTGAAACTCACAGAAGGGCGGGCATGCGCAAATAGGATATGGGAGCGGTGAGGTGGCGCTGTTGTCGATGTGTAGAGTGTAAAAAACAGTCGATCTGCTTAGAAGGGTAGTTGTTGTGTGGCGTTAAAGTGAGGAGTTCCGTTTCCTTCTCTCTAATGCATGTTTTCAAAAGGTTTAATGACGAAAAAAGACGAGATGCTTGAAAACATCGTGCTACTGTCCTATGCGGAAAAGCATTTGCGCCACAAGCTTCCACTAATCCTCGATAGCATTCTGTTGCATTTTTGCCACGGGCAACCTCGATTTTAAGGCACGACCGCTGATCACCTTTTGAAAACATGCTTTACAGCGATGGAAACGAAACTCCTCACTTTAACGCCACACAACAACTACCCTTCTAAGCAGATCGACTGCTTTTTGCACCCTACACCTCGACAACAGCGCCACCTCACCGCTCTCATATCCTGTTTGCGCATGCCCGCCCTTCTGTGAGTTTCAACGTTAAGTTGCCACTATTTAATTTACAACCCTCGCAGAAAAAGTGGATATTGTAGTCTGATAATGAGTGACATTTTGTTTAGGGCACACCTAGAACTTACTGGTAATTTGGCAAAAAAAATAAAAAAATGAAAGTTATATTTTTTAAAAACAAATCTGGAAAATCATATAATCAGTGTTAATTGTAAGTAGCCATTAAGATTCAAATACAGTAAAACCTCGCTACAACAATATTTTGGGGACCAAATAAATATATTGCTGTAGAGGGATATATTATTATATCTAGGGCCTGCATACTTTGGGGACACAATAAGATTTTTTTTAAATTTTAATGTTATGTATGTATTAACAATAAATATATTTATATATTATATTAAAATTTAGTTTGCAGAGTGGTAATTATGGTTAAAAATGAAATCAGATAGAAATGTTACACCTGTGACTTCTTAAGAGATAAGGAAGGCAATTCTAAGAATGGAAAGTCTTGGGGTGGTCTATGTACATGGAGGATGGGGTATTGAAATTGGAATACAAAAGCCATTCACTATCAGGGATCTGTCCAGACATTTTGTGAAAGGTCCGTTTTTGTAAAATTGTGAAAAAAATTACTCGTAATTTGTGAATATAAAATAAACGCTAAGTCACATTCTTTCAACCAGGGTCCTGCTTTTGTGAATTTGTAACAAATAGGGTCCTGTTATTGCAAAAAACTTTTTCAAGGAGTTTTTAAATTGTAAAGAGATACAAGATTGTGCTCAACACTGTAAAATTATAATAAAAAAAATTTATTTGTAAAAAATAAACAGCAATTGTAGCTACTAAATTAGCGATGCAACATACAAATATTTGGTATTTAGCCAATACTGCTGAACGTAGAATATTCATTTCGGACGAATAAAGGAAGAAGTGTCTGCCGAAGACAAAATTTAGTTCGTTTTCACCTGTCTTTCTCCCCCCCTTCCTGGGAAGGGTTTATTCTATTAACAAAACAATAATGAAGATAAACAAATTTGTGAAGGGTCCGATTAAGAGATAAATTATTTTGTGAAGGGTCCGTTAACGGACCCAAATTTCTTCTAAACAGACCCCTGATAACTATGGTGAAAAGAAATTCGATAAGCACATAATCAGCAGTGAGACTTCTCCTGTTAGACAAAAATATCAAAATGTGATAAAATAAGTTGATATAATTAAAAACCAATAATAAATGGGGAAAATAAGGTTGAAATTTGAAGAAGAAAAATAGTTTTACAGGGGTCTATTGCTTCAGAGATTATCGTGATATTGAGAGATGGATAAAAATAATTCATACGCAATTTCGTCGAGACCACGAAACATTATTGTAATAGAGAGAGTTGTTGTATCGGATATCGTAGTAGTGAGAGTTCACTGTATAATATTTGCATATACAATTTATTTCTCACAAAACACAGATTTCACCTACATTTACAGTATAAACTTTACCTGAAGTTCATAGTTGAAGACAAAGTTTACTCTGAAAGGGTAAATTATAAATAAAAACTTTGTTGGCTTTGAGGAGAATGATTCATAAAGTATGAGAGTTCTATCTCAAAATTTAATTTTAAAAAAATGGTTCGGTACAGTTAGGTGATGTAATTTATGGGCGTTGTTATTGCTGCTCAACTAATTATGCAATAAATCTGTATTTGCATATCAGAGAACACTGTACATAGTTATTTCTATTTTTCAATGATTATTGCTATAAGCTTTTTTAAACCATTTCTCAAAAGCTTAGAACATGATATTGATGCCTTCTGTAGATGGTTGTGTCAATCAAAAATACTAAGAGTACAAGAATGAGGTTTCTAAATTAAAATAACTTTAAACGGCTGAACCATTATACTGTAAAAAAAATAAAAAATTATTATAACTAATTGCAATAAATAAAGTTACTCAAAGAATGAACGAAAATTCGGAGAGTTATTAGGGTAAGGAAAAATTTTATTACCAAAGTTACAAGATAAAATTTTCCCACCAATGTGAGAGTGACTCTTTTTAGTTAAGATTATTTTTTTTTTTTTTTTTTTGAAGAGCTCTTTATGCATACAAGAATACGGTTTCTCACCAATATGAACATGCTTGGGCACAATCAGAATAATTATCTGGGAAAAACTATTATTATATTTATTACAAGAATAAAATTTCTCCACAGTATGAAAAACCCTTTGTCAGCTGACTCTTTGTTGAAAAACTCATATTTTAAATGCTACAAGAATAAATTACTCATCAGTATGCAGACAACTGTGCACAGTCAGACTAGTCCTTCTTAAAAAAAATTCTTATAGATTACAAGAAAAAAGTTTTTCTCTAGCATGAACAAGACTGTGCTCGGTCCATTTATCCTTCCTTGAAAAACTCTTGTTGCATATACTACAAAAATATGGTTTCTCACCAGTATGAATACAATGGTGTCTTGTCAGATCACTCTTCTGTGAAAAACTTTTATTACATGTACTACAAAAACAAGATTTTTCACCAGTATGAATACAATGGTGTTTCGTGAAATTACTCTTATGTGAAAAACTTTTATTACATATACTACAAGAATAAGGTTTTTCACCAGTATGAATACGATGGTGTTTTGTCAGAGTACTCTTCTGTGAGAAACTTTTATTACATATACTACAAGAATAAGGTTTTTCACCAGTATGAATACGATGGTGTTCGGTCAGATTACTTTTACGTGAAAAACTTTTATTACATATACTACAAGAATAAGGTTTTTCACCAGTATGAATACGATAGTGTTCTGTCAGATCACTCTTCTGTGAAAAACTTTTGTAACATATACTACAAGAATAATGTTTCTCACCAGTATGAATACGATGGTGTTTTGTCAGATTACTCTTACGTGAAAAACTTTTATTACATATACTACAAGAATAAGGTTTTTCACCAGTATGAATACGATAGTGTTCTGTCAGATCACTCTTCTGTGAAAAACTTTTATTACATATACTACAAGAATAAGGTTTCTCACCAGTATGAACACGATGGTGTTTTGTCAGAGTACTCTTCTGTGAAAAACTTTTATTACATGTACTACAAGAATAAGGTTTCTCACAAGTATGAATACGATGGTGTTTTGTCAGATCACTCTTCTCTGAAAAACTTTTATTACATGTACTACAAGAATAAGATTTCTCATCAGTATGAATAAGATGGTGTTTCCTCAGAGTACTCTTCTCTGAGAAACTTTTATTACACGTACTACAAGAATAAGGTTTTTCACCAGTATGAATACGATAGTGTTTTATGAGATTACCCTTCCTTGAAAAACTTTTATTACATATACTACAAGAATAATGTTTCTCTCCAGTATGAATACGATGGTGTTCCGACAGATTACTCCTCTGTGAAAAACTTTTATTACATATACTACAAGAATAATGTTTCTCACCAGTATGAATACGATGGTGTTCCGTCAGATTACTCTGTGAAAAACTTTTATTACATATACTACAAGAATAAGGTTTCTCACCAGTATGAACACGAGCGTGCACAGTTAGGCTACTTCTTTTCGAAAAACTTGTTTTACACAAACTACAAGAAAAAGGCTTCACACTAGAATGAACAAAACTGTGCTCGGTCAATTTATCCTTCCTTGAAAAACTCTTACCACATATACTACAAGAATAAGGTTTCTTACCCGTATGAACACGACTGTGCATAGACAGTCTGCTAGTTCTTGTAAAACTCTTATTACATATGCTACAAGAATAAGGTTTCTCTCCAGTATGAAATAGAAAATGTTGAGTAAGTTCAACCTTTTGTACAAAATCTTTATTACAAATACGGCATGAATAAAGTTTTTCACCAGATTGCACACGACTGTACTCTGTCGAATTACTCATTTGAGAAAAACTTTTATTGCTTAAACAATATGAATAAGATTTTTTTAACAGTATGGGTAAGATAGTGTACCGTTAAATTTTCCGTAATTGAAAAACTTTAACATAAACTATTTAAAAAGGTTTCTCACCAGGATGAACACGACTGTAACAAAAAGCTTTTATAACATATGCACAACAAAAATACGTATTTTCCCCTGTATGAATAAGATTGTGCCCATTCAGATAATTATTCTGTGAAAAACATTTATTACAAGTACTACACATTAGTATGAATATGAATGTATCAAGTAACTTGACCTTTTTGTGTAGAACTCTTATTTCCAGAAATGTAAGCTTTCTTAATAGCATAAACCCTAGACCAAAGCAAGTCACTGTCTAATTAAAAATTTATATTCTATATAATCCCACACTGTATTAACCAGTGTATAGATAAATTATCTTTTTAAAGAGATTTATACAGCAATTTTTAAAAAATTAAAACTGATTTGTGTTTAATTAAAAATTGATTTTTTTTTAATAACTACAATTATAACTTCACAAGAATGTTTCTCTGTAGAATGGGTTATGGAGTTACTGTTAGTTTCTAATATTACCAGCCTATCTATTAAAAGGCTGTGGAAGCAAAGAACAGAAGTAAAGTTATTACAAATAGATGAAAGTTATACAATGGTATTAATAAAGAACACCAAGGAATTATTGCATTTAAAATACCATGGAGAATTATCATAGTCTGATTAGATAAATAAAAATGTCTTCATTCACGTGGGTGGTGGAAACAAATTTTAAGATCACCTTTTCTTGGCTACAATCTTCAAGTGCTATGAAACTCAAGAGCAATGCCTCCCAATTCAAATCGCAACCTTTGGGGGAGAAAAGAGAAAAAGTTTTTCATTAACTTCATTGCATATATTCTATTATAACTATGAAAGTAAAATATTTAAATCATGTCAATCAATATAATAAAATTCTGTCTATGGACAAAGAAAAATTGAACAGTTTAAGCTCAGTAAATATATACAGTAGAGCGCCGATTATCCGAACCCTTATTATCCGAACGTCCAATTATCCGAACTATGCCTGAATTCGTTTCTTTCTTTCTTTTTTTTTAAAGTTTAGACTATTTTTTAAGATCTTGACAATTTTTCTAAATTAAGAAGAATAAATAATATCCCTTACATCCGAAGACCATATTTAATTTACAACTTTTTTAGTAGTTTTCTTAGAGCAGCCATACATACATGTATGGTGATACAGTTATACCTACCTACCCCTTTACAACTGAAAATTAACTTCCAAGAATGCGAGCTTCATTTTGATAGTCTACAATGGTTGGAATGCAGAAAGAGTTTATGAATAGATAAGTGCTGAAGTTTTATAATTGGGAAATGGGTAGTTGTCACTTATGTTTAATGATTAGTGATTACAGTGCTTGGAATAATAAATCTTGGAATAAAATTCTTAACAAAAAAACTGAAGTTTCTGAACTAGTAGATCTTTCGGATGAAAATGATGAAATTGTTGATTTTGAACGAAAATCGGAACTCCACAGACGAAGATGAAGAAGTAAGTGATCAAGTTCAAGATAGAAGCATGCGATTCATTAGATATTGCAATGAATTGGCTAGAACGTCAAAATGATGCTGATCCAGTTTATTTAAAAAGAATAAGGGATATATGGCTGCTAAAAAAACGCATCTTCTTTGAAACGAAATCTTTGCTGGATTTCATTTTCAATGGAAAATAATGAAAAATGTGGTAAAATCAGTAATTGACCAAAAAAATTATAAAAAACTGAAATATGATAAAAATAATTGAAAATGAAAAAAAAAGTTTAAAAAAAAGTTAATTAAAAATATTTAAAAATTGAAGAAAAAAAAACTTTTAAACACGCCAAAGCTATTTTAGATAGTACTACCAGTCCTAAGCCTACAAAAGGTGCGATGGAAAGTTAGTGCATAAATAATAATCATGTACACTAGGTTTTAAACAGTTTTCCAATTATCCGAACTTTTCATTATCCGAACCATGTTCGGTCCCGAGCAGTTCGGATAATCGGCGCTCTACTGTATAAAATATAAAAAAATTTGCCACTAATTAGAAAGACCAGTATCTAAAAAGTTATATTACTAGCCCATTCACATTTCCCCTATTCTTTTTACATGCTTTTATAAGATTTGCTTTAAAAAGGTTAAGTGAATTTAAATGAAAAATTACAATACAAAAATGAACAAGGTTATAATTATGCTGCAATATGCTACTTTGTAACAAAAACACAGATGAAGGCAAAAATAGCCCACCATTCATTTACTCTGATTGCTACTGCGAGGGATCACTGGTGATATAGTAGTATCCTAGTCCAGATCAAATTTCAGTAATGTATATATACCAGGGTTCGCCAACCCACTTTGAAAAAACCCGCCCGGGCTTTATTGGGTGGGCCCACCTTGAAAAAATTCACAAATTGGTTTTTTGAAATTAGGTTGAAAAAGAAGTATCTCCTAATACTATCACTGGACACAGCGTGGAAGTTACAAATATTTAAGAAATGTGCATCAAGCACATGGATGGGCAGATGAAAAAACTGCTTGATGCCCCAATTACTAAAAGTTCATATTGTGACCATGTAAAAACTTATGCCAATAATTACCATAAATATGAAGATATTGCTCTTGAACATCAAAATGAAGAATATAATGTGTCAAAAATATTAAATAATGTTGGGCTTTACCAATAAATTATCAATTTGGAAAAGCAGACATCAATTGTTTCTGAAGCTTTAAAAAAGCTTCAGTCAGAAAAAATTTAATTTCAGAAGCTGTTGAAATATAAATTAACTTACTATCGTGGGATGAATTAGAACCCCATAAACATTTTGTAAAAAGATTCCATCAGGCTGTTCAGCCACCTCTTTTATTAGCCTATGTATCCTGGATCCCGAAACAAGGGGACAGTTTTTAAATGATGAACAAGAGCAAATAGCAAAAAACTGTCTTTCTAAGCATCATCCAGAATTTCTGCCACATGTTATGGTATCCAAAATTTCCAATCGTGAATACTTTCCAAAATCAATGATGTTGACACTGTTGATCAACAGTTTTCATCAAAAAAAAAAAGTGGAAAGTTATGGCAAAAAAAAAAATCCAAGCTTCCACAAAATTTCTGCCAATCCTTTTTTCTTTACACTCAGCACCAGTATCCCCTGTCTCTATCAAAAGACACTTTTCAACTGACAATTTGGTGTGCAGTAAACTACGAAATAGATTAGGAATAGATAAAGCTACAAAACTCGTAAAAGTGTATCACCATCTAAGAGAGAAATGTAGACACTCTGCTGTATGATAATAATAATAAATTGACTTTTTTTTAAAGTTAACTCTTGACATCTGCTGACAATTTTTAACTATTTGGTGAATTATCACCATTAAAAACAGTTAAAAATTAAAATATTACTTTTAAGATTTTTTAAATATTATTTTTTAAATATTATTTCATTTCAATATAATTTATTTTGTTTCCTTTAATCATGTTAAAAAAAATTGAAAACAAAAGAAAGAAAAAATTTCTATTTAGGGATACATTAAACAACAATTAACAAATTAAAAGTTTTATTTACTAGTTTTAAAAAAATAACTTTCGAACTTTAAATAAAACCTTTTATACATGCTTTTTTATAATTTTAAGATTAATTTGTTTTTAGAAATTATAAAAGTAAAATTTATCTAAGAATGCAGTCTTTTTTCTAAGGTTAAATATATGAAAAATGGGACAAGTAACCGATACTCCTTATAATTATACGTAATTTTAATTTCACTTTCTATTAATCGTATTATAAAAACATGGAAGACCATTAAATATTTATTCCAGTTCAATTTTATTAAAGATAAAAGTCAAATGAAGTTTTAGTATTTACTGATTATATATATATATATATATATATATATATTATAGTGCTTCAATTAAAAATTGTGAAATTTTGTGTATTTAACAATAAAGATTCCATCATGTATTAGTGATAGTGCATTATTTAAACATATTTTAATTTTATTATACATATTTTACTTAATTTTTTGGATTTATCTCTATTTTTAAGCTTATACGACACTATTTAATAAATAAAAATATTTTCACAGTAAAATTTTTAAGTTCATGAGCCATAAATGAAAAAAACTAATTTTCCCCGGGGTTTTTCAATAAAACCCGGGCAGGTTGACCCAGTGTTTTCACTACAGCGTGAGAACCTCGCTTATTTTTTCTTTTCTCGCATTAAAAAATTATTAACGCAAGAAGATCGCACTCTCTATTAATCAATTTCAAAATGCGCGAATCTTGGAAAAAAATTCTTCTTCTGCCATTTTGAATAAAATCCGTTTCACTTTTCTTCCTTGATCTTTCAATATTTCCAACATCGATCCTTGTTATCTAGCTTCCCTACTTACCAGTATTGTTCAGAACCGGTGCGAACAGCAGAACACAATCAGGGGTCTGTCCAGACATTTTGTGAAAGGTTCGTTTTCGTAAAAATTGTGAAAAAAATTACTCGTAATTTGTGAATATAAAATAAACGTAAAGTCACATTCTTTCAACCAGGGTCCTCTTTTGTGAATTTGTGCAAATAGGGTCCGTTATAGCAAAAAAACTTTTTCAAAGAGTTTTTAAATTATAAAGACATACAAGATTATGCTCAACACTGTAAAATCATAATTAAAAAAATTAAATTTTAAAAAATAAACAGCAATTGCAGCTACTAAATTAGCGATGCAACATACAAATATTTGGTATTTAGCCTATACAGCTGAACGCAGAATATTCATTTCGGACGAATAAAGGAAGAAGCGTTTGCCGAGGACAAAATTTAGTTCGTTTACATTTGTCTTTCTCCCCCCCCCCTTCCTGGGAAGGGTTTATTGATTAACAAAACGAAATGAAGATAAACGAATTTGTGAAACGTCCGATTAAAAGATAAATTATTTTGTGAAGGGTCCGTTTTTAAGTTATAATATTTTGTGAAGGGTCCGGTTTTATGAAAAGATATTTTGTGAAGGGTCCGTTAACGGACCCAAATTTCTTCTAAACAGACCCCTGACAATTGCCCCCCCCCCCGAAAGACAGAACATCTTTCAGAACACATTTCTCTGCAACCACGTGTTCACCGAAGGTAAGATTTCTTCATGTAAGACGTTTAAATTTTTTTCAATGCTGCAAATTTACATAGTGATTCCGAATTGTCCAGCATCTGTAGCAAGGTCATTAAGCACTGAAAACCGGATTAAGACAAAATATCGTATACAAAAGACTGATAAACATTTGAGCAACCTAATGAGAAAAGCTGATGAAAAAGTAGATATAAAACGTTTTCCATATGATGATGCAGCAAAAATATTCAATGCTTTAAAAATTAGAAGATGTTAAAAATGTATTACAATTAAAGAAATATTTTTTTAAAAGTCTATTCGTGTTTTTTTAATTTTTAGAAATCTCTCTTAACTTTTTGAGATCGCACCCTGTTTTTGAGAAAGGGTGAGAAATTCTCTCTCATTTTTTTTTTCTGTAATGAAAACACTGATTCACAGTAGTACGGTTTGGACCAGGTCCTGTTCATTTTTTTCCCTAAGTATTTTTTGGAGATCAGCTCACCCTGCCTGTTCTCGGATTCCAATAAATGCGCCCTTCTTGGACATTTCGAGAAAATAAGTAAAAGATAAGTATAAGATGCTCCAAGGGGGTGGGGGGAGAAAGACAGATGTAAACGAACTAAGTTTTGTCTTCGTCAGACGCTTCTTCTTTTATTTATTCGAAATGAATATTCTGCATTCAGCAGTATAGGCTAAAAACCAAATATTTGTATGTTGCATCTCTAATTTAGTATCAGCAATTGCACATTATTTTTTAAAATTTAATTTTTTTTATTATAATTTTACAGTTTTGAGCATAATCTTGTATGTCTTTAAAATTTAAAAGCTCCTTGAAAAAGTTTTTTTGCAGTAACGCACCCTATTTGCACAAATTCACAAAAGCGGACCCTGGTTGAAAGAATGTGACTTAACGTTTATTTCATATTCCCAAATTATGAGTAATTTTTTCACAATTTTACAAAAACGGACCTTTTACAAAATGTCTGGACAGAGCCTTGAAATCAGAATCGCAGCAAACAATCTCTTTTAGCAAAATTATAAATACTTATAACTTTTAAAACTTTTTACTAATTTGAATATTGATATTTTTGAGATCAACATTAAAAATCTTTTAGTTGGACAAATATACCTCAAACGGGGTTGCCACTCAAATCTATAAAAAAAATTCAGTGTGTTTTCCTTGTACATGTTATACAGAATATATAAAGAGGAAAAACACAATCACTGTGCAATTGTATGAGCTGTATTAGACTAGTAACTATACTATTTATAATTGCTGGAAAAACTTAAGGAAAAAAGGAACAGCTAAACATACTTAAAACAAATAATGTTACAAAAATGAACTAGTTTAATATAGTTGAAATATCCTTAAATATCCCATAAAATGCACTTTGTGTAATTACTCTGTTTTTAAAAGATGAAAATAAGAAGTTCCCAGCACATTCCTTGTTGTTTAGGTGGTTTTTAAATTCCCTGCATTTTCCAGGTTTTCTGAGTTGTCCCTGTAGAGTGGCAACCCTGTCAAAACCTGAGATAGAAAGGTACCATTTTTGAAAAACTTTATATGATTTGATTTGGAAGAACCCCCCAAAAAGGTCTTATATCATAATTCCTATAGAAACATAATTCTTAGAGTGAATATATATAATAAACTGGGGGGATTTCCGTAACGTGATTTGTGGCAGAATAATTGTCAACTTTTAAATGCTTAAAAAAACTCTTAAACTTGGTATTTTTTATTTTAACATATTGAATTATATACCAGGCATGAATACTCACCCTACTTTTATTATGTAGATGATATTGTTTCCTTATTTTTTCTTTACGTATTAATAAGATTTTCTTTCAGTACGAAGAAGATAAAGTCATTAATTAATTTATGAAAATTTGCTTTTTACTTAGCACTCTCATTCAGAAAGTTACCAACATGGAGTCTAGAATCCATGGTTACCAATCAGAAAGTTTTTAAATAATGGCGGCTATTGTGCATTTTTAGAGCTCTCTGCAGTATTTTGCTTATAGCTCGCTTTTCAATTACGTATAAAGATTGTTTGCGATTTCAACGCGCCACCTGGGGAGAAGACCGGATCCATGTCTTAACCCTCTCTTCCTCTTTTTCGTTGAATCGGAGTGTGCTTCGATATTTTCCCTCTTCTTAACTTTTTGGCATTTAACTGTCTCAAATATTTTTTAAAATTTCGTTGACGCATTCTTTTAGAGCTATGTTCAATATACTTTTCAGTTCTATATAGTTATCCTGACTTAAAAGTTTTTAATCTATTTGAAAAGCAAGAGAGAAACTGACGTACTTCAACACACTCTAATGGTGAAAGCATATAAAGTGTTACCATTGGTATGAGTGATGAGAAAGACAGAGCCCCAATGCCAAGTTATGTTCTAAATATAGAGCGCTGCTGGATCTGTATTTAACGAACTTCTAGTTAATTAGCCATTTTATTTATAAACGATCTACGTTGACGTCATAGGTCATGTGTGTGGGTATCTGTGATTTTCGTCTTCTTCTTGAAATGCAAGTTTCCAATTAAAATCATTCCATACTAAAGGTAAGAAACAATCTGAAAATTAATATTTGGTTTAGAATTTTAATTTGGTTTAATTTTTTTGAAACAGAACTTAACATTTGTAATTAAAGTGTTTCACTGATTTCAAATGAAACTAAACATTTATTCTAAGAGAATTAATTTATTGACGATCCTTCTAATAATCATTTTAAAAATTCTCTGATACTTGGATTGGATTATTCGCTTTTTGCTAAATCGATCCCGGTAATCACGAACCTCAAGATTTCTACTTTTTACTTAAAAGTCACTGTGCTAATTTTAAGTACTTGCACTTAATTTTTTCATTTATTTTCAATAACTATTCATTTTGCATAAAAGTGATAACTAAGAGCTGTTCTTTTTACTCAAAAATATAGTCTTAATTTAGAACTCATTTTTTTTTACTCATTATTTTAATATTATGATTATTTCATTTCACTCGTTAATTTTCAAGAAACTGTTCATTTTGGTTAGAATACTTAATTCTTATAACTTAGAATAATTTATTTACTTAAATGTTAAAATTTTGCTTTTTTTGCTCTTTAATTTGCATCAACTGTTCTTTTTACTTCCAAAACATAACTTTTAATTTCAAAAAAAGTTGTTTTTTACTCGTTAATTTTCAAGAACCGTTATTTTTACTTACAAATCTTATTATTAAATCTTACTTACAAATCTTATTTTTACTTACAAATTTATTTTTAAGCACTTGCTCGTGTTTGATGGGATACCTGCAAATCACGTAATGTGGGTACCTTGATAATGATTCTTTGTTGAAACGTTGCATTTGTTTACATTAGCAACTTTCTTTTCATTTTATTTCGAGTAAGCCAAGCCTGTCAAGTATCAGTTTTCTTAAGTGACACATTCTATATTCTTCACTATATTTCTTACTAAACACAAAGATAGGCACGAAGCCAAGTAGAACACAGCCAGATAGCAAAATAAGGTTTATTTTCACTCAGGAAAAACCTTTTAATGTAAACCTAAAATGATTTTTTGTTCGATTTACGTGTAAACCTTCTAACCTTAAAACGAGATCTGTGACAATCTGCTCTATTCTACGCACATTACCCTAATACAAAACCTTGGAATACAGCCTTTGATATGAAAATCTTAAATTGAGGTTGTCTTAGTATGGAAAAATTCTTGAACAAAGATAGTCTTATGTGAAAATTAAGTCTATCTAATTATAAAGTTTCTTTTAGCAACGTCTCGTATGCTCAGCTGAAATCCACCTTATCATGAAATTTCAATGGACAATGTGATCAATCCCATCGCTCGTGTGATGATAGTTAAATCCTAAGAGACAATACTTTTTTTTTTTAAAAAAAAGCTTTAAAAATAATTTTTAATCCTTTTAGAATGAAAGGCTTGAAACTACAATAATTTTTCTTTATTGAAAAAAGGTTTTCAGAGTAAAAATTTTCGTGACAATATAAAGAAAATTCTGACATAAGGTCACATGCTTTCTGGAATTATAACTCTTTTTCTAGGTTTGTTGATATTTTTAAAAGGGGTTCTGCAAATTTGGCCGACCTTTGATAATTTACTCATTATAATGATGGAAAGCGCTTTGTTGTAATCATGAGAAACCCTTATTCGTAATTTAGAGGATATGCCTATAATTTTTTTTTTCAATTGAAATGATGGGGGGGGGGGGAATTTGCTAAAATTGACTTTTTTCAATATATATATAGGTGCTTTCTCGCATTTTGTAGGCGGAAAAAAGGAACTAATTATTTCCTCTTTCAAATTTTGTAAATCATTACAAAAATTAAAATTCATAAAATCCGTGCAGTAACACCAAAATAAAGATTTACGACACAAAATAAAATAAAGACGAAATCACACGAATAGGACTCTTTAAAAAATAGATACTCAAATAAGAAAAAAAATGAAAGAAGGATACTCTTTATGAAAGATATTCTTTATGGATGATGCTCTTCAAAGAAAAAAAAATGAAAGAAAGAACATTTCTAGAATGAACTATCTTTTAAACTTTCGTGATTTCTGAATTTTTTATTTAATATTTTTAATTTGAAATTCTAGCTGAAGCTCATCATTACAGTTTTTTTTCTAAAATCCAAACTAAGAATAGAAAAACCACGATTATTTCTTTTCTCTCTGATGCACAAGAAATAAATCTTTGAAAAAAAAAACATTTTTCGACAAATAATGCAGAAAGGAAAACCAAAATTTTCCCCCACCCAAATGAAAAATCTTTCTGTAAAAGCGTGGCAACAATGTCACTGCAATTCTGCCAACTGGGGGAGAGACATGTATCTCTCTGGATGATTGTACAATGATGAATCATTTTTGAGACTGGGCATCAGTGAGACTAATGGCATCATTCCTTTACTGAGTCCTTAAAGCAGAGATGATTGTGCTCCGGAAAAAGTCTGGATTTTTCGCTAAACCTGATCCAGAAATTTTCGGAAATCTAAGGTACAGAAGTTTCAAGAAATCATCGATCAAATTTATGTATAAAAATTCTTGTATTTTTCATTTAAAATATCAGAACAAGCATCAGAATGGCATCATAAAATATCAGAATGGCATCTCTTTCTTTTATAAAAATTTTTTCTGGTAGAATAATAAATGTGATTACATCAATGATTGAAATTTATAAAGATATAAATTTTTTGAAATGCGTCATTAATGATTTCACTCAAGAAATTTTCAAGATTTTTGAGTTTGGCCAGAAAAATTAAAATTTTATAATTTTTTTTAAATGACTTATTTTAAAAATGTAATATTTAAAAACGAAATTGAAATAAAGACATATCTTTCTTGAAAAAAAAAAGACAACTTGGCTGACTAAAAATTTTATTCTATATAATATGCTCAGATTTTATTATACAGCTAGTCTAAATAGGAGAACCTGCATAAATGAAGTTCAACTTCTTTAAAAATAACAAATGATAGCTGTTACAGATAAAAAAAAATAAAAATATTATTGAAAATTAAAGCTTAACATAGAAAAAATTATCAAGGTTTCTCACATAAGGTGTGGCTAGGATATGTAAAAAACTTTAAAAATTGATATTTATAATTGGGAATAGGAATATATAACTTTTGTGGGAGAAAATGTAGCAGGGCATATTTTTGAAATTAAGAAGAAAAACAAAATAATAATGGCTTTTTTTTTGGTGTAGCAAAATAATTTTACGAGTTATTTAATTGTAAAAAGAAGCAAAAAATTTTTATAGTTAAAGGAAACATTAAAAATCGATATTTATAATTGGGAATAGGCGTCTTAACCTCCTTTACCTGCGTCAGTGCTTTTATGTCTGAAACATTTATTGTACATACAGCATGAATAAGGCTTTTCTCCTGCATGTAAAAGATAATGCCTAACTAAACTGATTTTAAGACTGAAATATTCACCACAAACACTCCCTGAGAAAGATTTTTTGCTATTAATCAAGTAATATTCAATTAAGCTACTTTTTCAAGTGAAATTTTTATCACATTCATTACAACATTACATGAATAAGGTATTTCTCAAACATGAATGAGTGTATTTTTAAATTGGATTTCCATGTGAACTTTCACTATCACTAAAGTAATAAAGTTCCTCTCCAGTATGCGCAAAAATTGTCTATTTAAATCAGATTTTTAAGTGAACATTTTAATACTTACAGTGCATGAATAAGGTTTTTTTTTTCAATTATGAACAAGAGAATATTTATTCAAACTCTTTTTATGTCTCAAAGATTTATCAAACATCCCTGTAGCAGAATTTTTTCGAGCTATCTGCGACAAAACTCTCCAGCACTAATATCTTTCTGCAAGATATTTTTAATAATAACAAACATATATGTTACTAATTTAAAATAACAAAAGTTTATGCAAAAAATTATTTTTTAAAGAAAAACTATATATTTTTATTTAATTGAACGTGTAATAATTTTTTATTCTAATATTATAGGTGATATTCTCACATTTTGTTTAGGGATATAACGCAAATTATTTCCTTCTTCGCATTTTGTAAATAATCAGTAATCACATAATAAAAAAATCAGGAAATCCGTAGTAGTAATTGCCGAGAAAAGATAGACCACGAAATCGCGTGAATCGGACTTCTCAAATGCATGTTTCGTTTTGAGATTAGGTTGTTGTAATGAATAATATTGTATAAAAAATATCAGATTGAAAAACTATGGAAAAATTAATAGCAATAAATGCCAAAAATTGGCTACAGTTACTGCCTTAAAAAGTATATACTCAAAAGCACGATTTGAATTTTCCATATTGTTTGAAATATATCAGGATATTTAAAATCCATGTGAAAATCAATAAACTGCCGAAAATACAATTGGAACATTACATCGATTTATGATACTATTGGTGTAAATTGAGCGTGTCAAAGAGTGATTATCTAAATGTTAAAATATTACATGTAAATTTCTGTAGAAAAGAAAAATCTTTCTGAAGAACTCTGTAAGGTTCTGTGACAATGTCGTGTGATTCTGCCATGGGGGCAATATCTATGTCAAAAACATTTATTGCATACACTGCAGGTACAAGGCTATTTTTCAGTATGGATAAGAGAATGCTTCGTTAAATTAGATTTATTTGCAAAAGTTTTATCACACAAACTGCATGAAAAACGCTTTCTTCTTGTATGAACAAGAAAGTGCTGATCTAAAATACTTTTTTGTCTGAAAAATTTATCACACAAACTGCATGAATAAGGCTTTTCTCCAGTATGAACAAGCAAATGCTTATTTAAAGTATCTTTCCGTCTGAAAGATTGATCACACAAACTGCATGAATAAGGCTTTTCTCCAGTATGAAGAAGAGAGTGTCTATTTAAACTTCTTTTAGAACTGAAAGGTTTATCACACACACCACATGAAAAAGATTTTTCTCCGCTATGAACAAGAAGGTGTTCTTTCAAGTGATTTTTCCATAAGAATGTTTTATTACACACACTGCACGAATAAAGTTTTTCTCCACTATGAATAAGAGAGTGTTTATCTAAATTAAATTTCTTTGTAAAAGTTTTACCACACAAACTGCATAAATAAGGCTTTTCTCCAGTATGAACAAGAAAATGTTTATCTAAAATGCTTTTCTGTCTGAAAGATTTATCACAAACACTGCATAAATAAGGCTTCTCTCCAGTGTGAACAAGAATGTGTTTATCTAAAATGATTTTCTGCCTGAAAGATTTATCACACACACTGCATGAATAAGGCTTTTCACCAGTATGGATAAGAAAGTGTTTATCTAAAATAATTTTCAGCCTGAAAGACTTATCACACACACTACACGAATAAGGCTTTATTCCAGCATGGATAAGCAAATGTTTATTTAAAGTATCTTTCCGCCTGAAAGATTTATCACACATACTACATAAATAAGGTTTAAGATAATGTTTATTTAAACTATCTTTATGTGTGAATGTTTTGTTGCACATACTGTACGAATTAGGTTGTTCTGAAGAATGAAAAATTAAGTAATAGCTTAAACTTAATTTCAGTGTGAATATTAATTGTAGGAAGTTATTGGATTAATTTAAGAACTTTGCTTCTATGATTTTTGTTTAAGATATTTCGCATCCACAGTTTGAATAAGGTTTCTCACCAAAAGAAACATAATTTTGTCCGTAAAAACCACTTTTCTGTAAATTATGTCTCTGTCGTTTATCACTTTTCTGTAATTTAGTTTTATGGAGCACAATGATCATACGATTTTTTCCTAGTATGTAAATGTTTTCCTCGCAGTCAAGGGAATAGTTTTAATTTTCCGAGCAAACAAGTAAATATTTTTTTAATTACGCTAATTTTAAATTTTCTATTTAAGGGTGTGGGGATATTTCTGTACCGGGCTCTGTCACGCTAACTGTAATCGCTAAAACAACTAATGGATTTTAAACTTTCAATGTAAAAATAAAACATGAAGAGGTTTGCTTAGAGGTAGCTAAAAGAGATCTTATATCTGTGATGTTTCTTTTGAGTTCCTCGCGGTGCCGCTGCCAAGTATGCAATTATTTAATCGCAGATCACGATACGGAAATCCTGCCTAGGATTCTGAGGATCTAAACAGGGATAGAAACTCCTATTTCATATCATGAAGGGAAGAAAATATCTAACATTGTATTGTAAAAGTTTAATTTAGTGACTTTTTGAAAACAATAAGAAATTAGAGCGTTTAAGACGGTTTGTTTTTGCCCTCATCAGAACTTTTGGCAGATTAAATTTTAAATTTTTTTTCGTCGCAAGAAACAGAGGAGATCGTGATTTTCTTCCTGCACGTAATTAAAGCACATACAATCACCATTCACATAAAAAAGAACCTGATTAGTGAAATTTTTGTAGCAGCTCACCCATTTACATTCTCATTCTCCCTCGCACCGCTGATGGCAATCGGAGGTGCGCGAACGGTATGCAAAGAAAATGATCCTTTAAAACATTTTAATAAAATATGATTAGTGTCAACTCAACTCAATTTACTGTTTCTATAGCAACGTTATTCGACTCACAAGAAGTCATTATCTTTCTTATGTTTATACAAAAATTGCGAGTAAATACTTGATAATTTTTTAAGTTACATTACAAATGACTTCTTTTACAAAAGATTCTTTTACCAAACCATTTTCATCATTACCGTACCAGATTTTTTTAGTTTTTGGATGGTGGTATTTTCTTTTGTATGTTTTTGCCCAAGTTGCTTTGTTGATATTCAAGAAAATTTATTTCGTTTATCCTAATGGCAACTTTTTTTCAGAAGCATCTTTATTAATTTTACTTTTTGGTATTGAAAGCATCAGAATTTTTCTTGGTAAAAAAGGAAACTTAACGGAACGATTATTATCGGTTGTTATATCATTACTATTAACTGTGCCTGTCTCCTGTGGAGCTTCTTATTTTCTTTGGTGGCAGACTTATGTTTTGAGGATTGATCTTATCATGTCAACAATTTTCTTAGGATTTTTATCATTTCAAACTATATTTGGAATATTTACTCTATTTACATCATAATTGATACCAAGAAGTTACTGAGATTGTACCGAGAAGTTACTGAGATCAGATAAAGTATATTTCTATTTGGTTACCTTTTATAATATGAATAACCTGTAGGGATGTAACGAATATTCGGTATTCGGCCTAGCCGAATACTGAAGTTATTCGGCTGAATATGAATATTATTAGATATTTGGCTGAATAAATTCATAATAATAAAGAAAGATATTTTTTTAAATGTGCGTTTAAATATATTTAATCATGAATATTGCAGAGTTACATTTCACTGCATTAATTATTAGAAAATCTAACATTTACTCAATTTAAGTTGCATAATACTTAAGAAGTGTATTTAATAATGTTACATAAATAAAAACGTTTTATTGTTGCAAATTTATCATCATATGTATTTAAACAAGCATTGGAATCTTTTACATTAAATGCAAATATATATAGTTTGTTAAATAGAAGTGTGAATACTATTTGAATCAGCAATTAAAATGTATTTGTTATTCCCTTAATAATATCTATTTATCAATAATATGCACTAGAAATATATGATTATATAATTATTTATTATAAATGTAAAACATTAATTATCCATTTAATGGATATCTTGATACTTAGAGAAACAAGCTACTTAACAAGCTTAATTTTCTGGGTTTTAATAATTTTTCTGACAAAAAAGAAAGTAAAGAATACATTTAACAGTATTAATGAGTTCTTATTTTAAATAAAATAGCATATAAATTACAAGTATAACTAAAATATGCTATTATTAATTATTTAGATTTATAAAAGCCATATTGCCTTGTTATTGGCAGCAAGATATTTAAATTATTACAAAAAATAAATCAAGTTGTTAAAATTTTCTTAAATATACAAAGATTAAAAAAGCAATTTTGTTAATATTTATTTCATTTTTAATTTAAAATTTGAAAATTACTTTAATTGCAAAATTACAATCAAAGAGAAATTTTTAAAAAGTAAGTATTCGGCCACCGAATATTCGGTATTCGGCTACATCCCTATTCGTTACATCACTAATAACCTGTATGTGTCAAATGTTTTTTTTAAAAAAATATATGGTGTGATTTCTCATTTGCCTAGACAATAATGTAAGATTTTTAAATAGGTTTATGTACAAAACTGTTTTTCAATTCTTATTTTTAGTTCACACTCTCCCTATATCTTCTTCAAATTCACAATCCTTAATAAAATACTTTTTATTCATCCACTCAACTTCAAATACGTTTTTTTTTAAAACTTGTAGTGGATGACAATTGATGTTAATACAGTTTTTTCAAATATTAATTCCTTAATTAAATAGGCAGGGGTCTGTCCAGACATTTTGTGAAAGGTCCGTTTTTCGTGAAATTGTGAAAAAATTACTCACATTCTTTCAACCAGGGTCCGCTTTTATGAATTTGTGCAAATAGGGTCCGTTATTGCAAAAAAAAACTTTTTCAAGGAGTTTTTAAATTGTAAAGATATACAAGATTATGCTCAACACTGTAAAATTATAATTAAAAAATTTAAATTTTAAAAAATAAATAACAATTGCTACTTCTAAATTAGAAATGCAACATACAAATATTTGGTATTTAGCCTATACTGCTGAACGTAGAATATTAATTTCGGACGAATAATGGTTAGCATAAAACTTAAGTAACTTATTAACTATAATTAACCCTATCATCTTGGAATTTGATTCAGTGTAAAAGAATACATTGAAAACCAAGCCTTGTCTAGATGAATATTTTAAAGCACATTTTTTCTTTTTTAAACTCCTTCTTGCTCCTCCTATGTGTAACCCTTTGATATGAAATACGTTGTGTTCCAATAAAATATCTAAAAATCATATTCATGTCATATAATAACAATAACAATTTTGTGCTTTTATCACAAAATGCAGAATCAGTATAAATTTCCACTGCTAATAAGGAAAAAAGTACTTTTTTTTATTATTTTGTTACGCAAGTTAGATGTGCAAAACCAAATAAATTATGTATAAAAGTTTCTTTTATTTTGCTCGGTTTCTCAGAAAGATTATTTTTTTTAAATGATATATTTGACGATATACTCTCAAATTAAATAAATATAATATATTTTCAAATTACTCTCTGCTCAAAAGATCCCTTGTGTGAAATTCAGTTTTTACTTAATTAAATTGAGCATTACTTTATCACAAATTTCAATAAGTCTGATTAACCCTTTGATGCAGAATTTTTATTAAACATATTTTTCATACTTTTGTTATTTTTTTTGTTTTAATTTAGGTCAAAATAAGTGAAATATTTTATATTAAGCATTTTAATAATTATGAAATATAGCATGACTGGTGTCTTTTTCTGCCTTAATGGTAAAATTGTCCAAACTATAATTTTTCAAATTTGCAGTTATTTGGATCTAAGAGAAACAATTATTCATCATTTAAATTTCTTTTACTTACAAAGTCAATTATTGGTAAATTTTTTAATATGAATGAAAAAAAAAATTCTAACTGCTTTTCTTTGGATTTTATATTTTAGTACAGACATAATTTCGATAATGTAACAGACTTTTTTTAGTATCTATTCGACTGTTTTTTATAATTGAAAAAATACAAAAATATACTTTTGCTTGTAATTAGAGCATCAGATAAAAATATGTGATAGAATCACCAGTGTCTCTGCTGCACCAAAGGGTTAATAGATAGTGTCACCCGAGAATCTGCAATAACAAGTTACTGTTATCTCCCATAGTGTAAGACACTGTTCCCTCTAGATCACCGAAGTCTCGCATCATTGGCGGTGATCAGTCAACAGGTGGTTGATGTTTTTGATTAGCTTGAGAAGAGACAGAGGGTATGCGTTGTTCTTCGTGAAATTGTCTAACCGTAAACTGCTTGACTTTGCACACTGTTTATTGGGCTACTAAAATAGGGAAATCAACTACTACTAGCAGGGTTGGCAAGTTTTTGACAATTGACAGTTTTAACTATGATTTTATACGTCATGTCAAAAAACCCTTTTTGACATAGTTTTTCGCAAGTATGGAAACCCAATATTTTAGTGCAAGGATAATTGTTGGCATTATAAATAAGAAGTATTCATAAATAAACATACATATAACATTACAAGTAATCAATTAATTATGTTCTTGAATTATTTTGATATTAAACTCTCTTTTAGTTAAAACCCCCAAATTTTGGTAAAAAATATATTAAATAATTATAAATAAAAATGTGTAAAATACAAATTTATCCAATCTTAGTTTGTTAAATTATTGAAAATAAGTATACAAAAACAACCAGCTTATTCATTATATGCAAAATCAATTTTAATTCCCCCCCCATTTAAATTATCCTTTCCCTAATATATATATATATATATATATATATGTACTTTCTGTACTTTAAGTTAATTTTTCAGTTTTGTGTGAATTAGACCAAAATTTCAAACTATTCTTTCAATTGATGCTGAGCTGCATAGTCTAGAAAATAGACGTACTAGTTCACTAATTAATCACCAATATTAATTAGATTAACATATTATTAGTTCACTAATAAATCAGTGAACTAATAATATGTTAATCTAATTAATATTAGTTCACGAATATTGAGAATATTATTGTACACATAAGCAAGAAGGCAGAAAATTTTCAGAGCCAAATATAGCCTATGAACAAAGTTTCTTTTTGTAACAAAATTTTCCCAAAATTTAAATTTTTTTTTTTTTTTTCAAAACATTTTTCGAAAATAAAAGTTTATGTACGAAAAAAAATCATAATTGATTTGTTGTGTTATAAGATAATAGAAATCTAAAAAAAAAATTGAAATAGTATTAATTAATTAAATTAAATTTAAGCTGCCACTTATTAATTTAAGGAATTTAAACTAATCAATACACAAATTGATAAATGTTTTTTAACAAGAAAAAGTTTTGCAAAAAGCAAAACATTTTTTAATAAAAAAAAATTTTTGGAATTTTTTCAGACCAAAAATTTTCCCATTACTGTCTGAATTTCCTCCAAAGCCTTGTTCGCACAGACTGACATATTCTGCTCCCTTGAATATAGTTAATAACATCGAGATCAGACATTTTTTGCGAACATTCTAATTTTACTTTATGTAGAAAACTTGCTTTAAATATAATATAAAAGAAATAAAATTATTATTTAGATTGATAATAATTAACAACACTCATCGTTATTACCTGTAATATAAACTGAATGGTTACAATATGGGTCTTAAAGTATTAAGATTACCATTTGAAGAAAACCATTAATTATTTTAATAATTTTAGCAATATTTTTTATATGTGATATATAATATAAGTCATGATTATAGTATGATATATATAAATTGTGCAAGCATGATTTAGTATCTAATAAAATGTTCCCAATGTCACAAAAGAAGTTTGCCCCAGGTTTTTGACAGTTCCTCACACTTTTTGACGTGTCATGTCAAAAACCCAATTCTGACTACTAGTAACCATTGTATTTGTATTTATCATTTACATAGGATTGTAAGTTGTAACATTTGTTTATTCTAAAATAAAATGTAGCCTTAAACCAAAAAACAAAAGAACACACAAAATTTCGATTGATTTTGTATATTTCTGCCAGAAAAATGTTCTTAAGTGCGTTTTATAAAAATGTTTTATTGCCAGTTTGTTTCTAAAAAAATGTGTGCTATGGGGTTAATCTGCATAAAAGATTTACAGATGTCTAATGGTTTTCAATTTTTCTCTATAGGCTATCAAATGAAAAGAATCACTTGCAAACGAAAGCCTCCCAAGTCCTTTTTTATGGTAATTAATAACTGGTGAGTTCTTTTTCAACACTTCTGCAAAGATAGGTCTAAAACCGTTTACAAACTTGTCTATCAGTGGAATCTGCATTCTAGGTTCAGCACTGGATTATTTATCAGACATGAAATTGACATTAAGTGTATGTGTTTTGTAATATATAATCAGTTTGAGTGTAAGAGTTGTATTGTTATAAAATAATCAGATAATTCTATGAGCTGTGTAACAAACCAAGTCTGTAAATAATTTTTTACAATAGTTGTTTTTTATACATAGAAAAATGTTTGATTTTAAAATAATTGTGACAAAGAATAAAAAATTTTATTTCTTGAAAATTTTATTCCTTGACACTAGAAATAAGCTACATTAGTTACTACTAAATGCAACCACTATGGAACCCCATACTTACAGTTGATAAAAACAGGTAATTTTTTATTAGAACATCTCTTTATTAGCTTTCTAAATATCTTTAAATTGAGATGAGTGTTAGGATTTTTAATTATTTTAGTATTATTTTGAAAATTACATATTTACAGAGCTTTATAATATGCAAACACCGTTTGAGGAAAGTTTGTTACCATTACTGAAAAACAAAAAACAAAAAAAATCAGCCTCTTCAAAGAACGTTAGACTTTATTGAATAATTTTTAAAAAAATCTGAGATTCTCAAATAAATTTTGACAAATTTAGGTGACAACGAAAGAATTGTAACTAGCTATATTCAATGTGTGCCAAAAGGTTGCCCGAGTCTGCATACGTAATGCATTTTCAGAAGGACATTGATTTTGTAAAAAAATTTTCGTATGTAGATATTTCATACTGTTAGCTATATTTTGAACTAAAAGCTAAATTCTTAGCATGGTTTTATTATTTTTATCTAGCTATAAACATTCTTGTTTAGACTTTTTCTTTTAAAAATTTAATAATGAAAATATATATAGTTGCATTTAATTGAAGATTTTAATTCAAAACACAGCTAACCATATTATTGATAGGGGAAAAAAAAGATATTTTTTTTTTGTGTTTATGCATTACGATTTGTTGTTAGTATGATACAAAAAAATTCTAACGTTTGTGCTCAAATTTACCCTCAAAGTTATAATTTAAAAATAGACTAGAGGTTTATAATATTAGTACCTATGATTACCAAAATTAATATTACAAATTTCGTAAAGGCTATTTAAAAAAAAATATTGTATCAAATCTAGTCTGATATTTTAATGCAGTACTCCCTAGCATTTTTATCGCTGTGGTTAGGTCAACATTTGATAATTTTACTGTGACATGCGGAAGGAACGTTGATTGCTTACATAGTTTTAATTTAATAATTTTAGCCTAATTGTATTTAAATGTGCCTTCAAAATAAAATGCAATTACCTGCATGTTTTTGGTAAGGCTTTAGGTGACGTTTCACAGCTCCCATTTAACCTCTCGTCCATGGAAAGTCATACAAACACGAGAAAAATATCCCACAGTAAATGAAATTAAACTATTTAATGATCCTTGGACGACCTGGTACCATTTAATTCATTGCCCAGGAGTTCCGACCACTGCCTTAATGTCTAAAGCAAGAGTTTCAGGTAAATGAGCTCTTCATTGAAAAGAAAAGTATAAATTATCTAATGATTTAAAAATGAAGTTAAAATAAAAACGTTATTTCTAGAATGAAGCAAACAATTTGACTGATTAAAAACTTTATTACTTCTAATATTCTCAGTTTTTACTACACAGATATGTCTAAACTGGAAAACCAGCATAAATGCAAAAAGTTCATTAAAAATAACAAATAGCAACTAAAATAGTAATATTTTCACAATAAAAAAAATGAATTGCTTTTTCTCTTTCAAGATTTACATGAAAACACATTGATTAAAACTGACATATTAAAAAAATAATGCATGAATAAATATCCAACACCAACAAGAAAATATCTAAGCAATAATTAAATCATACTGGCATAAAAAAATTTGGCATCAATTTCTTTCTCAGTATTTATGGCAACTTTTTGATTAGTTCAGTAACACACAATAAATAATTGTTAGTTCAATAGCACACAATATTGTGCTGATACGATAGTATGAGACATGCAAAATGTGCTTTATGAGATTTCAAACATAAAAATGGACACCTTGCTTCTAAAAATTCATAATACAAATTCATTACTTTGAATACATCACAGTTTTCACTATAAAACTGAATAAAATTATAAAAATAAATTTTATATATAAAAAAATTAAATCACAACCAAAATATGTAAAAAAATGGATGGATGTATTTAACCCACACATATGTTTAACAAGAAAAGAAACATAATAAAAAAAATTATTATATCAACAAAAACAACTCATTTCAAAATGTTAACTAAATAAAATGAACAATAATAGTTTAAAAAAAAACTTAAATACTGCTATACATTATACTTTATTAAGTTATTGATTTAAATAAAGTTTCAGAAAAAGATAAAAATTGTGTTAAGTTTTTAAAAACTACCAAAATCTAGATGTAAAATATTAATATCATTATTCAAAATATTGCATCTAGTTAGTTAAGTTATTACAAAAAAATTAAATTTTGTAATAACAATTGTGCCTGAGTAACATTCTTAAACGTTTCAAACAAATGATTTTTTATTGTTATGATGAAGATCAAACTAATTTATAAATTAAGCTGCATTCTAAAGCATACCAAAAGCTAGTATATTGAAATAGTAACTCAGTTGTTATATTTGTAGATAGCTTATATCTATATCAAATAGAAAATGAAAACTTGACAACAATTGGAATTTTTACAATAATTGCATTCTTGTGATGTCACATACAATCATCAGCAGTCTATATTTTCCTCTTACCATTAATAACTGCTAATATCATTTAACACATTTCTTTAGCATAATTATGCTTTAAGAATTTGAACTTCAAATTTAAAAGGAAAATTATCATTGTTTTACAGAGTATTTCTTTAGACACTTTAGAAATATAAAGCACCAATAAAACATCGAAATAGAAAATAGTTTGTGCGTTTTTTATTTTTAGTTAAGGAAATAATATTTATTAAATTTTTAAAAGGCAAAAAACACACAATGAAATAACATATTCCATGGAAAGTCCCATACTTGGCTAGTCCAGAAAATAGATTTTCCCGGATAACAGATTTTTAAGGTAAACAAACAAAACATGCATTATTCAATTAAAATAATAAATAGACAATAATTAATGATAATCCTACACATCCATCAATTTCTTATACATTGAATGGTCTTTAGTTTACTTAAGTTTTATGTGATAATATATACAGTAAACCCCCCGATACGACGACCCGTGTTGTCCAAACGAAAACAAACATTTTTGAGTAAGGTCGCTATATCATGATTGCATAAAATTAGTTCAAATATTTTTTATATTTCATAAATACTGGGTTTATATTAACAAAAGCATGCTATACCTTTAACAGAATTATGAAACTGATTTATATGCAGTTTTTTATAAGTCTAAAATAAAAGTATTATTTATTATAATAAATTAAAGAATAAAAATATTTTTAAATTTTTTCAAAAGGCATCTTTATATATTGCTAATTAACTTTAAACAGCCTATCAATGATTTTTCAATATTTTGAAATTTTCCTTCACGAGCTTTGCATTTTTCATAAAATTATTACAAACATAACTATTGAACATTATCGAGAATACTGTTCTGAATTGTTCTTTAGCCTTTAGAATTACATTCCGGTTTGTAATTCTTACAAACATACAGCTTTTCAAGATGTGGAATAATTTAACAATTTGTGTTATTCAATTTATTTAAAGTTTTTAGTTCAAGTGTAATGCTTCGTACTGAACATAGCATTACACTGGTTCAAAGTCATTTTTGCTGAATAACATACCCCCAGAAAACTTTTCAAAATGAAATTTTGAACCTTCCAAACCTTTGCTTGAATCTTTCAAAATGAAATTTTGTAAGGTTACAATTATATGGGAAACCCAGATTTCTAAATGGTGTTGCAATTACATTCTCTAAATTCTCAAAAGTGATTAGCAATCCAAATAATTACAATTCTTTTAACCATAGATTATATCCAAGACATTCTAGGTATAGACTGAGTGGTCCTGTTATTCTTTCTTCATAGAGAATAGAAGATTTTTTTATTTATTGCGCTGTAACATCCAAAGAAAAAGCGGTTTGAATAGTTTACATAAAAACTTTGTTATCGACTGACTCAAAGTCAATGAAGAATGTTAGTAATGAAAGCTCAAAAATGTCTTGCACCTGTTTTTGTAATGATTTTCTGGGTCATCAAAAAATGAAACAAAATTGCGGTCACTATGATGTAATATATGGTTCAATTTGGACGTTCGACTGGACATTAAAATAGCATTGTGTTAGTGGAAGAGCAAACAGAACTTCATAAAGCAGTCATTATAATGGAAAGGTTGCACTAGCAGGGGTTGTGCTAAAGAGCGTAGATTGTATAAAGAAAAAAAAGCAGTGGATAATTTTAACCTTCCCTTTCATGAATAAATTCACATTTTTTCTCTTCCCTCTCCCCATTTGATGTGAAGAATTAGCAACACAGATAATCAAAAAATAAGCAAATAATAAAACAATAATAAAAATAAAAAAATAAGCTTCAAATTCCAAAAATAAATTAATTCCATTTAATAACAAAATATTAGACAAGGGACAGAATTGAAAAAATTTTTTTTAAGGAAAAGTTATAATTTAAAGGAAACAGAGCATATCTGCTGGTTTTCTTTTGAATACAATTAATGTTCAGTTTAATTAATAATCTTAAAAGTTTGTTATTCTTTTCGTGCTCTTGTCTCTTCTACCACTTTTTTAGTGTGCTTCCGGAAACAGAATGAATGTTTAGCTATCTAGAGCTCAGAAAGAAAAAATTAAAAAGAAAAAAAAAATTATCAATTTTATTTTTTAACTGCTAGAGTAAATTTGTTATTTTTTTTTTTGAAAAAAGAAAACACACTAGTCTTGAAAATAGTTTCAAATAAAAGGACCTCCAAATATGGGACGTTGTACTGCATATGTACATACTAATAAATATATATATATTGTTTAAAAAACACTTTTTACTGTAGTAGCAGCTAAATATTAAAGTGCTTAAGATTGCGATTGTTTCTACAGAAATGATAATGAGGACATAAATCAAATATTATTATCTTAATTCAGTAAAACACAGTAACTTAAAATAGATACTGATTTAAAATATCTTGTAAATAAGTTAACACGTATAAATGTTAAAGCACAACAGATGAAAAAACAACAACTTTTTTTTCATCTGTAAGTTAAAAATGAATTAGCACCAAAAAGAACAATTATAAATGCTAAAAGATTTCTATCTCATGAAAGTGAAAAATGTTATGGATTTATGATCTGATATAATATAATAGCTAATGAATTTGACATTCTAAATGAAATAGTATAAATTAGATTAAAATACACCAATTAAAGAAAAAATTCTTATAATATTTATTAATGCAATGGGAAAGCCTGCTTATGTGTACAAAATCCTAGTATACATGATTTCTACATGTTAAATGCAACACGAATGGAACTCTGTCATGGTATGAAATTACAAAAAATAACTACAGAGAAAACAACATGTTTACAGATTACATCAGTACATAAAAATTGATTGGGTCACAACAGAGTTGGAAGAAATTCTACATTTCAATAATATATTTTATCAATTGAATCAGAGAGAATTGAATAGAAATTAGAAAATTTTTGTCACATGCATAATTTAAATAATTTTCAACAAGATTTCTTTAAAAAAAAAACCATAGGCCTCTTAAATTAGTTTAATTTATATAATGATATAGCTATAGTTATTAAATATCATCATGTAGTAAAAATTTTCATAATTATACAATAATTAAAATTGAATTTTTAACATTAATAATTTAGTTATTTTAGTACATTACAATTATTTGTTCTCAAATGTGCTATATTTATCAAAGAAATATTTTTAAATACTAATTAGGGCTGCCAATTACGCGTTTTGCAAAATAGAGTGGTAGACGATTAAAGACTAAAGGTTTCAGAAATTTTGCTAGCATTTTAAAATCCTCATAACAAGAGAGCTTTAACAAAGTGGTGTTTCATATGAACTTTTAAATCATTTATATGAAATGGTGTAAAAAATAACTTTAAGTCATCTTTACAAAACAAAGAATCATATATTAAAATAAAAACTTAGCTGCCACAAGAAGAAATTTTCTCAAAAAGCATAGAAAGTTGGCAACTCTGAATAATTTAAGTACACATTTATAATTAAATATGTTGTAAACCTTTTACTGTATTTAAATAACTTATTTATCCTGAATACATGTTAAACTATTATTTGCTTATGTTTATTTAAACCAGATGAATTGTTTAGAAAAATATGATGTATAATAGGAATTTTATAATACTTAAAAACTTTGATGTTATTTTACACTTTTGGTTGGTATAAAAGTCGAGTAGTTTTGATAATACTGAATTTAATTCGGAATGAAATAGAAATTAAACTTATAATCTACATTAATTTTTATTCAATTATATAATTTTTGGTCCTGTTTTTTTATTTAAAAGATTCATGTATTATGAATTCCTGTGGCAGAATTTTCATTGTTTGCCTATCTCACTGAAAGTAAGTAGAAAACAAAAATTTTGAAGAAGGGTCTCAGAGTTAACATTTTAATTACAACTCTAGCTGAGTGGGAAAGTTATATTAAAATAACTTACTATTTTTTGAAAAAATGTATAAATTGTCTTCTGATAAAGTATAAAATAGGAATATTTTTCAACATTCATTTTCAAAACTTATAATGCCCAATATGAAACTTAAAACATTGCAATATTTAAAGTAACATAGATTCCATATAACAAACACAGTTAAGTAGAAATAATTCTAACAAAAGGCTAAAAATAAAACATGAAAGTAATAACAGTATAAGTAATAACAGGCCATAAAGCTTAATAATATGATTAGGTGAAAAAAATGAAGAGTAGTTCTAAGTATCAAGTCGACAATTTTCACATTGAATACTGGTTGATTGATTGCTTGCTGCGTAGAAAAAAGATTTGTTATTGGACGAAAAGGACTAATCAAATGCGGCTTTTTTAGCAAGACCTGTTAAGCTGGAGATTTCAGTGGGCTCTGATGGTGATGGTTCAGAGGTCGTCAGGCGACTGAATTCAATTTCTTCTTGAGTAGATGATACAGCGTCTAAATAAAATATAAGACGTGTGGTAAAAACAAAAAGATAGATTATATCAAATTTGAATAAAGTGCAAATTCAATTTTTTGGTATGTATAGTCCCCCCCCCCCGAACTTCAAGAGTCATATTTAACTAAACTCAGTGGCGCGACAGCCCACAGCCAAGGCCTACTGTGCCCATCTCAGTTTTCTTGACCATGGGCTCTGGGGTGCAGGAGCAGATGTTCTGGTCAGGTGGTCAGCCGAAAGCGGAACTCCCTGTGCTTAGTTCCCAAGCATGCTTGGTACTCATTTATTGACTTACTGAAGGGATGAAAGGTTGAGTCAACCTTGCCCGGTCTGAGGATCAATCCCAGGACCTGTGGCACTGGAGCGCTACCATTCAGCCACCAGGCGTGGATAGTCACATTTATGGGGGGGGGGGAACCTCTAGGCTTTTTCTTGAAGAAGTAGTGAATGCCGAGACAATTCACCAGAAAGTAGCTCAGACCTAAATATTTGGAGGGAAAGTGGTGTCTTAAAGGGGCATCCCTTATAAGGTATACACTTCATATTAACTTATTAAAAATTATTATTTTATTTTATTTTAAAATGATGTGAAGTTTTTTACCACTTATCAGTCATGTGGCCCTCTGCCAATAACTTCAGAAAATTATATATAAAAAAATAATTTAAAAAAAAAAACAATAAAGTGTTTTGTTCACATAAATGTGGGAAACACTATAGTTTTTCTACGGTAAGAGCTCCTCCCCACAAAGTCTGACGCTGTCTGCTGCTATAGAAACAAGAATGGTGCCTTTCAGGGAGGATAGCTTCTCTTCCCTCTAGGGCTAACGCAATAGACCGAAGAAAAAGATTCCTCTTTTTTTCGCCAACCCCACACTCTTACTTGAAATAGTTATGCCTCGTTACCATAGTCCAGACTAACATGGGTCCAGACTAACGTCTAGGGGAGTTCTTACTTCAGACAAACTATATATGGTTTATGTGGAGATTAAAACCGAGTAGCTATTTCCTCTTGTGCTTAGGGAATTCACTCATTTGATCATTTCTTATCCAGTTTATTTGTAGTAAAAGTACAGGACAGTTGAAAAGTACGGATATTGAAGTTTATGGCCAATTCTTTACAGTAGTAAAAATATTAGAAAATCCCATCCATTTTCCTACCTAAAAAAAGGTCTTGTCAAGTTAATTGTAAGCCATAAGCTAAAAAATGGCCTTATAAAAGGTTAAAGGGCTATTAGGCTCTTTTGCAGCCAGGAAAAGGACTCTACTACTTCCATATCAACCAATGAAAAATCACTTAAATATATCTTCCTTATCTATTAACTATATAATTATTTTTTAAAAATTAATACTTTAAGAGTAGTGGTCCGAAAAAATACAAAGATAATGTAGTTTTTCGGACCACTACTCTTAAAGTACTACTTAGACCACTACTCTTACTCTGCTACAACTATAACTACTTTGTTACAAATGTAGTTAACTACAACTACTTTTTTTAAATGTAGTGACTACAAACTAGTTCCGAATCGTAGTGACTACTTCACTACTTTAAGGAGACGAACGAACTGAAGAACTTAATTCACACCTATGTTCAAAATGGTTTTAAATAAGATATTAGCTTACATTAAATATAAGGGAATGATTAAGAAATATGAGCCAGCTTGTTATTTCAAATTCGTTATTTCGAATTTGTTCATTTAACCTTCAACTTCTTCTGATACCTTTTTCGACAGTAGCTGTGTTTCATTTAGGAAATGATAAATTATCAAATACTTGAAATTTTTTAATTGTTTTATGCTAGGTAACTTTTTTTTAGCTTTTTAACGATGAAAATATCTTAACATAACTTTGGAACAACATAACATAATTTCTCAGTATTATAAATACTAAGTTTAAAAAGTTTTACAATTTTATTTTAAAGTTAAATGTTTAGACGATTATTCACCATGGAATAAGAGTTAAGTGCTCGTAGTGTCCAGGTTTCCATACTAACAAATTTTCATGGAAAAAACATTTTGTTATAAATTTTAATTGTAAAAAAATAGAAGAAAAAAAAAAAGAATGCAGTTTACCTGACTGTGCTGGATAATACTTGTGTGAAGGTGCATAAAGTGCAAGCAGTGCAATGGTGTACAAATTCCACATACCATAGACACCAGTGAAAAAGGCAGATGTGTACTCCATTCTAATGTCTTTATCCCATTTCCATTGACCTTCACTCACCTATTACATTGATAAAATAGTGAATGACGCTAGTAAAATCATGTCAATCAATGGCAGAAACGTTACTTTAATTTTGTGAACAAATTGTGTTGGAAAAAACAAACAGAAAACCCTGAATAACTTTTGATTTAATAATCAGATCTTCACATACTAGAATTAAGATCTACACAATTTTAATAGTTGAAGGATTTCAACTTAAATATAATAATTAATTAGAGAAGATGATATTTTAAAGTTATTTATTTTTACTAAATAAATATACCCTTACTTTTAATTTTCCTATCCGAAATTTGGAAAATTGGTTTTAATAGTTTGGTTAAGAGAGCAGAGTTGAAAATTCAGATCCCTTAATTTCAATTTACCTGCTGCATATTTTCCTTCTCTTGAGAACTTTTTTCAGAGAATTGAAAAATTATTCACCACAGAATTTTTTTTTTTTAACAAGCATTTCATCTTTACTAAATATCATTGGTCAGACCCTCAAAATATTAAGATTGCCTCTGGGTACGTAAAAATCTGATTATTACATCATTATTCATAAGTATTTTTTCACATTGAACATTTAAATCAATCTTCTGTAAAGAAAAATGTTCTCTATGTGCGGTAGATAAGCCCGGCCACTATTATTGTTGATTGGTCTAATAAAAATAAAAATGAACTACATAAGAATGGATCAATTTAAAAAATATTTTGTTAAACGACTAAAATTTAACTAAATAAAAAAATAAAAACGCGGCAGATAAGACCGTCCACTACTATTGTTGATTGGTCTGATACGTCTGTCATGCATCAGTTGAGGAATGGGAGATCAACGCTTGCGTATGTTAGAAGGGAAAAAGTTTCTCTAAAGGGTAAAAATAGATTACCTACTTCAGGTAAGATGAATTATATCTCATACTTAAGTAGAACCATTACTGATTATATGAAAAGAGAACACTTTAACTTCTTTCTTAATTATTCTTGATTACAACTTATTATTTTGAGTCTATGATTTCTGGTAACGATTTGGGCTTGTATAGCCGGCCGATATAACAATACATATAAAACTGGCAAAAAATAATCATAGCTTCTCAAGTTTTAAAATTTCTCACCTGCCCAATTATGAATGATATGACAGTCAGAGCGGCACAGATTACAGTCGTCAACATCAAGAATTTGAAACGATAAATGATGCCCTGCAAAATATGGAAAAATGTTGTTTACAACTACTTATTTTCAACATTTAAAGAGAATAAAGTCCGTCACAAACTATTTTAAATATTAATCAAAACATGATTTACAGGAACTAACAAAATTTAAATGAAATTCCTTACATATTTGTCACAATTTAAGTGTAGAAATCAGTTATTCTACAGATTTTTTAGCCAATGAGCAGAATAACAAGAGTTATTTGTTAAAAAGCCAAAAAATTGCTTTATTTCTTTAATAAATTACTTTAAAAAAATTTATTTCTTTAATAAAAAATTACTTTAATAAATAAGGTCATCCACAAACTATCAAGATAATCTATACACTAGCTACTAAACACTCATTGGAGTGAATATAAGATATTTGCTGGAACAACAGCAACCTTTGTGTGTCATTAAACTAACATAACTTAATCTTCACAATCTAGAAAATCAAGCAACTAGAAATTAACAAAGATCACAACAGATGATAGAATCAATCAACAATCACTTTAAAAACTATAAGTTAAAGTAACAAGGAGCTTCAAATATCATTACAATTAAAGAAATTAAATGTCTTTTATTTAGTATTTAATATTTAAAAAAATTAGCACATTAGTGGATAGAAAGAGATAAATTTTTGAACTTTAACGATATGGAATCTGTTAATGCACACATTACATAAAATTCTAGATTCTACACTTCAACCAATTACCCTACTTAATCTGCAGATTAATGGCTCTTAAGATTCAACGGCAATTAGATAAAATGAAAAACTCTCTGCACATATTGATTAGCACTACTAGTTTCAATCCTTTCATTGCCACTTTATTTTGGCAAAATTTGTTTGAAAAAACACTGATTTTTTTTACATGTGTTTCAATTTTATAGAACTCAATATTGATTCCTACCACAGGGATAGTAAAACACGGAATAAAACTGAAAATAGAACAAATGTTATGTGCATACACTTATGTTATTTCACTTATCAAAAAATTGAAAAAATGCCTTAAATTTAAGCAAGAAAAAAGTGTATGTCAGAAACATTTATTGTCATTAATGTTTTAATAAAAATATTGATGCTAAATTTTAATTTTTTATCTAAATTGCGTGAATACGAATCTCAACGTGTGATTTTTAAATTAAGGATACTAAAGAACTTCCAAGATGGTGAAAAAAATTTCCGCGTATATTATGCAGGTATGTTTAGTGGTAACATAACTAATTTTACTAGTCATTAAAGACAAACAAAGTTTGTTTATTGGTCTCATAACAAAGTTTTGCAGCTTTCAATTTCTGAGAAAAGAAAAATTATCAACTAAAATAATAATTTGCACTTCAGTATCACCACACTTCATATATATTCCTATAGCAGAGGTGCCCAGTTTTAGACAGAACCAAAATAAAAACAGAAAATGAAATTACAAACATTTGACTGATTTGATACTTGAAATCTAGTAAGAATCTAATAAGAAGAGAAGAAAAAGGCAAATATTAGTAGCACCTCCATACTTTATTTAGCAACTAGAATTTTTTAAATACCCCATGCCGTCAGTAATCACCTGCCTTCATACTGACTTCTTAATTTCAATGCTCTCATTTTCTCACTTTTATCAATTAATTGGCAAAACCCAATGAGCATATAATCTTAACTTTACTTTTGTCAAGTATTCTTCAAATATATTTTAAGGGAAGTGATATATGAACACCTTGTACATGCATAATTGTTTCATTTCAAGCAGGCATGACTTACTTCATAGTACATCCTCCTGGCACTACTCATACTTGGCAAGGTATTTCTTTTGAAGCCTATATTTTTGAAGACTTTAAAAACTAAATAACACAAAAACAGGAAATATACACCAGCTGACAATCCAGCCAAAATGATGAATGCTAGCTATTGCTTAAATTAAGGATACGATATTAAAATAAATTTTGATTAGAATTTTAAATTAAATTTTTGCCTACAAATAACAAAAATTCATGTATCAACATGTTTCAGGAATCCAACATGACACAACACACAAAGAAAAAACACACATAAAATTAATTAAATTGTCACTTCACAAAATCTATGCAAATGCTAAAAATATAATGTAAATTTAAAATTACAGTTCATTGATTTACAGCTCATTCATTTTAAAATATTTATAATCAAATACTACATTACAGTTTAAAAAAAAATTTTTTTTTAAACAATTTAAATACATTAATATTAAACATGTTAGATTTAAAACAAACTTGACAGACACGATAAAGGATACAGATAATTTAGAGCCAACAGTGGATGTCCATATGCTGAAGAATGGATTTTTTAGTTGAACTCCTCTAGAACGGAAAACATTAGAATTACAGAAAGCTTAAAAAAATCCAACACACAATTTAAAAAAAAAAATTATGCACTTTTTAATTTATTTAAATTTTAAAATTAATTACTAATTCAGATTTCCCACTGAATCTAAGGAAGCCATTTATGGTTAAAACATATCCACTACATAGCTGCTAACAGGAAATTAAAAAATTCTCCAGTTGACTTAATAAAAAATTTTACATAAAATATTATACCATCTATGAATAACAGATACTAGACACAGGGAATTTTAATCAATCAGGGGAAATAAAGTACATGACTGTAATTATATTTAAATTGGCAGGAGCATTTTTTGTAAGCAATAAACCTTAAATGAACATTAAAATAGAAACTATTAAATATATAAAGATATATTTCTAAATTCATAATTCTGAATAGTATATATTTCAGTTCAGAGAGTTTTCTAGGGTAAACTAACCAGTGAAGGAACACTTTAGCTTCGCTTGCCTTTTAAAAAATCATATTAATTTCAAAATTCGTAATTTCAGTTAAATGACTGTGTCAACATATTTGTTACTAATTGCAAACTATGCAAAAAAAAAATTGAGAACTTTCATAATATTGTTTTAAAGTTTTGGGGATTCAAATAACAAGTAGTAAGAAGACCCAGTGAAGGAACAGCTCCTACCAGTGAATGAACACAAAATTGCCCAGTGAAGGAACACTTAATTTTGGTTATATTTTAATGCTCTTTATGAATTTTTTAGCCATACAAATACAGTCGGACATCTATTTAACGAACTTCCATTCTACGAATTTCCCTATTTTACGAATTTTTTCGAGGAACCAAGAGCATTTTGGAAATTTTTTTGTAAAATAACTTCCATATAGCGAAGTGAATTTTCTATTTAACGAACTTTTCATTGAGATCCAATTTCCCTATTTTCCAAAATATTTCTTAACATTTTAAACTTGTTAAAGCAATTTATGGGGGAAATGACATTAAATTAATTTTCGAAGCCACTGCTTTATGAAATGTATTACTGTTTTGTCTAAAAATTATCTTAGAGAAAGCAGTAAATTCCCTTTCCCTTTTTGTTTGCACTTCAAACGAAAAACTCACTTCAAATTAACGGATTTCATCCGTAGCAATTTAACTTAACGCAAGTGGTAATGTATGTTTAAAATTACTTTTATAATAAATGCAACTATATTTTTATACATAAATTTAGACTTTTTTTAGTTGAAAATGTATATAGCATGATAGTGTAACACTGGATAATGTTTTGCTCTATTCTTGCTTTCCATGCAGATTTCTTTTATGGTTGAGATTTATATGATAAATAGTAGATACTAGTTTACAAGATAAAAGTGTATCAATTGCTATTTTAATTATGTCTAGTGTTTAAGAATTTAAAACCTGTTTTGTGTTGTTTAAGTATTTTAAGAGGTGATTTTCTATTTAACGAATTTTCCATATAACGAGCTTATTATTGGTATTAAGTGATTTTGTTAAATAGAGGTCCGACTAAAAACAAGACTATTTGTGAAATTATGAGATACAAGTACTTGTAAAATGCTAACTTTTTTCTGTAATCATGAACTAGAAATTAAAGTGATGTTAAATACAAAATAAATTTAAAAAAATCGTTCTTTCTTATAATTTGACAGTCAAATCTAAATCATTGTGTCATCCGATGCTGTTTATTATCATTATTATTTTATCACCTTTTTGTTTACTCTTTTTCCTCTTATTTCTTGAAGCTTTTTTTCTTTTTTAAGTATTTTTTCTTTCTTTTTCTTTTCCATGTTCTCTTGTTTTAATGTTTTTTAGATCTTTCAGCCTCTTGAAATTTTTGCCATTTCTCTGAAGTTAGTGCAAAAGGTAATTTATTCGCTTTTCTTCTTATTTGACCTTTCTTTTTATCATCAATATTTGGCCAATGTAAATGGCTCTTCCAAACTTCTTCTGATTTTTCAGCAACATTTCTAGAATGCCTTTCTCGAAAATAGACGGGGGAAAGGTGTCTTGAAGTTTGAGGCAAATCCATCTCTTGTTGACTTATATCTAGAGGATCTTTAGAAGTACTGATTTTACTTACAGAATCATTTCTTTTTTCAACTAAGAGAATCAGCATGAGGACTCATTTCAAATTCGATATCTAATATGCATTCATTATCAATACTAGCTTCAGTTCCTAAGTTTGACTTAACCAAGTGGTCTTCTTTTAATACGTGCTTCTTCCATATTGGAAAAAGTACAGGCTCTTGGACATTTTCGATATTAGACTCTTCCGTCAATGCTGTGTTAAAAATTTACAACATATCTTGAGGGATTTCCCTCTCAAGCTTCTGAAGAAATTGAGTATCGTTTCTGTTTAACTTTGTTTTTTGTTGAGGAACTTACTTCTAAATTCTAACATTGTAAAGTAGTTTCTATAAATTATATAATCACGTTGCTATCCTATAATGATAGCTTATTAGGAGTTCTTGGTGCAAAAGCCAGCGAAAAAATGTTCTATTTTTATGATTATATTTAATTAGTTTTCGATTTGTAAACATAGTTTATTAAGTTGCCTAACATTTGATGTAACTACACACCCCGTTAATAAATATAAATTATAATTTTTTCATAAATTAAGCTATTAAATTAACATTTTGAACTGAAATTATTTCAGGAATTATTCATACAATTTTTAACAAAATTTCGGTTGTCCTCTATATAGCAGAATTACTTATCCTAGAGTCATGTAAAATCATATATCACACATTACTGTTCATTCACTGGAAGTATTCCCAGTGTAGGAATATGCCTGTTTCTTCACTGGTTAGAAGCTGGTTTTTGTCTTTTAAACAGAATTTTGATGTATAATATGACTAAAAGTACAAGAAAATTACGAAATTTCTTTTATTTTCATTAACTGAGAAATGAACCCAGTAAAGAAACATTTGTTCCTTCACTGGTTTTTCATCGTTTGGTGATCCAGTGAAGGAACATGCCTGTTCCTTCACTGGTTGGAAGTTGTTTTTTGTCTTTTAAACAGAATTTTGATGTATAATATGACTAAAAGTACAAGAAAATTAAAAAATTTCTTTTATTTTCATTAACTGGGAGAAAAACCCAGTAAAGGAACACTTGTTCCTTCACTGGTTTTTCATCGTTTGGTGATCCAGTGAATAAACACCCCCTTATCTCAGTACTTGATTATGCTATGGTGCTTTAAAAAAAATAAAACGTAACTTCAATAACTATATTTTGAATTCTCTTTTTCACAGTGAGAAAAATAAGACTACTACATGCAATTAATTCCACTTCAAACATATAAGTACAAACACTCACCTTATAATTTTTTCAACGAAACAAGGTGTTGCAGATATAATAACAAATTCAAAAATTTTTTCTGAGAAATCTATTTGACCAGGTAATACAAAATATTGCTAGATGACTTCCTATTGTTTGGCAGTAAGCTATGGTTACCAATCAATCTAAAGAAAAACTTTCAAATTCTTATTTTTAATCAATATATATGAAATGTTCCTTCACTGGGTAGTGTTCCTTCACTGGTTGGTTTACCCTAGCATATTTATGAATAACATATTGGCTAAAAAGTTCAGTATAACAAGAAATAATAATCCTATTTAAAAAAAGTATTTTTTTTTGGTTCAGCTTCGTTTTCTTAAATTTAAACTCAAACCTTACAAAAAGAGCAACTTTAACAGAGCAATGGGCCATTAGCAATGGTTTAGTATTCATCGTTAATAAAGATTTAAAGACAATACTCATATGGAGGTGCAACATTACCACAGTTAAGATCGGATGGCAGATGGTGTTAGTAATCACCTGAAATCTGCACCTCACTTCCCAACCATGGACTTAACATTAAAGTGGTTTCCAGATAATGATTGCAAAAAGAGCTATCTAATTAAACATCCAGTCTTAAATACAGAGAATTAAATATTGGCTTAGGCTGTGGTTCATGAAGACTATCCTCCACACCAATTGGCCAGCAGTTTAATAACTGAAAACTTTAATAATTTTTTTTTTGGGAGAAAAAATTCTTTTTACGAGAGCTTTACATATTTAATTAATTAGATGAAGCAAATGTATTCTTATAATAATAAGTCAGGTAAAAAAAAATTACCAGAAATTTTTTAAATTAGAATTATTTTCTAAGACAAATAAAAATCATGGCATTTCGTTTTTTAATTAACTCTCTCATAGGGCTATTTTTTCTATTAATGTTATGTGAAAATATTTTTGAGATTGAGATAAACACCTAAAAAGTAATTTATTTAGCTTTTCATCAAAAATTAATTAGAATTTTAAGACAACTTTTTTTGGTTGAAAGGTGGGTCGAGCTTTCAAAATTTTTCTAACGCAAACAGGGTGCGTAGCCAAATTTTTCAACAAAAAATAAGCACCTTTTGAGCACTTTTCAAGCATTCAAAAAATATTTTTAAGCACTTTAAAAAATCTCATAATTAGACAGGGTTGGCAAGTTTTTGACAGTTGATGGTTTTATCCGGTTTTATTTACAGTGATGAAGACGATGGCGTATCACAAACAATGAAATTAACAAGAGAAATGAAATTTTCTATCACTAATAGAGAAAAAAAATTGACAATGTTTAGTTGGTCCCCGCAATTAGCAAAAATTCGAGAGATTTTTCAATTCTATTACAGAGGTGGAAAATGAGATTTTTCGTTTCCATTACAGATGGCGGAAAATGAATTCTGAAATTGAGAATCTCTTGCAAAATGCAGCAGGGTTGCACGAGATAAAAATCCTTACCACTGAATCCAGCTCATTATACGTAAGTGCGGACCCGCAAGTATTTCATCAAACATGTAAAACAAATGGTGTTTTCATACACTACAGACCAGCGGTATGCCGAAATAGATTGGGGTTGATTTAATTCTGAAAACGTTGAATGTCTTTTTGCATAATTTGCGGCTTAAAACAACTGGGTAAATAAAAATATCATATTTTGGAAAATTAAGCACTTTTTAATAACACCCATGGAAAAAAGCACCTTTAAGGGCTTTTAAAAAATGCTTCGCACAATGGCAAGAATTGTCTACAAATTTGTAAATAACTGAATTAATAAACTGTATGTTCACAACTACAAAGTAACTTGATGAAGAACTGAGTTTCTTCTTGACCCCACGCTTTACTTCACTGTTATCGACATTTATCTAAATTAAGTTCTTTTTTTGCCCCCTTGATTTTTTCTGAAGTTAGCAGATGGTTGGTGGGAAACCCAGGAATCAAGAGAAACTGGATAAATCCTATAGTTTAGAGGAAAATCCAGCAGTGTAGGCAGAGATGCCCATATATTTGAATTAATATATGAGGTGTTTACCTTTCACACATATCAAATATGAACAAACAGAAACAGCCTACAGCAACAGAAGTAAGATAGTGCCAATAACTTCTAAGCTTATTCCTTTCTACATCATCCTACAATAAAAAAGATACAAGTTAAGAAATATTTTTATTTTTCTGCAGCAAAACATATTTCGAAAAAGAATTTATTTAAATAATAGTTATTATTTTGATTGAATTTTTTCTAAGTGGTTATTGTATTTTATAACCGTCAATGAACAGCTGATCCAATTTTGGGTTTGCGACTACTAATATTTAACTTTGTAGCGTTGCAATTTCAAAACAATCCAGAATACAAAGAAACTCCCCCCTGAGGTATGATTTGTTATGGGAACATGGAGGACTTTGTGATTAGACAGATTTAACATGTATCAGTCACCATTTACTGCACGGGGAGTATTCAGCCGGCCGGGTTCGAACCCACGACAGTGTGTCCATGAACCAGGGCCATCAAAATATGAACTGTAACATAGTATCAAGAAGGAACAATTTAATGAAAAAATAAGTAAGAATCAACTTTGCAATATATACATCACAGAAGCAAGAAATAAAACCTATCATTACATTACACAGCTGTTAGTTATGATGCACTTTTTTTCTTGTTGAACTATGACAGAAGCAATACAAAAGGAAATTAGGGTAATAATTTATCTTATGGTAGTTTTAAGTAATTTTGTTCAACTTTTCTGAACAATGGTTGCTCTAATGAATAACTAAAAAGAACTACATTCGGTTTCGTTAAGAAGAAAAAACACAAAACCTTCACATTTGTAAATGACAAACTTCGTATGATGATTCAATGACATTCAACAAACAATAAATGTCTTTGATCTTGCAGGTTCCATATTGAATTTACGTAATTGAAAATAAATATATTGTTTATAACATCCAGTAATTTATGAAAGAAATATTAAAACAAAATTAACATACCTTTCTACCTTCCTAAATTTTAAAGGCAGCCAAAAGAAATGTTTATTTTATTAGCATCACATTGAATATCAAAGTCAATACAAACTATAAGCTACACATTGGACTTACCATTAGATGCTCCCCACAGAAGACAAGCCAGAAACTGAGAAGAGAGGCATAGAATATACCCTGGCGAATATCACTGAACAAAAGCATAAATGGCATGTCAATCCAAAGAGATAAATATTCCAAAGGCACTAAAAATAGGATATCCCACAAATAAATTAAGTTAATAATAATAAGATTAAATTGTAAGCTTAAAACTAAAGTTGCAATTGAAAGGTTTAAACTTTTGAACTTTATTGGCACAAGAAAAAGAGGAAGACCTCTGTGTAGAACTAGACATTGGAAGTAAAAAAAAAAACAGTTAACAGTCTAAAGGGTTCATTGGAGGAGTTTACTGAGGCAGCTTTAGCCTGCAATAGGCTGTAATGCATTTAAAGAAGGAAAAAAATAGTCTTACGAATTAAGATCTTTTTAAAGATTTTAGGAACCTGTATGATAAGCATCGAAACAATAAACAATGCTTGAACAGACTTGCCAATTTCTTTGGTTTTTAGCGTTAGATTTTTCCAAAATATTTAAATTATTAATATTTAAAAAATTATGATTTAACATCTGATTAATAACTATTTTGACCACCTCAATATTTAATAATTCCAAGATATTTATAAAAGATCTTAATAAAGGCACACTGTGAGGTTTATAAGAGCTAGTAAAAAAACAATTTTTTCCCCTTATATTGTTAGCTCATAGCCATTTTCAACAGGGTAGTGAGATAGAAATTCTGGGTTGGAAAACATACACAAAATATACATGGATAAATAGTTTTAACAGTTTACATCAAAATAACTGTATAAATTACATAACAAATAAACTATTAACGAATAAACTGCCTCTTATTTATATTTTTGTTGAGCTATATTCAAGAAGAAAATTTTTCCTTGCAATCCTCCTTATATTTTTCAAAGATATTAATATATTATGCTTAATATTTTGTCTTAATTGAAATTACTTAATCATAATAATAACAAAAAAAAAATGAAATGTATGCAATACTGAAAAAGACATGTAATAGATTTAAATACATAATATACTTTTATGTGAGATTCTACAGTTTAAAAAAGTTACAAAATCATACGGTTAATTTATTAATTAAGTTCAGAAACATAACAAAACAACAATATTTTAAATAATCAATTCCAGAAGATAAAAATATATAAAATGAAAATAACTTACAATTTAACAAGCTAAGGGATATTCCAAGGAACAGCAGCATTCTAAAATATAAATTGAAAATATATTTATAAACAAACTTGCAAAAAATAATCAGATTTTAACATTCAATAAGCTCTCATTAAATTGTTTATCTGAACGTATGCATTCCTCTATGTATTGTGAATTCTTTGACTGTAAAACTATTTCTCTCTCTCAAACTAATGAACTTTTTAAACACTAAATCTAAAAGTAGAATTAAAATTTTTACTTTCGACAAATAAATAAATATATAAAAAGTAGTCATATTTTTTGATGTATGAATATAAATGCAGTTTATTTATTCTCAGCTTTATAAAGGCAGTTTGCATCAAATTTTGATAAAAATTGAAATTTCAGGGTAGGATAAAGATAAGTTATCTTTATACAGATACACAGGGTGCAATGGTACAGAAGCTTTTCAAATAATATTTGAGTAAAAGTTCTATACTTTTGTAAAGTAATAATTTTTTTCCACTTTAAATTAGAAATAAAGTTTTATTTTTTAAACATAAAACACATTCATTTTTACAATATACTAGTATAAAATGCCTATGGCTTATTTTTTTTTAAATTTGTTAACTTTTGTGTCCTAAAGAAAAAATTCTCATTAAATTATTTATTTTTATTATTTAATAGTATGTTTTGAGTAAAAAAAAAATATGCATCAGACACATTTTGTATTAAATTATATAGCTTAAAAAATAAAATATAGATTAAATGTCATTACCATCTTTTGTCAGAGACAAACATTTTACAAGAAATTTACTATATTATGAAGGTTTTACAAATATAAATGCATACAAATTCTAATATGATATGACAGTCTATAAAATGTATAAAAAATTCTATAAGAATAATTTGTTTATTTTGTTCTACACATCATTTTGTATATATTCCCAACCTGCTCTGCAATTTTTTGTTGCGAAAATCAAACTTCAAAACCATTTCTGGCTTGTAGGAACCTTGTAATGTTAATTCCCTTTTGCAAAGCAAGCCCAAAAATTGAGAAACAACTACATTTATTACAATGAAATAGTAAAAATAAAAGTTGGTCTTACCTTTCAACTAAAATTGGAGCTCTACAAAGAAGGCATATACGCTTCCAGTACCAAATCAACACCAACAGAATTACAGGAAAGAATACTGTCTTTAATGAGACCCAAACTTTAGTGAAACCACCATTCTGATGAATTATCTTAAAAAATAACAATAGTAATTCTGTAACTGACTTCAGTTCATTAGTTTTATTAAAATCATAAAATAAAAGAAATACAAGCAGTTTCACAACACTTGAAAATAATAGCAATTTGAATATATAATTAGGGTTATATATAAAAAACCAAAAAAATCATACTAAAATGTCTTTTAATTATATCAAAATCTCTAGCAAATGTTTTTATGAGTACAATTTAACAAATTTTCAACAGCTATTAATTTTGGAAGTTTATAGACATTGAGACCATTGTTTAGAATATTGAGAAGAAAAACAAATCTAAATTTCAGCAAAATGCAGAAGGATTTCTAAAATTTTTAATGTGTAGTATCCCAAGATACTTTTAAAAACAATACTTACAACAGTCCACATGTCATCCACATGCCCAATTCCTTCGTTTAAAGATGTTTTTCCAGAGAAATCAATGGGCACTCGTATGTTTATTAAATAGTAATCATGGTGTACACTCCCTAATTCAAAAAGTGGTAAAACATCACAATCATAATGATATCCATCAGTCTTCTAAAAAGAGTAAAGAAAGTTTTCATTCAACCAAATATTTCATTTAAAAAAAAATTCATAAGATAATTCTAAAATAAAGAAATAAGAAACAAAGTAATTTTTCAAAGATGTAGAATACATTTCACAATAGAGAGCTTTAAGGAGTTTTTTTGGAAAAATTATTAATAAATAAAACTCAACGGACATGACGCTAATAACCTAGCTTTACATTATTCTTCATTTATTTGCTTGTGATTTGCATGCCAAGAACCAATGCTTTCAAAAATGTATTTTTTAATACTAAAAACTATAGAATTTTGAAAACTATAGAACTGAACAATTTTTTTAACATCAAAAAATTTTTAAGAAAAAACAAAGCTGCCTTGTTTTATTTTTGAAATAGTGATTTTTAAGATTAAAATGATTTTTGAGATTAAACAAATATTTTAATCAAATTTTCAAGATTGAAGCAATTATAATAGAAAAAATAAATTTTTATTACAAATATTTGCACATATTGCAGCTGATCAGAAGTCTGATAATTTAACTAATTTTTTTCCTTCAAAACTGCTAGCTTTACATCTGAGATATTCAAATGTAACTTATGTTAAACAAAAGATATTTTAATCACTTTTTTTTTCTCTTCCAGTTTATTGGAAAGCTGGATCTGACAATTATAATAAAGTAGAATTGCTCCTTTCTACATCACAATTTAAGCTATGCTAGGAACATATATATAAGTAACCATGGTAAAAACCATGCACCTTGATCATAGCGAAATTAGTACTGTTTTCAGTGGCCGAACTCTGAATTACACATTACTAGTAAAGAAAAAGGATCTACTACATTGGTAAACTGTTGTTTAATTCACAGCTTCTATGTAGATAAGTTTGTTTTGCTAAGAAAACTCTCAAATGATCTCTTGTTTTTAAGCTATTCTTATTGGTCATTACATGAATAAAAATTATTTTTAGTCCACCTTACTATAGATTTAATAAAGATTGATACACTAACAAACAATAATGATTTTGTCTGACAAGTAGCACTGTTATATTTACTTTCAATAACCTCTGCTCTAAGTAAGGTAAGACTGAGTACCTTCTTGATGTGTGTCCACGTTGAGCCTACGAAAGCTGAAGTAGCGCAAAGGAAGATGACAACTACATACAATATAACATTGAACTAAAGTTTTATTGACCCTGGGAAAAAATTTACTTTGATCCTTTTCTCAAATCACGAAATGCCTCAGTTTTATATTTTCTTTGATGTTGTCAATTTATTAAATTCTTTTTTAAATATTTAAAAACTAAGTTACCTTGTCATCATCGATAGAGCATTTAAGTTCTCTTGTTTCAGTTGAATTTGCTAACAGCTGCCATTTATCATCTGGATCCCACTTGTTTCGATAGCCCAACTTTACATCAAATGTAATTTTAGGGTTTTTTGCTGAAAAAATTATTAAATAAAATCATTTTCAAATAGTATAGTTATATATGAATACAAACAGTTAAAAAAAGTTTTATGATCAAAAGTATCAATTCAACTAAAACAACATTTACTTTTTAATTTCAAAGATGTCTTGACAAGGCATAAACAAAATTTTGATTTGCTTATTCTATATTTGTAATTTGTTATACTATTTTAACAATTTATTAGGAGCAATTTTGAAAGACTCAAAAGATTCATGTGATCAATATCAAAAACAGTAAATCGATTTCCGTTCAAGTAAATTTAAAAAAAGCAAGACATGTATCACAATGATTAATCAATTCTTTTGTTACAAATCTGAATTAGTAACAAAATCTCTACTCACAGTCATACTTTATTAAACTATAAAAATTGTTATTTTTTTATTATTTTTTTTATGTTTCAAAAAAAAAAAAAAAAAAAAAAAAAAAANTTTTTTTTTTTTTTTTTTTAAAAAAAAAAAAAAAAAAAAACGAAACTTATAGACTAGAATTATAAATATATAATAGAATTATAAATTTATAGAAATTTGGTATTTGTCTTTTTAATTGATTGCGTCAAGCTTAATTAATGAAAAAAAGAAGAAAAAAAAGGGAGAAGTTGAGAAAGAGAGAGAATAAAATAAAAACAACAAAAAACTATATATATAATTATATATATATATTGCCATTAAGTTAAGAAAGAACAAAAACTGAAATAAAAGTTATATTTAGACATTGGAGTAATAATCTTACTCATGGGATTTTGCTTCATGAAAAGTATGTCCAGAACGAGCAATGCATTCATTGTCATCATCCATCGAGAATAATCCAGAGTTATTCCATTTTTGGGAAGCGGTGTTTGGAAAGCAAAAACAATATGATTGGGAGTAATATTTGGATCATTAATGATGTCAGGGCTGTCCAAATCAAGGTCATTAAGGATTTTGCAATTCACACTTTCCATCTTACTTCCTCGAGGTATATGCCACACTTCATCAAATTGTTTAATTGATAGTGGTTGTTGCATCAGACATTTAGTTGCTAGCATGTTTTCCGCATTGGAAGGGGCTGGAGCTATTGAAAAGAAGTATTTCAATCATAATTATGATACATTTAAAAAGCTTCAGTAATTAAGAATGTTCATAAGTACATAGTGCTTTAATCACTAGTTATTTATCATAAAGCTTTAATTTATTGTCTTCGTAAGGATGATAAAAAAATAAACACTCAAAGAATTGGCAAAATAATAATTATCAACATTCTGTGATTTCCTTAATTACTCAATGATTTGCTGATAATATTATTGGTTCATTCATTATTATTAAGTTACTAATTAATAAATTCTCTTATTTGTTTCATTTTATACCCAGGAATCAATTTTAAATAAAATTCAGTTGTTTACAGTTAATCATGAAGTAGGAGCCACTAATTTGATTAATATAACATTTAGTTACAGTAAATACCTAAATGAAATAGAACTGCAACTTGGATCCTTTCTAGCTTTGGTAGTAAAAATGCGAAATGACTAGAAAAAGAATTTAAAATTATAGATGCTCATCGACACTTCACATTTTTACAATTAACGATGCAGAAAAACAAAATTTTGCTCTTAATAGTAACAGTGTTAACAGAATTAATGATATACAGATTCATTAGATAAAATATCGTATTTGAGTTAAGATCTGCTCAGAGATGAAAAAAAGGAAAAAAGATGTGATTGTTGCGTGGGAGAAGCAAACATATTGAAGTTGCGCAGAATTTCTTAGCCTTATCTTTTTAAAAGATTAAGGGTTCAGATCTCAACACCTATGTTCTTCGAAAGAAACATTGCTTGTTGTTTTTCCTGTAATACATATACTCTGTCTAGATAAACAAGGAGCATTCAGATAAATTCTGAAGCAAAGGGTATGTATTGAAACTTAGTTGACAGTTAGAAATAATTTGCATTATATTAGACTGAATGTCTGTAGAGGGTATTGTATGTTAGAGTGATGAAAATGAAGAAGTTTATTAAATATGGAAAAATTAAATAGCTATAGTATTGATTTTTTTAATTAAGAGATTTGATCATTTATGTGCTTGACAGTTCGGCTACATCATTGATGTACTCGTTAAATGCCTAAGTGTCATTTGGCAGAAAATTTGTCAGTTACATGTTTTTACCTATTTCAGTTATTTTCTTGTAGTTATATTTTATGAGTATATCATTACATCTTTTTTATCACAAAATCTATATATTTTTGTTTAGTTCTTATTACTGATTTTGAACCTTCACAGATTCTTGACTTCGGTAGACACAAATCATTAATATAAATTTTTCAATCACTAGGCACATTTGTCATGGTTAAGATTGGTTTTATGCTTGTTTCTAAAACCTTACATTGCTTCACAAACCTATTTCTTGAGAAGCAATTTTAAATTCTTGATTTTCTATCGAGATATATAGCAAAGAAAAATTATTTTATGCCTAAACAAAACAAAAAAATTATAAGAATGGTGATATTTTCAAGAATAGCAGAAAATTAAAATTTTTTGAGTGAATGTTAGAGTAAGCAAATGACTGAAGTTTATGAAGACAACAGAAAGTAATACACAATCACAATGAAATATTAATAGAAAAATTTAATTTTAAAAAAATCAATTGAAATTAACACCAGGAATGTTAGATTTTACCGATTAATCCTCCGATGAGAAAACAAATTATTTGACACAACAGGAGACCTGAGACGAGATATCCTAATTTACGACCACTAAGGTTTTCTAGAATTGTACCAGCCATTATTTAAGACTTTTCTTTAATCATCAAATTAATTGTCTATTTATAAAGTTTCATATAAACCTTGTTTAACAAAATGCCGAAGCAATTTTTGACAAACACAAAACCCAAACAACAGCTCATTAAAATTCAATAATAGGCAATTTCAACGGTTTTAGTTAAGGAACACTCTGTTAAAATTTCATGAAAAAAAGAATTTTTTAAATTAAAAATTGACAAAACGTCATAAAAGTAATCAACATTGTACTTTGCTTTAAAATTGAAAAATATTATACTGAGTTTCTAAGCAATATATATTTAAATTGCAAAAATATATGCAATATATAAATAATCGTTTATTGTATCGAAAAGCATCGAAATCATCCGGCAGAAGGAAAAAAATAAATAAAAGTTACAAAAAATTTCAAAGTGGCGTTTGTATATCTAATATTAACTTCGCTCTTTTTTATCTAATTGCTGTTACGACAGTATTATTTCTTGCCTTTTCATTTTGCCTTACTGTTGATTCAGGCTTCTCTTGTACTATATGGAGAGTGAATCACTTAATAACAACTCTAATAGTAAAAATATGGATGGTGATAAGTGGGGAGATGTAATTAAAAAAGATCAAAATGATCGACGGTTAGTCGCTTCATTGAAGAATTAATTTCATGTTGTCTGTCCTCTTTTTTATTTTATGAATTTTCTGCTTATTGCGAAATGTTTATTTAATTTATTTGTCAATTAAAATATTTTTGTTTCTTTTAGTATTCTTAAGCCTATTTTAACGTAACCCTAGATAACTGAAATTAGGTGTTAATTCGTAACTGATCATTCAAACCAATAGATTATGATGAGTATAATGTTTCAATTGAATTCACTATAGTTTGCACTTCAAATTGTCTTGTTGTAGTAATCGTTTTAGCATTCTGCATTTCTTACATATACAGAATGTACTAATTCTACGTACTGGGCCGCCCAAGGGAAGAAATTAAATTAATTCCATTTTATTTGCTGTTATGAATTCTGTCGGGTTTTTACGACTTTCCATGGAAGCTAACCGGGGGTCACCTGAAGCCGCACCAATATCGCGCATGTAATTCTATTTTATTTGGAAGGAATGTTTAAATGCAGTTTAATTAAAATTTTTAAATCTAAACATTCTAAAATATAAACCAAGCCCATCCCCTAAAACTATCATAAGCTTAAAATGAAAGTGCAAAAATATGTAACTGTTTGATAATCTTGTGAGAAAGACTTGTTAAATTTACATGAAACTTAACTTATATGTCTCAATAAGTGTGTATATGTTATATATGTATATATTTATTATACACATATATATATTATAAGCATACATTTTCATTTTGCTTATAGGGAGACACTGAAAATTGATTTAGGTCCCAATGGAGCTTATAATCATTTAATTAATCCATTAAGTAATGCTAAAAGAAAATCCTTATTGGGATAGATAAATGTTTAAAAGTTATTTACACCCTTATGATTCAAAGTCATGATTTTAAGGAATTGCTCAAATTTGATAAAACTAAATTGTAGATTATTTTTATATCAAATAAAATTAAATGTGCAGGACAAACTGATTTTGAAACATAATTTAATTGCTTTCATAAAATTTATATTTAAACTACATGTTGAAAAAATTAATAATTTGTCAAAAAGTTTAAAATCATGATTAGTTATAATTCATTAATTTTTTCACACTTTTCTAGCTAGTTTAAGATCTGCATAAATTCAAAGAGAAATATTTGCTATAGTAACATATGTTAGATATATTAATCATTCATTCGATAAATTTTCAAGAAACTGAAATTAAAGTGTGCTTTTGTTCATAACAAATTGAAGAAAATTACTTATCTTCATAAGAAAAAAATAAATAAATGTATAGATAATTTTACTAGGTGACCAAGTAAGAAAGTATTTAGTTTATTTATTGTTACACATTCAAAATAATTTTTCTCATGGCTAAACCAAAACTTATTTGCTAACCATAAATTAACCATTATTATTCTATAATCAAGTATTGCAAATCATGATAATTTTGCCAGTTACATATAAGAATCTAATGAATAAAAATTCTTTTAGATCTCGGTCTCCTCTTGATAAAAATAAGTCTAACCGCAGTAGAGATTCTAGTATGAACCGAAATTCTCGGAGTCGTAACCGTTCAAGATCACCTCGTTCTAGACGCACAAGAGCACCCACAAACCGGAGAATATATGTGGCTAACATACCTTATGACTGCAAGTGGACAACTGTTAAAGATTTATTTAGGGATAAAGGTACGTAAAAAAAGGTATTTTAATTTTGACTGTAGGCAAGGTGCGTAGTGTTTTTAGAAAGTGCTGAAAGGTGCTTATTTTCTATTAACGTTTATTAAGAGCCTTTAAAGGTGCTTTTTTTATTGGGGGTTTGTAAAAGGGGCTTAATTTCCCATATTTCGAAATGAGATATTTCCTTGCTGTAACTATTTTCATTATAAATTACATAAAAAGCCTGATTTTCACAAGTTTTTCTGAAATATTCATCAGAAACTAGTTATTTTATCACAATTATGTAAAGCCTGAAAATATTTTTGCATTTTGTTGATTTTATGTTTATAAATTAAGAACTTAAAACTATAGATAGAAATAATTTTTATTACTACACATATCTGAATTGTGATTTTTTGAAGGGTTTAGGGGGAAAGTGATTATAAGTATTCTTAAGTGCTTAAAAGGTACTTATTTTTCGTTAAAAATATCTTTCTCCTCAACCCGAGTAAGGTACATCTTAATTTATGATGATTTTTAGAGTCAGGTTTAATGTTTTGTTTTGGAAGAACTGGGACAAAATAGAAAAAATAACAGTTGTTCATTAATAAGTCACATAAGAATAGTTATAGTTTAAATCAGGGTTGGCAAGTTTTTGACACATGACGGTTTTTACCGTCATGTCAAAAACCCCTCTGCTAAAAACCCATAGTTTTGGTAAAACTGTATTTTTATTTGAGTTTAACTGCTTATAATTTAAAATTAATTCTTTTGATCAATAAAATTGGAAAAAAAGTTGTTAAAAGATATTTAAGAACAGATTCTTGCATTTTCCCAACAACAACATTATCGAAACATACTATTTGAAGTAAAATATTAGGATACTGAACAAAATTTTCAACATTTCCAAGCATCATTTTGTTTGGCATATTACATTACTGAAGAATGTCAAGTCATTCTTGACTTAGAGTTTGTTAGTAGTTACAAGTTTTGAAAGTTTTGTTTAAATTATTTCTAATATTTAAGAAATGCCAAATTTTAAATTCTTCTTTTTAGTTTTTGAATTTATTAATAGTTCCAAGCTTTTTTGTTTGTTTGTTTATTTCTAACAATTAAGAAGTGCAAAATTTTGAATCCTTTGCAAATCAAGCTATAATGATAAAAGTAAGTATCACTATTTTCAATAAGTATATTACAATATTTCTGTATGAATGTATATCCTTCTATAAGAATACATGTATATAGTTGCAAAATCAATAGCAATCATTTACAACATTCATTTATAAAGGCAATTATGTGAAAATAATATATTGTCCGCTATATGCCATAAATTAAAGAAAACAGTAGGTTTTTGACGGTTTTTACCGGTAAAAACACGGTTTTTACCACTGTCATGTCAAAAACCAGTTTTTGACGGCAAAAACACAACCCTGGTTTAAATGAACTAAAGGTTGCAACAGATGCTCTTGAATCAGCTTCATAATTTTGGCTACATTTTTCATGCATGATATATAATTATAGTAGTAATTCTATAAGTATTGTACATGATTTAATTTAGGCTACATTTTTTATGCGTGATTTATAATATGAATCATAATTATAGTAATTATTTTAATTATATTGTACATGATTTGAACAGTTAAGTAGCTTGATTGCTAATAAGATTTTTCCTGCGACTAAAAGAACTTTCCTCAGTTTTTTTGGTTTTGTGAGAATTTATTTTGGTAGGACCACCTAAAGCTTAAAGCTATTTCATTATCAGGGGTCTGTCTAGGTTTTTCTGAGAGGTACCTATTTTGTGAAAATTTAGACATAATTTGTGAAAAATTAAAAATTATATTAAAAAATCGACACAAAAATATGGTAAAAAAAAAGGATTTATCGTTTCTTAAGGGATAAAATTTTTTTTTTTAAGAAAAAGTATTTTGTGAAACTACCATTTTTCCTTAAGTTGAATTTGTGAGACTACCGAAGTTGAATTTGTGAAGGCTTTATTTAGCACTGTAGGCAAAATTAATGTTAAGACTTAAACCTTATGGTGGCTCATGGTTGTAGACTTCCCTGAAGCTGCATTCATCGTTATTGGTCGATCTGAGAATTTTAAAAAACTCTTATTTGTCCTCAAGGAATATCCTGCAATGTTGAATTTTGCTACATTTTTTAGAATTGTTTATAAATTCAGAATTTTTTTTTAAATGTTCATTTAGCAATATGACAATTAAGTAGAATCTGCTTTATAATCATGAAAAAAAGTCACTTTTTACTGCAGATTTTAAGCTAAAGGCATCATTTGATAACCTTACTTTTAAAAATTTGACATTTTTGTACATATTTTTATCTAATATATGGATAAATGATGTATTTGGGATGACGTGGGTATGATGCAATTCCAGTTGCAGAACTAATTTAATACAACAGAATGAAATTCTATAATTATGATAAGCTATATGTACAATAGGAAATTTTTTGATTATGATTTGATTTCTTTGTTACATCTTTTATATATTATTTGTTTCAGTTGGCGATGTTTCTTATGTAGAGTTATTTGAAGATGAAAATGGAAAGTTTAGAGGTTGTGGGTAAGTTAGTTCGCCAATTAATGATTTAATATATCAGTTGTTATGTCGCTAACTGGTTACGCAAAATTATAAATTAAAACAAAAATTTGCATACTGTTTGCTTTTGATTGTAAGATATTTAAATCATTCTCATATTTTCTAATTCTGTTTCACCCATAAGATTTCTAATTTAACAATAATATATATTTTATTATTATTTATTTTAATCATTGTCATTTAAATACCAGTTTTTGTAAAAAGCAAAAGCTTTCATTTCACAATCTTTGAAAAAATAAATGCAAATTTTTATCAATTTCATACGTACAATGCACTACTTGTAATTCTGTATGTGTCTTTTGTGATAAATGTCTTTTTTTATTGTAATTTTCTTTAAATTTTGCAAAAATGCATTGAATATTTAGTAGTTTAAAATTTACTAGGAGGCTTCGCCCCCTGCTCGCTGGCGCTCGCCAACCCCCAGAACTGCTTTTGCAGTTCATTTCGGATTGCTTCGCAATCCGATGCTCGCTCGTTGGATAAGCTCTTAACGTCTAGCTTTTGTATACTTTTTAGAACACTGAAGTTCCGAAAACTTTTCACTGTAGGAAATTCTAAACCTGTGCATTTAATTATTAATTTGAAATTGCAAACAGTTCACATATTTTTCTTAATCACACTATTCTAAATTTCAGTTGTTGAGAAAAGTAACTTTTGTAAATTTTGTTTTAAAGTATTTCCGACCAGAGGGCTAAAACCATGTGTTGTAAAACAATATGAAATAGTACTGAACGCCGGATGTAAAGCATCGGCTTCGATGAAGATAATTTTGTGAGAATTTTTTTGATAATTCAGTGAGAATTCACCCGATTAGACATATGATATGCTCACTACGTGCTCTTGCGCGCCAAAGCCTATCAATTAAAACGTATTAGTGTTTTATGTAACATAGATTAGCCATATGATGCTCACTATGTGCTCTTGCGCTCCGAATCCAATCAATTAAAAATGAAAACTGTTGCCAGCGCGAGAAAAGAAATATCATCGGTCTTATTGATACATACGTACATATTAGCGTTTTATATAATATAGATTTTGTGTCTTAGTTATAAATAGAAATTATTTGAGTTAATTTATTAATGATCCAACTTTTTTTTACACTTTAAGGACATTCAGGGTACACCCTGAGTTAACTTTCAAAATCTTCCTTTTTTAAAAAATCATATTTTTTTTTTTAATTGGGGGCACTTGGGTTCATTTCCCAATTGCCTCAGAATTGCTACTCTCCCTGTGGGCATCTGTGGCTAAAGCCCTGGCGTTGGAGTAGCGTCGCCCACTACATGCAACCACTAACCCGTTTATAGGACAGGTTACATTCACACAAAAAAAAGGACATTGAACACAGAGAGAAAGTTACATCCATACCTACAGTGGGATTCGAACCCACAACCACTGGCCCTGTAGTACAGTAACCACTTGACCAGTGATCGGCAAAATCCGTTGCTAGAAGTTATATATATATATATATATATATATATTACATAAGTTTTATTTCCAATTGCATAGTCTATTACTGTCTTTGTCATTTCTGTAGTAGATTTTTTACTTGTTGTCAGATCTAATTCATTGTTCCATGAAGAATCATTAAATACCATGTACCTTTGATACCATATCTCGTGATGTAGAAGTTACATGTTGTATAATTAGACGTTTGCTGATGAAACTAAATATGAAATTTTTTAATTTTATTAAGAATTTGAATTATTATAAGTAAAATCTCTCTTTACGTAAAAACGAAATATGATGAGAAATAATGTAAATTTAGTTGTATGATGCATTAAAGAGTTTTTTTTGGCGGAGAAAATTTGATGCAGAATTATTCATATCTATCTACTTGTGTATAAATGCATGGATGGTGGGGAAAATGCATTGCATGCATATCAGTGAACAGAAAAAGAAAAGAGAAAAATATATTTATTTGACATCGACTAATAAAAATAAAATCTTTTTCTTTTGAATAAATTCTCATTCTTTGGAAGAGCGGTATCAATTGCAAGTTTTTCTTGGTGTGGAATCACATCTGCTGTAATTAAAAATCTTGTTTTTATCAACAAAAAAAATAAAATAAAAGGAGAATTGTTTATTAATTTAAACATAGGATTATTTTATGAAGCAGATTGCAGTTTTGTTTTTCTGATTCCACTACGTTTGATTTTTTTTCTTTTCGCGATAAATTTCGCACTCAATAAATTAATTCTTTTTATTCATAAATTTTATCATTAGGTTTTTTTTTTTTTTTTTTTTTTAATTCCGTTGATCTTGCCTTGTTCCGGGTTTTAATATTTATGCTAGTGCCTTTTTTAACTATCGTTTCGGTTCGATAATTTTCAAGTGTTTTTATTTAGATTAATAAGTTTTCCTTTTATTTTATCGTTTCCCCCCGTATAATTAGGTATGAAATATATTGCGTTATTTAATCATTGGTTTTGTTTATATTATTTAATTTAGGAATTGTAATTATTTTTAAAAAATAAATATGAGAATTTTGTATTTTTTAAACTTGATTTTCTTGTCTAAACTTGCAAATTTTTTTGTTCTTTTAAATGTTATATTTCTACCATTTTTCTTTTTAAAGTTAGGAGTACCTTTCTTTTTTCTCTTACTTTGCATTACACTTTTTCCTTGTACTTCGGGTGCGATAAAACATCGATTATCGACACTTTTTGGTCGATCCAGAAAACCGGGAAATTCAGATATCCGGGATAGCGATGGTCCCGAGCATCCCGGATAATTGGTTCTCTACTGTACATAAATTCATAATTTTTTTCTTAACTCACAAACCTCCTTTTTTGTTTTTTTTTGTTTATTTATTTTTATATAACTTAATTCTAACTTAATTTTTTCCAAAAAAGTGTGTAAAAAATGTTTTTTTTCTTTTTATAAAATTTTAAGTGGAATAATTGAATTTTAGTATGATCTCTTATTAGAAATAGACTGTCTGAAGTTTTTATTGTTATTATTATTTTTTTATTTTTACTATCAATGTTTATAATTTTGTATAAATAGAATTTTTTTTAAGGTTGCCTAATGTTTTTATTTATTTCTTTTTTAGGATTGTAGAGTTTAAAGAAGCTTCATCTGTACAAAAAGCGGTGGACTTATTACACAGGTACGAATTCAAAGGACGCCAACTCGTTGTTAAAGAGGTAATGCTCATTCTTTAAAAATAAATAGTAAAATACATAAACATTTTCAAGCATCAAAACTTTTATTTATGTATCCATGTATTTTTTATCTATCTTGTAGGATTTTGATGTGGATAGAGACAAAACTGGAAAACCGTTGGGCAGAAACCGCAGTATTGGTGGAAGCAGTCTAGACAGAGATAGAGATGATTATCCGGGTATTGCTGGACTTGGAAACAGCAGTGCTCCTCAGTACAATACTTATGGTTTAAGTCCACAATTTTTAGATGCTTTGGGAATATCTGGGCCACTGACTAACAGAGTTTTTGTGGCCAATGTAAGTTTGAAGTTCTATATTTTTCTCCTGTCGTGTTGTATTATATTTATACTTTAACTCTTACCTTTATATATGATAGTGACTTAATTTAAAACTTAATTCTGGCGATTTTTAAATAAAATCTTTTCATTGATTTTGATTTCTATTGGTTGATTTTAGTTTTTTCCATTGTCCTGAAAGAACTCAACTGATTGAAAATTTGATTGCTTCTATTAAGTTTCAAGCAAATTTGATTGCTTCTAAAAAGTTTCAAATTAATATTTTGTACATTGAAGTTTTTATAAATATTTTGTACTAGCTGTGCTTTCATTGCTGAAAAAAATGGAGAGTATCACCCCCTTTTGCAAAAACAGATTTTTAAAAATTAAGAGAATATGTAAGAATCTGTAACATAAATAGATTTGGAAAAAAAAATATTTAATAGATTTTTAGCATCTATTTTTAATGCATTGATTAATATTGTTGCCTCATATGAAAAATGTTCCATATCTGTTACACTATTTTGTTTTGAGTGCTAAGAGAAATTTCAACAGATGTTAATAAGAATCACTAAATAAATTTAAAACTTGGTGTGTATGTTAAAGTATATTTCTAAGTATGATATTTCAGCAACCTTTGCTGTTTTAAAAGAGCTATAGCTTATTTTGTTTTTACATGATATAAAGGATTCTTTAAAAAAAATAATTTTTACAAAAAATAACTTTTAGTATTTTTATTTTCTGTAAAATTTTTCAACAATAAAACTCAAATTTTATGTGTAAATTGTGCATCTGCATGTGCATTGGCGGGCTTTGTATGCAGTTTATTTTTTTACCAACATCTATAGTACATGTGAAATAGGTTTCGTTAGTGTCTTATTATTATTTTTAGCTTGATTATAAAGTATCCACCCAAAAATTAGAAGAAGTTTTCAAATTAGCTGGCAGAGTTGTGAAAATCGACTTAAAGAGAGATGAAGATGGCAATAGTAAAGGTCATGGAACGATTGAAATGGGTCATCCCGTAGAAGCTGTACAAGCAATCTGTATCCTTTTTTTTCTCTTCATTGCTTTGCATTTTTGAAATACATGTCACATAAGTGCTAACTCTTCTGAATTTTCTAGTAGACTACTGGACTTTAACAGCTCCTGGTCTACTGGTTTAATAAAAATTCTCCTAGTTTTTGCACTATTTTAGAAAATTCACTAAAATTGAATAAGTTTTCTAAAAGAAATCCCAATTAAAATGGAATTTTCACTCAGATTATTGCTTGTTTCAATATTTAAACAAGTATTCCTGAATATTCCTAATATTTAAATAAGTATTCCTACATAATGAAGCTGGCCTCATTTATCAAAATCAGTTTAAAGCTTTTTGTTGGAAAATTTTTAGTTTATTTTTATCCAGAATTCCCTTCTTAAATTAATTAAAAAATCTTAATTATCTTTGATGAATTAAATGTCTATCACTATTCAAAAATATAAGTAAACATAATCCATAAAATTTGAAATTCATTTAATGTTAATTATAACTGGGTAATTTTGCATTTTTCCTATTTTAATAATTCTAAAATTCCCTATGTGTAAAATATTCTGTACATTATGCTACAATTATCATGAAGTTTATTTTATTTTGTAAAATCTACTGGATTTTTTTACTGTCCATGTTGGCAACTATAATTTTAAAATATTCATTAATACTTTTCCCCTTATTTGTGAAACAAATTGTTTAAAAAAAATGTGGCTGCACAAAATGAGAAGATCATGGAATAGAACCAATAACTCAACTTAATTCAATGTTGTAAGTTGGTTGGATAAATACAAAGCACTAGGCACTGTTTTTATGTATTTTTTGTCCTACTGTTTCATTTTTTTAATTTTTATTAGTAATTTTAGTCTCTGCTGCCCTGAAAATGTAAGAATGGAGCCCGTTCAAAAAGTACGTACATCCCGAAGGGGGGAGGAAGGGGATTTGCTATTTTGTATGGTTTTGTACAGTGGGGAGGGGGGAGGAATTATACATACGTACATTATAAGCATACAGCAAAAATAAAGTTGGGTGTCATTGTTTAAATAATTTAAATGAATAAATTATTTTAAATAAATATTTAATTTTATTTAAAACATAATTATTTTAATATAATGTACGTATTCTAAGGGAGGGGTAAAACCTTATGTACAGTAATGTACGAAGGGGGGAAGGGATAAAAATTTCTCTATTTTTGTGTACATACTTTTTGAACGGCCCCAATGCAAAAAGAACTGTATTCTAAATAAGCAAAAAAAGTATTATGGTATGTTACAGTTTATTATATTTTTTTCATTAAGTATAATTTTTTAATTTTTATAATAAAACTAAAGTTATCATTTTCTATTATTGAGTTTTAAGTTTAATTTGATTGTCTATTTCTACCTTAACACTTTTACAGCTATGTTCAATGGTCAAAAATTTTACAACAGAACGATGAGTGTGAGAATGGTGAGTTGGGCTGTTTGTAAATTTTCTATCAATTCAATATCTATCAATATTTTCTAAGTTTTTTCTTTAAATATATAAAGCTTTTTTTGTCAAAGAATATATAAATGCTTGGCTCAAAGCAGGTGAATGGCCTCTTTGATCAGTTTGCATAGGGAAGGTAGGTGCATGGTATTGGTCCTCCTTAAAAGTGTTCGATTGTAAAGTGTGTGCAGGCTGGCTGCCAACATAGAGGTGCTGTCACCTCTACAGAGGATCAAGTGATGACTTAACTTCAGATCATGCTCAAGGATATTTCCCAGACAGCCAAATGCACAGCTCTAGTGAGATGTAAATAAAGTATCACTTTAACTACATATTTATTCTATGTTAAACAAGCATTTCTTATATTAAAGTATAACTTATAACCTTTAGAATATTAAATATTTTATTTTTCGAAATCTTTTTTATCATAGTAATAATAAGAAAGTTTTAATTTATTAAATAACTCATTACATTAATTTTTCTTTTTGATTTTTGCTCTTATGCTTTCACTTATTTAAAAATGACTTGAAAATAAAAGAAAAAACATTATTTATACTAACTTAAATTCTAACCCGCTGAAAATTTCTTTATTAAAAAGAGTTTCTTCCGCTTGGGTTGGAAGAAACACATTTCTTCAAAGACAGTTTTTTTCACTGTGAAAGGAACTTGCCATACCTGATCTTCAGTTAATCATTTTATTGTTCATCCACAATTCCTTTTTCGCCCATTGTGGCAATCTAGATTCGGGACTTTGCAAGTGAGGGACCCTTGCGTTGCTTATCGATAAACGAGCTTTGAAGAAAGAAGTGTTTTTTAGAGCCCTTTTAAATGGAATTAAATTTCTTAGAAGTAATCTGAAGTGTTTGTAGTTGTGGAAAACTTAATGATTTGTCTAATTTTCTTCTTTTATTAGGATAAAAAGCACCATGATGATGCTGAAGATAAACGTTTACCTGGTAAGACCCTTTTTTACCATAGATTTTTAAATGTTTGTAATTTTTGTTTAGTTTCGGACATTAATTTATTCATTATTTTATAATGCTGTTTTTTAGAGGGTCTTCAAAGTGTTGGAAAAGGTCTTGGTGCAAATGGGCTTCCCCTTCATTTATCAAGTAAGAATGTTTAATAATATACTGGAGAACAATAAATTTTTTTTTTTTTGCATGAGATTTTTTAGCAGATCTTAGATTATTGATGATTTTGTTAAATCTAATTCCTATATATTTTACAGTTTTCATTATTTTGTTTTTATTTCTGGATCACTTGCCACTGAAAGCGTTAAATGTTTTTTATATTTATTTTTTTAAAATAATTTAACCCCCTGAATGTTAGTCCTGGCTGTTTCGGAGTTTTCTCTTCATGCATCGGAAAAAACAGTTTTGGGTCCGAGTTCATTGGAAAAGCAGTGTATATATATTACTGCAATTTTGACTTTGGGGTTCTATGTTTGGAGGATTCAAGTTATGTAGAAATCAATACCTCTGGGGGAACTGGATTGGAGAGTGATCTTTCTCTGATTCAGGTCAAAATTACGATCTGTGGATGAATGTATGGGTCCGTCCTATAAACGGGTGTGACGTATGGTGTGGCAGAAGTCGAATTCTTGGCCATAGATGGTGCCACTGGAAAACAAAAAACGCATACTCTGCCTTAAATTTGCTCGATTTCACCAAGCAGACTTACCCGTGTGGCAAGTAGCATTAGAAACAGCAACAAGTTATGTAAGGTAAATTTAATTTGCTTGAAAGGAAGAATAAAACATTGCAATGGCATACTCAATCAAAACTTCTTATATATTTCAGTTACGTATCTAATATTTCAGTCTTTCTGATTTTCTAAACTTCCGAAGAAATTAAATTTTTATTATTTTATTCTCTTTCTTTTTGCTACACATCATGTAGCAAAAAGAAAAACATAAAAATAAAATAAACTTTAAATAGTAATAATTTAAATGTTTTCTTTTTGCATAAAATAATTTCACATGCTTTTATTTTTATGCTTTGAGCTGATAGATATTTTCACACTTTTCGTTCTTTTCCTGCTCTTAAGCCTGGCATTTATAAAATGTTTAAGTACTTGATATAATTTTTTTTTATTTAAATTAAAAATGTGTTTCAGATACTTCTGCTTTGAACAATTTAAGTTCAGCAGCTCTAGCTAATGTATCAGGCATTGGAGGCGTCGGAGCCGGATCCCTTGGTCTGATGTCAAACCAGATAGCTCCTGCTGTAGTTGGAGCTAATGCCACTGGTATCCCCGGATTGGCTGGCATCGGTATGAGCCTGAACGAGCGCAGTTTCTCTGGAATGGGAGCTGGTGTGGGTGTAGGACTTGGTGCCACTGGCTCTTCTGCTGTTGGTAGTGCCAGTCTTCTTTCTGGTGGTCTAGGTAGCCTTTCTAACTCATCTGCTGGTCTTGGAAATAGTGGCTTAGGAGGAGGACTGGGAGCTGGATTAACTGGAGGACTTGGTGGTGCTGGAGGATTGTCTCTTGGTGGAAGTGCTGTCGGCTCTGGTGGATTGGGCTATGGCGATTACGACAGAGGTTATGATCGAGGAGATGATGGATATCGTACTGGACGAAGCTCTGATACTCTTATTGTGAGAAATGTAAGTTGCACATCATATTGTTTAAACAGTTTTTCAATAATTTTGTAAAGTAAATCTTTAAAACGGCAAATTATTGATAATTTTTTTCATGTTGCAGTTACAACCTGTACTGAATTCCATCCATTTTTTTTAAAATCTTGAGTTCTTTCTGATTTACAATCTGTCCTCAATATCTTTATAAAGGTAGTAAAATAATTTTTAAATGAGGCAAAAATATTATTATTCAATAAGTTGAACTGACTTGTGTGGCAAGTGCATCACTATCAATTTAATTTACAGTAATCTGTTACATGTTTCAAATTGACAGTTATTGAAGGTGGAATATTAAAATTTCAATCTGCTTCATTTTGTGAACTTTGATTACAATATTGGGATTTTGCAAATCTCCTTGGAAAACAGTTTCAGTAAAATTACATTGCTAGTAGATAATTGAAGGAAAAAAATTGCTTTCTAAGTATACTCCCTTTTTCTTTTTATGAATTAAGAATTTATGCTGTGAATTTAAGCTAATGATTAAAATAGAAATTATGATTGGTTATAGATTTGAATTAAATAGATTTATTTAGCTAATGATTGAAATAGAAAACTAGTCTCAAAATTACTAACTTTAAGACTCTAAAAGGTGGAATTTCGAATAATGTTTCTTTAATAATGGCTGGAATATTTCTGATGCCTTAGTCAACTTTTTCAATAACTGAATCTGTTTTCGTCTTTCAATTCTGCTTCAAGTTATCAATGTTCCACTGTATAAATATGTTTCTTGGAGATGAAAAAAGTGTATAATATCTATTTCTGATGTCATAGTCTTTGATACAATAAGGGTTCCAAAGTTTTGCTAAAAATATACAATAAGGGTGAGATTTTTTTTTTTTTTTTCATTTGGACAATTAGTCTGTTTGTATTACAGTTGAATTAATCTGGATACCTTAGATTTATTTTGTTTCGTGTCATTATAAACTATTACCTGTTATTATTTAAATTTGTGAAAGACTGAACAACTCAATTTGATTTGGTTTTATTTATTACTAAATTGAATGTCCAGCTTAGACCAGCGGTTCCCAATTTTTTATTCCTTTGATTTTGGAACCCTATTTGATTTGCCAGTTTGATCGACCTCTTTGTTGCCGAACCCCAATTAAAGTATATCAAATATTGGCCAAAAAGCCAAGTAGTTCAATATCATTCACAGGTCTCGAATGGAGTTGTTAAACATCTAAAAACAACTTTTTAATATATCTTCAAGAACACAGTATTTCTGTTATACATGGTTTCCAAATTTTCTGTGCTGGTGTTATGTTTTCTAGCTTGACCAATCGTGTAATTTAACACAACTGCATTTTCGCTTTAGGTTTTTGCAAGTCACAAACTAGTCCTAACTCTTGTAAACTCTGTGACTTTTTCCACTGAACCATAGGGCTCTGTGGAACACATTTTTTGGGAACCGCTGTCTTAGTCTATTTTTGTACTTATGAATATATCAGACTAACAACAGCTATTTTTTTAAATATATATTAATAAGCTCTTAGATATATTTGGTTGGTGCAATCTATTTCTATTGCTAATTAACAACCAACCATTTGGAAATGTTCCTGCATTTTTGCTACATTTTTTTCTCATCAAAAATTAACTAACCAAATCTAAATGCAGCTGTCGATCATACCTATCAATTTGTGAAAGTATCTGTTCCTTAGTTGAGTTTTAACCAATAAAAGCACTGATTGTAAATTTCGTTCTATATTATATTTCTACTGAGAAATATGTTTGTTATAACATTTCCAATCCAAATGTAGCTATTGATGTGTGAGTGAAAGCCAGTCATGGAGGAGAACAAGCAGCAATATAATATACGGCCATTGCAATCTATTTCTATTACGAATTGACTACCAACCAATTGGAAATGTAACTGCATTTTTTTGCTACATTTCATTTTTCCAATAACTATGTGTACACATTACTAATTCACACCCAACCAAATCTGAATGCAACTGGCTCTGATACATTTCAATTCTTGAAAGTACCTGTTTCTTAGTTGAGTTTCAGCCAGTAAAAACACTAATTGTGGATTTCATTCTATGTTACATTTCAACTGAGAAATGTGTCTGTTATAAGCATTCCAATCCAAATGTAGCTATTGAGAGCCAATCAAGGAGAAGAGCAAGTAGCTGTTTAATACCAAGAAACAATGCTTGGAGAAGAAAAGTTTGTAACAATCAGTTTAGGAGAAATGAAAACTGTGTACTTATTGTACTATTTCTTAAACAGTGCATATTTCTTTGTTTTTTGTCGTTTATTTCAAGTCACTCTAGAATTCCAAAAATGGTAGTTAGTCTTGATATATGAGTTTTCATTTATTCTCTATAGTTTGTATTGGTCCAATATTCTGTATTTTTGTTTAGTGACTTATAATTTTCTTTTTCTAGCTTCCACAGTCTTACACATGGCAAAATCTAAGGGAACGTTTCCGAGACATTGGTAAAAAAAAGTGATTTTATTTTCCTTCACATTTTGATGTCTTTTTCTTGTGTCAGTGTCTGTCCAATCTCTTTAAATAAATTTCATTTCCTCTGAAATATCTTGCATCTCCTGATACAAAATATTTTCTATAAGTAGTGTTTGACACCAAGATGATTAATTGCAAGTTGGACAAAATCTTTATCTTGATATCTATATATCTTTATATACCATTATTTCCTTCCAGCTACCAATATATCTTAATTTTCTAATACCTATACATACCTGCCAAGTCTCCTGTTTTTTAACAAATACTCCTGCATTTTACGACTATCTCCTGTTTACCGGTATATTCTCAGATTTCTCCGTATTCGTTGAAGAAATTTAAAAAGAAAAAAAAATTGGCGGTAAACTGTCTGTTGATGGCAAAAATACTTCTCTTATACTTCAACAGTTGCTGCTATTGCCAGTACTGCAGTATGTTGAGTGTTTATAGTTCAAGTAATTATAAATAATGATTTTAAAAAATCTTCTTAAGATTAAGATTTATATACATATTTTTTACTTCGCTTAATGTAAGTGTTTATATTATATCCAATTTTGAATGTCTCTTTTTGACTTACATGATTATCCATGATGTATCAAAACTTGACTTGTAGCCTAAGAAATGTCGCTGGTAAAATCTCCATTATTTTATTTCTCCAATGCCTATATTTCTCCAATGGTAGGCCTGTATTTTTGTCTGGGCTATTGATACCGTCAGATTAAAAAAGCATTTTTTTGACTTAACAATTTTTCGATACTGATAATAGTATTGCTCTTATCTTAGTGAGCAGGAAGATAAATAATAGCTAGTTCAGCAATATCCATATATACTGTTCAGATACCAATATTTATCTTCGAAGATAAACTCTTTGAATATTAATTTAGATTTTCCTATCTTCAACTTGTCTGCTTTTTTATATACAAAAATTTTTCTCCCCAGATTATTCATTAGGAATGTGGTTTGAAAAGGGCGAAAATCCATACAAACTTGCCCAGATACTTAATGATGTTCAACAGTATTTATCCTGTTCTTAAACCAATATTTACTTTAGAAGATTAACCTTTTGTTCATTGATATAATTTTTACAAACTTCAACCTGGCTGTTTTCTTGCATACAAGAACTTCCCACCCCATTCATTAAGAATACTGTCTGAAAAACAAACAAGTTCAAATTCACAAATTTCTATTCAAATTTGTCCAATTACTTAACGTGCAGTAGATTCTACATTGCTGTCTCCAAAATTTTTATTCTGTTACCAATTCCAAATACCAATATTTCTCAGAAGAATATCTTTCTTCTGCAATATGATAAAGAACATAATATATTTTAAGTATAGATGATTCAGAGCGACACCATCATTACATGAGTACACTCAGACAGTATATATTTCTGTCCGACATTTATACTAGCAAATAAATAGTTTATGACAACAATATTTTGATCCTGGTATTACTATTTTTTCTATGAAGGAAATTAATTATTACTTAAGAATGTAATCTAAAAAAGACAAAATTCTACAAAGTTATCCAGTTATTTAACGCAACAATTCTTAATTGTTGCCTCCGATATTTTATTCTGCAGCTAATTTCATAAACCAATATTTCTCTGACTGACATCTTTGTTCTGCTGTGTCATAAACAGGAATGTGATTCTTCTGCGGATTCGCGGATTTCCGCTTTTTTTTTTTCTCCTTCAGAATTTTCTATTTCCCCCGCTAATTTCTGTTAAAAAAAATTTATTTTGCACAAGTTAAACTATTTCATGAGGAATTTAATTTTCCGTGTAGCGAAATTATTGAAGTCCTCATTCCTCCCTCTGAAGTTTCTAAAAATCATTTCCTTGGAATAAAACTGGTTGACCTTTATACAGGGATGAGATTTTTTCGCTTTCGTCCCTCGAATTTCAGCCTTTTTTATGAAAAACTCCAATTCTCTAAAAGTTTCGTTTTTAAAAAAAAAAAAAAAAATTTTTTTTAATATAAATATCTCGCTTTTGTTTAAAGTTCCAAGTTCAGACTCTGCAAATATCTCGATACTTATTCACTCGATTTTAATATCAATCATCGATTTTCATATTTACCTGATTAAAAAAAAATTCACACTGCAATTCTTATTTACGCTGTTTAAATATCTAACATTATGACTCTTATTTACGAGATTAAAAAATCCAATATCGTGTTTTGTATTTATCCATTTTTAAAATCACGATTTTATTATCAAACATCGATTTTCGTATGTACCTGATTTAAAAGTCGAACGTTGCAATTCTTATTCAGGCGATTTAAATATCGTACATTGCGATTCTTATTTACGAGATTTAAAAATCCAATATCGCGATTTGTATTTACTCGCTTTTAAAACCTTATGTAGCAATTCGTATTCATGCGAGCTTAAAGTCCAATGTCGTGATTCGTTTTTGTGGTTGTAATGTTCAGGATTTAAAAATTATGCATCGTGATTCCTATTTTAGTGATCTAAAAATTACGTATCATGATTTGTATTTCCGCATTTTTTAAATTCGATGTAGAGTTTCATATTCACGTGATTTAAAAGCCTCATATCAGGATTTATAATCACATGGTTTACAGGTTTAAAAATTGCACTTTTTTTTGTCAAATTTTTGTAAACATATATATATATATATTCTTGGATTTCCTTTTTTTTACTTTCTAACTAATCTCATCCCTGCGTAAAGAACTACATAACACAATATAGATAAGGCAGAGATATAAGTCACCAGTTGTAAAGAATAACATTAATGTAAAGGTATATTTTCTCCAGTTCTAACTAAAACAAGACACTAATTATCTAATCTGTTCAGGCGATTTTCTGTGTCCTGATATCAGAACTGGTTAAACATCAGTGTATTCTTTAGGCAGTCTTATTAATTCGAATGAATAATCAGTATGAATAATCACTTTCTGTAATGAATAATCAGTATTTCTCAACAAAAAAATAAGACACTAGTTTTTGTTTCCCAATGGAAACACTAGTTTAGTTTCTCAACATAAATTTGTCTTATCTTTTTGTGAACAAAAAAGCACCCTTATAAATTTCATTTAATTGACCAAAATATTCATAAATTGAAAATAGTTTAAGCGCACATAATTTATCTGGATATAAGTGTGCTTATTAAAGAAAATAGTGATTAATGTATATCAAAATTTATTATATGTATTAAATTAAATTGATGTTTGTATTAAATTATGAATAAATGATATGAAGTAGTTATTTTAAAATAAAAAAATTAAATACAAAAAAAAATGACAAACAATAAATAAATTTGACCTTTAAACTCATAATTACACTGGGCATATAATTGAAAGCACATCCATCTGCAAACCAAATGTAAACTAAAAACAAATGATTAAACTTATATACTATATATTTGCATAACTTTTTTAAAGAGTCTAACAATAACATACACCCAGAAGCAGAAAGTGCCTAAAACTGTGACGTACGTCGCAGAACAAATCAAGTCCTGCAGAACAATTTGTATCTTGAATTAGTGACAGCGTTTTCCCGCGACCTCCCGTCCACATGCCTCCGATAGTTTTGCAGAACAATCCCCAACCCTAATCTCATACATTCTTTTAAGGCAGCCCTTACTTTAATTTTCGGACCTTTATATCATATGCATTTTATTAATAATTCATCATCATCGTCATTAGCAAAATTTTGTACTTCAAAAGTGATTGAAAAAGTAACAAATCAAGAATGTTGGTCTTGGTTTAAAAAATAATGTAGTGTATCTGTGCATGACCCTGTATTTTAATGAAAGAAAATATAATATTTTAACTTTAAGTTGACCTCTTTTCGCTGTGAAATGCTTGCAGAACATTTGTATAAATTAATAAGTCCTGTTGCAGAACATTTGAAAATATTCTGCTTATGGGAACATACACAAGCTACAATGGGTCAAAACACAATTATATTTTTATTGCAAATATTCGCTTCTTTCTTTAAAATTTAACATTACAACTCTTTTTATTATATTTTGTCATTGTTACGCTGAGCTTAACTACATGTCAAAGGAAAACTGAATGGATGTAAAGAAACAGCTGCTTGGGGAGTTTGTGCTCTTGGAGATGTGCCCCTGATGTCCTTATAAATCTCTTTTTACTCTAAGGGCTTCGTTTACTGCTGAATTATAATAGCGCATACTATTGAAATCGGGAGAAAACAAAAAATATTAAGTGTGTGCGTGTGTAAAAAAGAAGAAAGACACTTCTTACTTATCTTAACAAAGGTATCTGGATTAAAAAGGTTCAGATAATCAAGGTTCATCTGTATTTAGGTTTCACACAAGCAATAAAATTAGCGATTGAGTGGAACTACATAAGTTATGTTTTGGGCTAAAAATACAATATGGTAGGCAAATGTAAATAAATTAAGGTTTTACAATCAACAGGTTCTACACATATTTTAGGAAATTTATAAATTATTGTACATATTTATGCAATAAAAACAGCATTATAATTTAAAATGTTGTAAGTTTTAATTTTCAAATATTTTTAACATGGTATAGTTTTAAAAATCTCATTTTTCATTTTACTAATATTTGAAGTGTGTGATCCTTGAATAGTACATTAAAGAAATAATATTATTATTTTTTTACCTGCTTAATCCCATAGCAGGGCTGATAGTGCTCCGAAAAAAATCCGGATTCTCGGATTTTTCGCTAACAGTGATCCGGAAGTTTTCGGAGATCGAAAGTTCAGACGTTTAAAAAAATCATTGATCACAGAAGTTTCCGGAAATCAAATTTTCAAAGGTGGAACTTAAAAACACAGTTTTTTTTATTTGTTTGTAAGGGAGAGCCAGAGATATACTTTAAGCTTATATTCATGATTAATATTCATTTTTTATCAGTAAATAATTGTTATAATCATGAACTCAAGAAAGAAAGACATATTTGTAGATTTTAATTGCTTCTCCAGGTCATCGTAGGTATGCGTAAATGATATAGCTATGTGTAAAATTTTAAAAATATTTTAATTAAACTAAGAAATATTGAGAAAAAGGGGGAAAAAAATGTTCGAATTTTTTTTCTAATTTTTCAATTTAAACTTTTTTTTTAATTCAAAAAATTTTCCGGGATTTTGACTTGGGCTCACAATTACCCCCGCCCATAGTAAATCCAGTTTTTTTTCCTTTCTTCTTTTTAAACAATTATTGCTCTAAATTTCCAAATAGTATTCAAACTAGGAAGATTTTTAACACTAAAATTTTGTGACACAAGAGTCCGGAATCGTGCTTTTGAGTAATTACTTTATGAGGTGCTCTATTTGAGATGATTCTGTTGTTAATTCACATTTGTCTATCACTTTTTAGGCAATATTGTTATGGGTTTTCACAGTTTTTGAAATTCTGAACGATAATATGAGTGTCGATATAAGTAAATATTTCTAGTCATAAATTTATCAATGGATAATGACTTGTTGACAATTGTTGCAATGTCCTTATGCTGGTGCGAATCTTAACTGTATTCATTCTGACACTCAGGCATTATTTATATTTTATTGAACTGAAAGATAAATCACAGTTTATAAGTTTTGATATAATAATTGAATTTTCACTTGTTAAGCATTTAGTCCGAATCTTATTAGCATTCGTTGGGCCTGCTAATTGATAAGCACATGTGATATCAGTTTATTCAAAACATATTTATAAATGTTATAAAATTAGAAAATTGTTTTTTTCTCAATCTGTATAATCTCTCTATTTATAAGTATTCTTTTATTTAGGGGATATACGGTACACGGAGATGAAAGGTCGTGGAAATGCTGTTATTCGATTTACATCTGAACGTGAAGCACAACGTGCTATTGGTATCCTTTTGAATCAATTCATTTGGCTGATCATTTGTAATTAGCTGTCTTATAGGTTTTAAATTACACTAATCTCTCATTTATAGGCGAAGGCAGGGGACCACAAGAAAAACATGGAAACCATAATAAAGGGCTTAAAAATAGAACATCAATACTTTTACTACATTATATTGCTAATTAATCCTATGTATACTCTACTGAACATTTAAATAAGATGAGGTTCAAAATTCAATGCATTTAACTATAAATTAGTATTTAAAAAAAATGCTTAAATTTAATTTTGATTCTGATTATGAATTTCTTGTAAAATAATTTAAAATCAAAGTTTATTTTTGGGGGTTGTTGAATAAAATTTTAAAGGTCCGTCAAGATGTATAAAAGCACCTTCGCTTCATGAAAGAAATTGAAAGTAATCATGCAGGGTTTCTATTGGCTCTAAAGCGGCTGTGTGAGTTGGAACTTTTGTAGTATCTTCATCATTTTCATCTATCTCTTCTCCCATGTCACTACTGTTTATTTCAGCTGAAATTTCTCCAATTTCCTGCAACTGTGTTGTGATTAAATTTTCATCTCCGTCAACAAATTCGTTGAAAGTACAATCACCCAGTCCACTAGATACAGCATTCTAATTATCTTCGCTTATGTCATTTTCATTATCTGGCTCCTCACATTTAGTTTCTTCTGGAAGCAAACATAAAATACAGTGCCCGCCGTTTATTAAAATCACTTTCGTTTTATGTTCTTTTGATTTTATTAAGCGGCTGATTTTATTAAGAGGCGATTCAACATTTGAAAAAAAAAAAAAAAAAAATCTAATTTTTTGCATTCTAAATGCACACACTTTAAAAGCTGAAATAATGACAACGTTAATGTTTCATTTTAACTAATTTAATTATTTTAATAAAGTAAAACCCTACATAAGATTAAATTGCAAATAGTAACCGATCAATGGTTGCTTGAGTTGCAGTACTTAAAATTAACTTTTCAACATCATTTGAGAGTTTATAGTTTTCGATATTTCCTCCTCTTTGTTCTAAGCTTGCCGCAATACATTAAGTGCTTTTCTGANTAACAAAAGAAACTTCTTTCTCTCCCTTCTATGGTTCATTCAATAAAAAGTAAGATAAGAATTCAACCCCTTCGACCCCCTGTTGAATGAGATGGGTTTCTCCAAACTTCATTCAAGTCAAGGAATTGACACTGTTAAATTGATTTCTATGAACTCGCCGCTTACCACCCACATTTTTCCTTAACTCTTACACTATGAATATCGCAGGAAAGTGCTAACCACACCAGTTTCACAGGCTTGTGAGTAACTATTGCTTCTTCTAAAAAAGTCTTTAAACTTCGAAAAATTAAAATTTTATAAATAAGGACAAAAGAAGCTGAAATATCGCACTTTTGATTTATTATGTAGTCAAAATTTTGATTTTAAAAAGCGGCGGTGTTGATTTTATTAAAGGATGTTTTTAACATGTATTAATATTGTAACGATTCGGTTCTTGCCGATTTGATTTTATAAAGCGGCTGATTTTATTATCCAGTGATTTTATTAGCGGCGGGCACTGTACTGCTTTTTGACAGCATCTTTTAATGCATTTGCCTATGATGCTCCTCCATGATGAGCACATGCAAATTGCATCAAGGACATTGATTTGCTTTATCTTATTTTTAGTTTGAAGTTTTGTTTCCACAAAACCAAAAGACTGCTAAGTTTTCTTTAGTGTACTTTTTTTTGAGATTATGAGGGTAAAGTTATGTTTCAAAATCTGGCAGTGCTGAAGTTTTTTTCTTCTTTCCAATTTTTGATTCCACTCGGTAGAAAAACTTACTTGTGGATTATTCGAATTTATTTTATTATGAATGACTGTAAAAGAAAAACATCTTTGAAAAATGGGGTGACTAAGGAATAATATGTGCAGAATGTCTGTTTGCATCATTCTTATTAAAACACAACCTGCCCATAAGCTGTATGATGATATTGGGCCTTTATTGGAAACTATTTTTTTCTGATAACGAACTTGCAAACAACTATAGATGTGGAAGAACAAAATCTACAAGTATTATGGGAGTACCGATCCAGGAGTTTCCTTGTCTTCTGGATTGGTTCAAAATTACAAGGCTACGGCGTTGAACATTTGTAGTCGTAAACCCAAAAATTGGGTCGACTGTTCAACGGCGGTCATAAAATAAAATAAAAAATAGTATTCTGGGAAAGTTGGCTGCTTGAGTAACTGAAAAATTAACGATTATTTTCTAAAGACAGCCCTTTTCAGTTGCTACTGACGATAGCAACGATTTTTATTCGAAGCTGTATATCGTGATTGTTACTTTTTTTCAATCTCGAATCAAAATCTGTTGAGAATAATTTATTAGGTTTACTAGCTTTAAGTAATGATAGCACTGTTATAAATACTGGAAACTTTGTTATAGGTCTTTTAAAGATCCTCAAAATACCTATTACAAACTGCATATTTTTAGTGTCTGATAATGCACCTGTGAGGGTGAAAAAGAAGGCGAGCGTTGTGACTGTTTTGAGAAAGTTTCAATCGAATTTGCTTTGATATTTGTTATCTTCTAAATTTAGCTGTCTAAAGGGTTAGTTCTTAACATTTATGACTCCTCGTTGATATTTATTTTTATTTCAAAAGAAGTTCTAAGCGGATTGAAAAATTATGTGAAATTACATTCCAAAAGTTGCATGAAAATTGTTGAAACATGTCTGCTTAAAATTGCGTTCTGTTGGGATGTTTTGATAGACTTCTAATGCTAAGATCAAATTGGAGAAATCTTCCAATAGTTTGAATACACTAAATAGCTACACTATTCTGAAAAAAGTAAAGGCTAGTGACATGCAGGTACCAGACACAATGAAAAAAAAAAAAAAAGTCACCTCAATCAAAATATGTGGAACCAAAAATTCTCAAAAATGAAAATAATGAGAATACAAAAAACTACAAACAAGCTAAAAAAGAACTTATAAAACTATTGAGGAAAAAGTTGATGAACCCGTGTTCGATATTAAAAACATTCCTTTCAAGGGAAGAAAGATTGCTGTATATTTTATCATCTGAAACCAATAGGCTTATTGCCTTTTCAATACTTTCATTTGCCCTCATTTTGATAAAATTAACTGTCTTTTGCAATTTTAGCAGCATTTAATTCACAAGTTACATTAAATTTTATTGTGTTTTTAAAACGATAAGGATGAAAGCATCCCAAGAAAGCCATAGCAAAAAGAGGAACGTTCTTGTGGTAAGTAAACTTGTGTACTTACTACAGTACTAAGTAACCTTTTCAAAAGGATGAAAGCATCCCAAGAAAGCCATAGCAAAAAGAGGAACGTTCTTGTGGTAAGTAAACTTGTGTACTTACTACAGTACTAAGTAACCTTTTCAAAGTGAAAATTTTTGCACTATGCATAAGTGAGAGGTGTATTTTCAAAACAGAACATAAACGAATAAAAGTTATCACTGTTTTTATATATCCCCATCCAGGACTGTAAGAAAAGGGCACATAAATGAGAGATCACTTTATGTTTTACAAATTTTGTGTTGATAATTTTTTTATAACCATAACTTAAATGCCTTTAATTGTATTCTCAGTAAGTTTCTGCCTACTAGCAAAGTAAACCATACAGTGTGACAGTAATATTTTACTTGATCTTTGTTTAATATTTTCATTTTTTTTGCATAAGGGTATGATATATTTAGTTGCTCCCTAAAATTTAAATTTGAGGAATGCCCAGAAATTAATGTATGAAATTAGAAATTAGTTAATAATTAAACTGTGCTTACTATTCTGTTACTGTTTATCTTAAACCAATAAAATAATACTGTAAATTTTTTTATTTTATTATCTTATTTTTCAAATCAATATCTCTTTTTTATCATTATTGGGATCTTGTTAAAAGTTGGATTCTACTAAACCTATAATAATAATCTAAAAATAATACCTCTAGGTTAATAATAATTTATTCTTCTGGTTAATATTTAAAATAACATGGTTTGATGTTGATGTAAAGGATTAAATGTATATTTTTTTCCAACCGATTAATATTAGGTGCATTAATGTGTTGCCATTATTATACATTTGAAAAAAATATTTTTGAACATTTATTTTTGGAGGTGTTCTAATTCAGGTTTTTGTTATTTATTTTAGAAAAATTAACAGTGTATGAAAAGATGGATCTTCTTAAATTAAAATGTATCACTCAATAATTGCTCATTTATTTTTATTTGTTTTCTTAATGTAAAAAATCATCTAATGATATAAAATTATTCCTTTATGATCTAGTTAAGCATATAAGAAGTTAATGAGCAGTGACTGTTTGAAGACATGGTTTATTTATATTTTTGTTAAATAATCTTTGTAATTTCCTTAACTCTTTCTCAGATTATATGCGTAATCTTCGTATTGATGGTCGTCTATTGGATGTCTCATTCTACTAATTATTCTTTTTCATCTTTGACTGCATTTTGGCACTTCATTTTAACTTCTTTGACTATTCATTGACAACCTCCCCTATTTCGAAACGAAAACCATTGTCGAACTTTTGATTTTTAGGAGAAGGACGGAGTTTTTTTTTTTCCAAAGTTTTTAAATATTGCATCGACGTCGAACTTCCCCCCTTCATTTTCATTCTCGTGCAGTCTATCAACATTCTGAAAATTTAATCAATATTGTTTCTCTCGCTGATGGACGAAAGCTTTTTTTGAATCAACATATCATTTTTGCTAAATTCCCTATAAACATTGATCTATGGATTCCCTTGTTAAAGACATATAGTTTTTCCAATATTTTTTGCCCTAGAAACATCTAAACCGTAGTGTAAGTTTTGTTTGTAACTTGTGACTTATATTCGTTTAATTAGCATTCCATATGGATATTCATTGTCTTTGTGCAAAATCTGTAAATCCAAATTTGCTCCATTGTGTTTAATAAAAAAATGTTTTTTCCTCTTTTTCTTGTTTGTTTATTTCCTGTTTAAATTTTATCTTCCATTTTTCATTATACTGATTTTGAATGTATATAGTTTGCTCTTTTTCAAATGGGATTCGTTTTTGAAATCATAAGTTGCGTAGTTTTTAAAAAAAAGTAATATGTTCATTTGTTTCAATTGTTTCTTATACTACCTCTAATGTAGCAGCATGCTATACTAAAATGATATCCAGAAATTTAAATTTTACATTTGTTTCATATTATACACAAATTTTTTTTTATTGTATCCAGGAAAATGAAAATTAAGTTTGTTTCATAGAATATAATCTTTAATATTGCAGCCTGCTATAATGTATTAGTATGCAGACATTTAAATTTTACATTTGTTTCAAAGAATACTATGATTCTCTTCAATTGTATTAAATGATGTTGAATTTTCATTTGAAAAAGAGTCTTCATATCGTATTTAATATTCAAAAGGTTTGTTTGATCTGATTTTTTTTTCATAGAATAAATAATCTTAATTGCATTCTTTGTTACATTTATTCTGTTGTGCTTGGTATTGTACATGAACTTAACATTTGTTCAAAAATATATCTTTTTATAAATCTGTATTTCTTAATTGTATTCGAAGAATCCTTTAATCTTTTTAACATTAAGCAAAAAGATGCTTTTGTTCAACATACAATACTTCCTATTTGTTTTTACAAAAATGATAATTGTCATTCTTTTATCTTTATAGCGTTTAAAGTCTTTGTTAAAGCCTTGTCTAAGGCATTTGAATTTTTGAAGGTTTTCAATTTTTACAACTTACGAAATTTTTATAATTTCCAAGTATTTATTTATTTTTCTGACAGAAAAGAGAAATTCTTAAACAATCTACATTACTTTCATTATTTTTTTTATCTACCAATCTTCAGTATATCAGTATTTGATTATAGGAGTGAGCTTATCTATTTTTAAAGTCAGTACCTCTTTTGTCGTATTGTTTGGAATTGTTTCAATTTATAATGGTCTCTTTGTTATTAGGGCTTGTTTTAATTGTGGAAAAAAATAAATAAATTTGGCGGCAAAAGATTGTTTAAGCAAAAATAAAACAAAGTTTTTATTTCTGTGTTGAGAGAATTAAAATTAAACCTTCATTTATTTAAAGAAAAAACAAGTTTTTTTCTATTAGATATATACTACAATTTCAAAATTTATATATTGACTAATTCTAAAGTCAGTTTGCTGATATATAAAAAGCAAGTTTAACCTTTTTACTTAAGCAAGTGGTAGGGTTTGATAGTATATAGGTTTTGCACTTGTATTTTTTAAAATTTTGTAAATTCAGTGTATTGGCTATTGAAATTTGCCCCCTATTTTAAAGGCAGTACTTCAAAGCATACAAGTTATAAAAAAATACAAATTGTGTACCTTTAAATTGATCAAAGTTAAAATTAATTGTAGCTTTTATTTATTTTATTTTTCTGATTAAAGGTCTTAGTTCAAAATAGTGTGAACAGTAATTTACTTTTGATTCACTTTCTTTCATTAGGTCACTTTTTTGTTGTTTTGTTTTAGGTTTTGAATATTTTTTTAAATGCCTCTACTCCTTTTCTTGTAACTGTTAACTTCCTCTTAACTATATTATACAATGCTCTTTGAATTAGTTTTACTTTATAGATTCTTAAAATCCTAACTATTAAAATTGTTGAAAAGCATTGTTTTTCAATCTTTATTTTTACTTTTTAATTTTTTATTGAATTTTAATATTAAATTTTAAAAATAATTTGTAATTTTTATTTTCTTGTTTAAGTAATTCATTTAGAGAACATTAAAACCAAATTATCTTTTTTGTGAAATACATTCCATTGAGTTAATTGATTACAAAAATCTTAACTTCCATCACTTTTTTTTAAAATGTGGTTTGTTTGTTTATTTTAATAAGTCTAGTTGATCATTGAATTTAGTTTCTTTCAGTTTTATGGTTCTGATAGTTTATTGTAAGTTGTTTAATTATCATTCTTTTTACTAAGCTTGTTATTCTAAAATTTGTTTTGACTATGTTTAAAATTTTGTTTAACTTTTTCTTTTTAACTTATGTGATTTTGATCGCTTTTTTCTGCTCTTTAATTTACAAGTAGCCTTCTATTACCTAAATGGTGTTACTCGTCTCAATTCATTTTAAATTTTTAAAAATTCATTTTTCTGCTTTCTAATTTGCAAGTAGCCTTCTTTTGCCCAAATAGTGTTACTCTTCTCAATTCATTTTAAATTAATAAAAATTCTGTTAGTTTTACTTCAGGATTAAGAACATCACTGTGAAGCATAATTTTTTTATTTTAAGACTTCTTGGTTTTTATTTTTAATATCTTACTATCAGTTTGAAAAATATTTTTTTTTCCTTCTTTCAATTTGAAAAGATTTTTTTTCTTCACAATTTGTAGTTTATAAGAAAGATGTTAGCCTGTTTGATAAATTAAAATGATTGTTTTTTTAAGAACAATTATTTCCTACATAATATATGACTTTCTTATCTATTGTAAATGTCTAAGCCTTTTTTCTTTCCTTTTCTGGTTTGCATGTATATTACTCTTATCAACATTCTATTAAACATCTATCCTCATTTCTTTTGATTGTGTTCTGAAACTTCTCTTTACTATTTTTAAGCACAAAAACTATTTCTCTTAGCATGTATCATTTAACTTTTCAAACAAAAGAGTTTATTGCTTTAGTGAAATACCTCCCTAACATTTATTTTTCATAATTTTTATAAATAGGGATTAATGTGATTCTAAGGGATTGTTGTTGTATTTGTTAGTGTTTTTTTGTATTTATATGTGAATGCAGAGAAACGTTGAAAAATCTTCATATTTCACTCCATTTTAAATTGTTATTTGTTAACGGTTTGTTTTAATATTTGAAAGCTTCGATTTATATAAGCCTGATTGGTTGATTTACATTCTAGATAGTTTGGTTAGTGGTTTTTTAAAGTTAGTTTGGTTAGGGGTTTTTTTAAAAAAAAGAAATTCCGATAACTTTTCTTGTTATATTTCTTGTTAAAAAATTGATAAGATTAAAAAAAGTATAATATCGATATTGATTATAATTCAGTAGACATCTCTTAAGCTATTTTACTGTTATATTTTTATGACTTATTAAACCAAAGTTTATGAGAATCTCCATAGCAGAATTTTTTTTTAAACCAGTAATATCCAAATATTGCTCTTTTTAATGAGGAGTTTGTATTGTAGGTTATTAAATTCAAATGTAGTGAAAATGTCTAGTAATTCTAAGGAACATGCTTCTTGGTTCTTGTATTCATAGTTGGTTATTATCATCTAAATAATTATGTGTTCTTATGCACTAATAATATTTTAGAATGTATATGACTGTTAAGTTGTATTTACAATTTTGTTCAATCTTACCTTTATAGCACTCTCCAGTCTTAATTATCTGATGGCGAAAGAGTAAATTAAGTTTTGAATCTAGCAACTAGGCTTAATTTTATGCATATCATCAAAAAACGACTTCAAAATAATTTGTTTCCATGACCAGCTTATAACCATCAAAATGTTTTGCAGCATGTTCATAATAAACTTATATAGAGTTTCTATATTAAATTCTAATTTAAATTGAAAAAATTCAAAAGCATCTAGCATGGATTTTACTGTAAATGGACATTGTTTTAAAATATGGAAACTTGATTTCAAGAGTAAATTTCATTCAAAAAGAAAAAAAATAATTTTTATCAATCTAAAAGTTTAGTTTAAATTTAATTTTCTTCCAAATTCTATTTTCTTAGTAACTAAGAGAAAAAAAAATTTTTTTATCAATCTATAAGTTTAGTTTAAATTTAATTTTCTTCCAAATTCTATTTTCTTAGTAACTAAGAGAAAAAAAAGTAATTCATATCAAATTAATTTAATTAAATCAAGACATTCTGTGTTTGCAATTCAAAATCAAGGGGGGGAAAAATTACAAATACTACCAACTTGTTTTATGTAGAATCTATAAATATTTGAAGTGTGCTTATTGCCACTTCTTTAAAAATTTACATCCTATGTACATTGCTATTTAGTCTATTCATATCAGCAAATTAATCTTTCTTTGTTTCGTATCAAAATGAGTTTTTTCTAATACAAATATTTTTTTATTAACTTCTAGTTGACTATTTTATTAGAAATTTAACTCCATTGCAAAATGGTCTCATTTTCTTCCAAATTCCATTCGCTCAATAGCTTACAAAAGAAAAAAATATTTAAAGCAGAAAAGAATCTTTAAAAATACAAACTCTTGATTGTGGAATCCATAAATATTTGAATTGTGCTTACTGCTACCACTTTTAATATTGTTACATTAAATTAGGATATACTGTTTGCTTATAGATAAGTACATTGCTAGTTGTTCTATGTTTATCAAAACTTATGAAAGGAAGATGTGGAAGTTCATATTTCTTCCTTTTGTATCAATCTATATTAATTATATCAAGTTTAATGAGTATGTTATTAGTTACAGAGTTTTCATAGTTATACCTTTTATAAGCTTTATTTGGATTTTTTTTTAAAGTGGGTTCTGAAAGCGTAAGTGAAATTATTTTCTATCCTTTGTTGTAGATGTTTGTGCTAGTTTTTCATAGAAAAAGTAATTTGATAACACCTCAGGTTTATTTTTCGCTTGATATCTATATGTATCTTGTTCTTTATTTTCACGTTGATTTCATAATAATTGGTTCTGAAGCAAAATTTTCCAGGTGCTTTTTTTTTAATTAAATTTTTTTCATTATTTGCAATCTTTGAATAATTTAAACACAGTTATTAAATGGTTCTAAAATTTCAAGTATTCTGTTGGTTTACGATTTCATTTCTTACATTTTAATATTTGTTACTACTTTATCACCAGAAGAAGTTCTCATGACTATCTCTTTGTGTAAATGGTAAGTACAAGTGTTCTATGTTTTTAAAAGAATTTTAGTTTATCAATGTTATGTATTCTATGTTTTTAAAAGAGTTTGTTTGTTTATCAATGTCAGCATTCCTTTCTTATTTGTTTAACTCTGTATAAATTAAGGACTTGATTAATGGAGAATTAAAAATTGCATTTTAGTTATTTTTTATAAATATTTATTAAAGTGAATAAATATTATAATATTTATTAGAGTTTGCTGATACTGGCAAAGGGCCAGGGGAGTCCAGAATTCCTAAAAGTATGCTTATATAATGTTTAAAGTTATTCGTATTCTAAAGGATATTTTTATAAAATAAATACATATTACACTATGATCCATTGGAATCTGCCCACTTCTCGCTAACTAACACAGAGTATCAACTGTGAGGAAGATGCTGACAGCAGTGAAGATAATGCTGACAGTGAGAGATGGCATTGATTTAAATTATATTAAAAACTTAATTTAAATCACTAAGACTTCTTTAAACATTTTGTTCACTTCTGGGTATTTTAATATTGTTTCAGTGCTTGAGATAAAAATTTGTGAGCAAAGAAAGGTTTAATAATAACAGAATTATGAACATGTGCATAGCGTTTCTAAAAAGTGTTTAAAGGTGCTTTTTTCATGGGGTGTTTTTAATAAGTTTTTAATTTTCTCTTTTCAAAAATTTGATTTTTTTTTTTTCTTTACCATGTCAATTTTTGCTGCAACATTTTCTCAATTCACTCAGCCACAATCCATTTCGGCTTGCCGTCGGTCCGCAACCTATGATTGCGCCAATCGTGTTACCATGTTTGATGAAATACTTGGGAGTTACTACTGAGCTGGGCTCGGTGAGATTTTGCTGCATTTTGAAAGATATTCTCAATTTCAGGCTTCATTTTCCACCCTCTGAAATCAAACCGAAATATCTCGCTACCTTTTTATAATGGCCAATATAATCAAGAAAAGAGTTTTTTTTGTTTGTCAGAAACTAGTTATTTTATCATGATACTGTAAAGTAATTATTTTGCATTCTGTTAATGTTTAAATTGCTTGAAAATATTTTTTGAGTGCTTTAAAAGTGTTTATTGTTTTGTTGAGAGATTTGACTATGCAGCCTGTATGAATTAATCTAAAACAAGTTCGACTAACGGACAGTCGTTTCTGTACCGAAGTGAGTATGCAGTGAAGGCAAGAACAGTACTGATGATCCCCTACGAAACATTATTATGCTCCTGTCCTGAAAGATTAAGTTACTTTATGAAGCATTGCAAGTGTGCTATTAGTAAGCAGTGTTAATGCACGGAATGTAGAGAAAACTCAGGTTCCATCGAATAGTAAAATTATTTTAATCTAAAGACTGCCCTCTCCCACCAATCAACTTAATTTTTTTTTTTTGTCGTACATGGTTTAGTTAACTTTTTCCCCTAATAAACTGTTTGCACGCCAATTTTCAAAAATAAAACGTCCTACTGCAAATCAGTTTGATCAAAAATAAGGCAGAAAATAGTTTTGAAAATGATCTAGGTAAAAAACTTTTATGATCTGTATTGAAAAAAAAAAACTTTGGCAAAGTTTAATGTAAAATATTTTTTATTGCAAACTTAAACAAGATCTTGTGCTTCATTAGTTTTTAGAAACAAAAAAATGAACCTGCCAACAGGAATCAGATCAATTAGTTCCTTTAAAGCAGTGTTTCCCAATCTTATTACTTTTGTGTGCCCTTTCTAAATTTTTCGTAATGCTGTGTACCACTTTTGGGAAACACTGCTGTAAAGCATATTTCCCTGACTCATAGAGCACAAGAATAGCCATTTTATTCACCAAACTTGAATCCAATGAATTTTATTACTTGGTTTGCCTTTAAGACAAAGGTTTGTAATAAATTTCATAATATTTTGGCAGCCCTTAAAAAAAAACTTATGCAGAGAAGTGGACAAAAAGTCACTGAAAATTTATAAAATTGAATAGGTACAATTTATAAATATTTGAAATTTTTATTAAAACCATTTATATTTAAACTATCTGTACTTCCAATTTAAAATATTTGCAGTTATTATAAATGTGTTTTTGCTTTTTTTAAAGCCTTTTGAGATACTTTAATGAGCATTGAAATTATTGTGTTGTATTTCAAGTTATTTCTTGCAACCCTGCATATTTATTTAAAAAATTATGCAGAAATTTATACAATTTTATGGTTTATTGCATAAAAAAGTTATTGTTTAAATATAAGATTCTGCATAATTTAATACACGACCTACCAATGAGTATTTGAGCCCTATTGTTGCGTCTACGGATGTTTCTTCCATTACGAAAACAAATCCTTTGTCCAAATTCATGGTGTGTTCAATGTCGACTCTTACTGCACTACTATTTTGGATTACAATCATAGGGTGTATCCTACGATGTGGCAGTTTTACGGGTTGAATTCTTGATAGTTCTAGGATGACAAAACTAAGTGTCATGATGATTCACCTTGGATTGATTTGTTTATATGGGGATAATTGGATGATCCAGAACCTAGACCTGGCTCCTATTGAGAGCCTCTTGGGCACGTTAAGGGATTGTTTTCTGCGAGCCAAGCGGAAATATTTGGCCATCATGCAAGGGCTACCAATAAGCAAGATTTAAGCTGTAATTATCTGTCGTGAAGGCTCGAACTATTGAATATAGCATAGCTGCCAACTCTAATGTTTTTTCCAGTAGACTACTGGATTTTGCGAGTTTCTCCTGGTCTATGGTTTTAATAAAAATTCTCCTGCTTTTCCATGCATTTTAGAAAATTCCCTAAAATTGAGTAAATTTCCGTAAAAAATCCCTGTTGAAAGAGAATTTTGGTGCAGATTTTTGCTTGCCTGAATATTTAAATAAGTGTCACTAATACATAAGGAAGCAAGCCACATTTATAAAATTTAAATGCCGATTACTATTTAAAAATTATGAATAAGCATAATATATAAAATTTCAAGATCATTTAATGTGAAATTATAACTGGGAAATATTGCAATTTTTCTATAAAGTATATTTTGCAACAATTATGAAATTAATATTATTTCGTAAAATTTAATGGATTTTTTCACATCCGTGTTGGCAGCTCGATATAGTTTTTTTTTTTTTTTTTTTTTTAAATATAAATATCTAATTAAATATATGTAAACAGGTGTCCATATATTTATTCGCCTTGTAGTGTGGTTAAAGTGATTTTGAAGCTAATTAAAGAAAAAATAACGTATCTTGATTAGTATGTACCACGAGTTCAGATAAACCTAGATTTTGAAATGACGTTTCAAATGGTGGGGGAAAAAATCAAAATGCAAAAAATTTTTGCTGAATTTCTTCTTCATTGCGTAATAATGAATAATCCTGATTTAATTTGTTTGCATTTTGAAAAAGAACAGAGGAATTTGAAACTTCATGATTTACTCAAGGTTTACTTGATTTCACCTTTTTTATATTTTAAATTACTTGTGGAGTTGAAAGAGAAGTTGCCATAATGGGTCTCTCCTGCGGTACTGTTCTCTCGATGCAGTTTTAAAAGCGATGTTTTGAGTTAGAGGTTTAACAAAACATCCCTAATGTATGGAATTTCAATTGAGTTTACATTTCATTGAAGTACTTATGAACTAGTAATCTTTTTATTATCAATGTAGGATTTATTTTATAAGAATTAAAAACAATGTATAAATAGAAATAAATTATAAGTATGTCCATCTGCAAGAAAAATTTACTGTCTCCTCAAATGTTAATATTGTTTTTCATTGTGTCTTTTCATGCTTTTTATTGATTTATATAGACTAATTAATTAAATATTTTCAACATGATCTGAAGTATACTAACAAACATAAACTTGCTATGACTTGCCAAGAATTGATTGGAGTCTAGCTACTAGGTCTAGCTGAGTGCCACTGCTTGGTATACATTTGCCCGGTATGCCCTACATCAATAATTTTTTAAGGTCAAGTGCCACTGCCCAGTATACATTTAACCGGTACTCCGAACACTGTTTCTCCTAATCTATCCTCAGCAGGTATTAAAATATCGAATAAATATAATAACATTAATGAATAAATTAAAACAAAGTCGGATGTAACAAATATTTCGGACATTGATCAAAGCGACTATGTGACTGTTGATATTCACCTGTGAAAGTCGACATTCTCTTGATTTCATCGATTCACTGACATTTACAGCAGCCATCTTTTTACGTAATTTGTTACAAAAGTATCTTTTTTACAAAAAGGGGATGGGAATTTTAATGTTGTATTTATGACTAAGCACAAGATTGGTTATATCGCTACAATATTTCATTGATCGTTTCAGCTCTGCTCGAATCTGCAGAAGACTATCTGATACTAGGTAAGTATAGTTTTAATCATAACGTGTCTTATTTCTGTTGACATTTTAATTTAGATTGCATAGGTTTCTATGCAATTATTTATGTTGGTCTCTTTTTAATCTCTTCAGGACAATGATCACATATAAGTGATATCGCGATTACGCTTTACGGCCCGCAGTATCATATATTGAGACTCCAACACCCCCATGAGAAGACACACGGATGTCTTTTCAAATTGAAACGTTCTATTTCAATTTTTAAGCAATCGATGGCGCTTTAGAGTCCGTTATGATTTCTCCAAGAGGGTTGACCTTCAATTTGCGCTTTCAATTCCGAGTTTTTCTTTTTTATGTGATCCTGGTATTTAGACTTGCAAGCAACTGCACTTTTACGGCTCGTTTGAGTGAATTGGGCACGTGAAATACTGCGCTCTGAGTTTTTATTTTCATTAAAAGGGTGTTAGAAAGGGATTGAAAGCTTATTGGTTAAGTAGATGTTGTCGTTTGCAGTTAGGTGTTTACTAGATAGTATATTGTATGTATTGGGTCAGTTTTTGAATGTTTTTTTTTGGGGGGGGGGGATATAATACATTTTTTTTCTTCGTATCATCCTTTTAGGTCTAATCTAAAAAAAAATTTAAATCTCATTGATTACATACAAGTAATTCTTCCTCCAATCTGCAGAAATCCGCCCATTTGATCTTTCCGCTTTAACGGACTTTCGCCATTTTGAATATTTGACACTGTACCGGAATCTAATATCACGATTCATATTCACGTGATTTTAATATCGAACATCGATTTTCGTATTTACCTGATTTAATAGTTACACATAGGATAAACGCGATACATTAACCTATCTGGTACATATGTATACTCTCGGTCCGGAAATAATCTTTCTCTGGTCCTGAATAGATTAAAGGCCAAATATGAGATGCAATGCTTGATTTTTAAGTTATGCTTACAAAGCTCAAAGTTTTCCTTTCTTTAAATGCCCTTAATTATTAAACCTTTCAATAAATGTCTTGAAATTTTTGTGATTTTTCCAAAATTTTTGTTGAAGTTAACAGGAAGGAAAATACTATTTCAGGGTTGCCACTCTACATGGAGAACAGGGAAAACCTGGGAAATACAGGGGATTTAAAAATCACCTAAAATAACAGGGAAAATGCAGGGAATTTTGATTTTTTCCTTGCAAACTGGGAAAATACAGGGAATTTTGTTTCTTATTTTTGTCTTTTAAAAAATGGTGCCCACTCAAAACGTAATCTATGGGATATTTAGCCATGATATTTCAGTTATACTAAACTAGTTCAGCTGTTTTCCCACCGATTGAAACTAATAAATATAGTTAGCCCTATATAGCTCACAAAAGAGCTCAGTAATTGTTGTTTCCTTTTAATATATTTTGTATAATAGTACAGGGAAAACACAGGGATTTCTTTTTCCTGATTTGAGTGGCAACCCTGTATTTATCTAAAGAAGAAAAGAAATTTTAAATTAGAAAATTGTGCGTTACTTTTAAATAAAAATATCTGAGTCTTTTTTTTTTTCTTTTCATTAAAGTGCAGGAACTACTTAAACTATTACCAATTGCGAATCCATGTTGGTATTACAAATTGCTCCCATTACAGAATCAGCATCTTTAAATTGTCCTTAATTTTATAGGCAATTTTGTCCTTAATTTTTGACTTCCAGCCCTGTGCTCAAGTTTAAAAAGTTGTCATTGCATAAACAAATTACAGAAGTTTGAGAAATTTGATTGTAAGAGTTTCTAACCATTTGTAGTCGCAGGCTCAGCATATGACTATTAAAAATTATCTATTATTGTTATTTTCAAAATTTAATTTTCTGAAATGATTAATAGGGCTCAGTCCTACAAATAAGTCAGTGCCAGCAGACAAAATTTCTTTTCTATTCATATTTAATTATCAGAGCTAATTGTTAATATCGCTAATTTTTATAATTACATGATTGGTTACGAGTTGGGTAACATCAGAGGAAAAATAATTATTTCTGTCTTAAAATCATATTTTGTTGCTTATTTAAAATTTGTTTATTATTAAATGATTCAGGAAATAAGCTTAAAATAAATAAAGTTAAATTTATTAAATTAAAAACATACATTGCTGTGTTGCAGACAATTTTCTTTTGCATTTTAAAAACCTAGTTTGCATGCGATTTTAGGTTGTTGAAGTCGACTCCAAGTTGACTTGGCATTATTATTATTTTATTTTTCGAAGTTTCCCCTTTCTTTTCTTAATAAACATTTAAATTTTGATGAAACTTAAAATAGCTTTCTTATTTTTTTTTCTTAAATTTGGAAGTTTAATGTTGCATGCTTGAATGTCTTTATTTTTTTCCAAACCTTGAATATTGATGTTCCATTGTTATTGTAAAAATTTTAATGTACAGTCGAATTCACTCGCTTATATCGAGCACTGATTTAACGAAAAAATCTGAAATATTTGGTTGGTGCAAATAGTACTGCAGATCGATGAAAAATGATCTCGCCTTTAATGATAGAACCATAAGATTTGCTATGTATGCACAGAATTAACAGACTACCCTAAATAACATTTGATCTAAATGATCGGGTCTTCACAGGGCCGGATTGACCTATAGGCACACTAGGCACGTGCCTAGGGCCTACGAAATTCAGCGGCCTACGAAAAACTTGGGAGAAAAAAATTTGTTGACAAAAATAATTTAGCTTTAAAAACAACAAGTGTATTTTGCACAAAATTATGAAGATACAAATAAAAATATAATATTTTTCGGTAATAAATTATTTTGCAGAATCTTATATTACTTTTTTGCGATTTTTGGATTCAACGAAATCTTGTATTATGCTGTCGAATTCCAAACTACGCAAACTTGTCGTATTCAATAGACATAAGTTCGAGCGATGCCAAACGATCTTGATTCATTGTTGAACGCAAATAATTTTTTATCAATTTTAATCTGGAGAAAGATCTTTCTCCTTCTGCATTTGATCCAAGAATTGACAAATATCACTATCAATTTCACTGTTTGCTTTGCTGGTTTGTTGTTGTATTGTTGACGTGAAGTGTTTACATAGTTATCGAGCGAACAAATCATAATGGTATTATCGATATCAACTGCAATATCGGCAGTATGAGGAGTGGGGGAAGGGCCCAAAAAGGGCTATGCCTAGGGCCTACGAAAGGTATAATCCGGCTCTGGGTCTTCACGTTCTAAGTAGGATTCAATCGTTATGGTTCAAGTGCTTTTTGTTATTAAATCTGCCGTACTAAATGAAAATGTTAAGCCTGTTAGAGAAATTTTTAATAACGTTAACGAATTACTCAAAGTAATTAAAATTATGTAAGTACTATATTTCTTGATAAGAAAATAAAAAATAATTTTTTTTCTTCTTCGTTTTACGAACATTTGATTGTAACGAGTGAGTTCGATTGTACTTTGAAATCTAAACATGTTGCCTCTAAATGTTAATAGTTCATAGCTGCCAACTCTACTAGATTTTCCTGTAGACTGCAGGATTTTGCCAGTTTCTCCTAGTCTACTGGTTTTTATACATTTTAGAAAAATCCCTAAAATTTAGTAAGTCTCTTAAAAAAATCCCTATTTAAATATTATTTTTTTTGTACAGATTATTGCTTGCTTGAATAATTAAATAAGTATTACTAATACATAATGAAGTGAACCTCATTTATAGAAATCAGTTCAAAACTTTTTTTTTTTTAAATGTTCAGTTTATTTTTATTCACAGCTCTCTTTTTAAATTAATTAAAATAATCTTTTAACTATGTTTGATGAATTAAATGCCTATTAATATTCGAAATTATGAGTAAACATAATACATAACATTTCAAGTATGTTTAATGTTAATCATAGCTGGAAAATATTGCCGTTTTTCTATTTTGATGACTATAAAATTCCCTATGTGTAAAATATTTATTGTTTCGTAAGATCTACAGGATTTTTTTTTTTCTATCCATGTTGGCAGCTATGATAGTTTTATAAATTCTGAATAAACGTATTTTAATGTTCTTACTTGAATAGTGATTAATAAAAAGAAAATTGAAAATGCTGGTTTTGTCTTTTTTATTATTCATTGGCAATGGCCATGATTTTACATACAATAAAATATGTGGATGATATGAGTTTAATTATAAAAAATCATTGCTAGTACTTAACTTTTAACTTTCGTAAAATAATGAAGTCTGGCTGGTTATTTTACGATCATCAGAAATTAAGCGCTTTTTTTTTATTTGTCTATGTTTATATACAGTTGCTTCATTTACACTTCTCTCATGAATTTAGATCTTGTTCACGGATCGTCTGCGCATGCTATTTTCGCATTTCTTATTTTGTTAGGCTCTGCAGTTCTACTTGAAGTGGCAATAACGTGCGTTATTTTTTTCAGGTGAATCTCTTGATCTTTTTCTTTGACCCACAGCGTGTCATTGTCTCCCATTATTAGAAGAAAGCTCCCTCCTGGAAAAAAAATAATAAATCATTATATTTATAACTTCTTTGCCAACCGATCGGAGAAATCTTCCCTCTTTGTAAAAATTCTAAAACATCCCGAACCTTAAATCGATATCCATTTCTTCAGCTGAAATTAAATGGTTTTACAGACTAAACGGTAAATTGCTCAAGTCATTTGGTAAACAGTAAAAGTACAATATAGAGTAGTGTGTCTATTAAGCTGAGGTGTAAAAAAAATCGGACTGAAACCGTAAGTCTCAGTCCGAATTTCAACCATAAACGTTACTTATACTGAGCGTAATACGGTTCTCTATCCATTAATCCAGGGATGTTTTTCAGGGTTCATACAGGTTCTTATACACAATTTATTGTAGTTAAAATAATTTTTTCAAACCCAGAGATATATGAAGGCATAAAATTAATTTACTACTAGAAAATTTCGTTCGTGAAAGTTTCCAGGTATGGTAAGCAAGATGAAATTAAAAATTGTATTGGGAAGATAGGGAAAAAAAGGAAACGTAATAAAAGGAAAGACCATAGATGGCATAAAGTTGTTGAGAGAGGAATTAAATGTATTGGTATAAATTTGAATTAAGTAAAGCGTTTTGCGAAAAACCTTGTGCAATTGAAGAAATTGGGCATAACTGAGACTCCTTTAGGTAGTGAAGGGGTTGAAAAAGAAGTAGGAATTATAATAATTCATGACATTGAAAAAAATAAATTTTTTTTTATCTAAAATAAAACTACTAATAATGTCAGTAACTTATATGAATGCCGAAAATGGTTGAGTAACAATATTATAAAGCGTCAATATTCTGCTTCAATTTTAGTGATGGTATCAATATTATGCCACTAATAACAACTTTGCGAGTATTATAAAATAAAATAAATCATATACGAAAGCCGTTTCGGAAATGGGAGGACTCAAAACCAAGATATTCGCGAACAAATTTATTTCATGAATTTCGATCAAACCAAATATTTTAATTATTGAACTATAAAATTAATCTCAATATTGTGAATAGACTTTAAAAATCCAACCATGAAGAAGAAAGATTATAACATAGAATTATGGTATTTTCCTTGGAGTACTCTTTCGACGATACGTAAATAAAGTAATTCTACCGTTTTCAACGAAATTAAGGGATAGAGAAAATATCCAGGGCTCGAAAAAACTCAGAAATTTTACCCGTCCCCGAGGACGGCTTGTCCAACAATGTACCCGTCCTCCGTTGAAACTAACCCGTAGCTTCTAAATAAATAAAAATATAATTTTCTCTTATTTATTACTAACATTTATATAAATTGCACAGTGAATTAGTAGTTACTAGGATTACATTATACAGTAATAAAATAAATACTTGGTTACTAATAGCAAAACCTAGTATTTCTTTTATGAAATATTTTATTTCATTTATGAAATAATTTAAATGACAAAGGTCAAGTTATCTGGAATGTCAATTTATCCGAGGGTACTGCGTTTCTGAAATGAATCAAATATGACGTTTGCCAGTTCCACAATCAAGCCAATGATTTACAGAGGCTTCCGCACAGAAATCTGAAAGGGGTTTTCCATTGAGGTAGATGTTCATAATTGCGTTTAACTCTTGTTTAAGACCAGTACGTGATGTGTTTTTCTGTAAGTTCATTGCTGAAAAGCCTCTTTCAACCGCTGCAGTGCTCCAAGACAGAGAAAGCATTAATTCCACCATGCACAGTATGTTGCTGTATTTCTAGATTAGAGGGTCATTTCAGATGTGAGGCGCTAGACTCTTGTAAGATAAAAAAAATTGAAAGTGTATCATTAACGGAAAAATGCCCATCAGCGAGAAATTTTTGACCACCCAGGACGGACGGTTTTTCGAGCCCTGGAAATATCCTCAAATCAACAAAAGGTTATAATTTTAAACTAGGAAAACCAAGACTAACAGCAAGTCGAATTTTCCGACAAGACGATGTTTCTCGTCGATCAAGTTATAACGATATTTTTTTTTATGATTCGAGTTATCGCGTATTGACTCTCAACAGACCACGAGTGATTGGTTGAGTTTCTGGCTTCGTTTTCAATAAAAACACTTGCTGTAATCTTACTTCTAATTTATTCTTTTTATAATTGTCGTTGAACAGCCGACCCAATTTTGGGTTTACTACTACTAATGTTTAACTCCGTAGCCTTGTAATTTTCAACCCAATCCAGAGGACAAGGAAACTCCTGGATCAGTACTCCCAAAGGTATGATTTGCTATGGGAACAAGAAGGACTTAGTGACTCGACAGATTTAACGTGCATCAGGGTGCTACGGAGTTGAACATTAGTAGTGGTAAGCCCAAAATTAGGTCAACCGATCAATGACGGTTATAAAATTAAAAAAATGACTATTAAGAATTTTTACTTACTCCGCTGGAGTAGTGGACACTCGCATCCCTTGTCGTAGTGTAGTGCTGCGAATTTCTTCACTGTAATAGGTTTGGCGAGCAAAGGACTGACATCTTGTATTATTCTCACAGAATTGGCGTCGACAAGCCGAACTTTCAGTACTATAAATGACAAGTTTATTTTGTATAAAACATGCTTTCAAGAGGAGTTTCTAAAATTTTTCAGAAAATCTTACCAAATGCAGATCCGCAGTATATTTCTTCAAAATTTTCTGGAAATCTTTCACTGCATATTGGACAGTTAATCGTAGATTTCTCTGTAAGTAAATGAAATGGGTACATAATTAAAAAGAAAAAAAAGTACCTCCCTTTTTAAATAACTTAGGCTCTCTAATTGCTCCCAAACTACTTTTTTTTCATTTCCCACACATATTTTATTTATTCTTCTGTTTTCTAAATATTGTTTTTATTCAGAAATGTTTATTTTAACATTAATTTCTAAACGTTTATATTATGTAACAAAGAATTTTTGCACAATGCGCCAAAAAAAAAAAAGACTACCCTAAATAACTTTTGATCTAAAGATCGGATCTTCACGGTTCGAGGTAGTGATTTCAAATATGCTAATTAACTAGAGCAGACGATACTCACACCAAGAACATAAGTTGACATATGTTCAAAGAGGCTGTTTACGCAACGGCTCTTATTTAGCAAAGCATTAGTTGATCAATTGATTCACAATTTATAAAATTAGCCTTTTTCAATAATGAAATAACGTAGAACCTCGATTAATCGTTTTGCTTTGTGACCATTCATTGTGAACGATAGATGCGGGAAAACGACGTATTATCAAATAATGATTAGAAAATGTATGAAAAGTAATAAAAAAAGCACTAAACTTGGAAATTAATAATTACAAAATTGTTTTAGTTCAAAGAAAGTATGTACTTAATGTGCTAAAATATTTACTATGCAAAAGAAAGCTGAATAAGCACATGTTTTAATTGGGTATAATATAGCCTACGTCACAGGTTGTGTTGTTCCTACAAAATTTAACCCATGAACGGCATTTTCTGCGAGCCTAACTTCAAGCCACAAATAAGCAAACGAAGTGTTCGATCGTTTAAATAGCTGCTCGCCAGATTTTATTGCATTATAAAGAAAAGTAATTGAAACTAAATACAACTAAATAAACAACAACAACTAAAACAAATAACAACAACTACTAATAACAATAACTAAATAAACAACAACTAAATTCCATTCGTTTAGCATTGCGTCATATGTTGTTCCTACTAAATCGAAGTAGTTGTGTTTTTTTCATATTATACCCAATTAAAAATATTTGGAAATTATCGTTTGAACATGATTTTTTTTTCTTTTCATCGATAAAAATTCGACTTTTAAAATCGATTACTGTTCGTATTTTGTAAGTTCGAGTGATTGCAGAAAGTTTCTCATTGTTTAAAAGGTTGAAGTTTTTCCGAAAAACATTGGCACACACATGTTGTGGTTTTGCTTCATCAACATCATTTTGTGTTTCTTCAACTTTTGCAATGATTTCTTGAACAGTCAGCATCGCAAGTTTTAAGAGTTTCATCAACTAATGCACAATAATCTTTGAAGCGTTTACCTCCAAACTGTAACAAATCCCAATTCGCATCAAAATCTACTGTTTCCCTTCTCAAAGAAAAAAAAATATTTCGATATTTTTTTAATGACTGTAGAATTTCTGAACGATAGACGCGGGTATATGCTAGTTTAAAACACGATCTAAACCGGTTTATTAGCATTCTAAGAATTGACGATGCATACAAGAAAACGAAACATGTGGGAACGATGGATTTCGGTTCGACTTTAGTAGTTGTTATTATGTCTAGTGGTTTCTTTTTAGCAAAATAACATGTGTAGCATAAAGTTTTACTTATAATTTAAGAATCGACGGGATCGTTGAAACAAGACGATGCATATGATAAAACGAAACGTGTTGGAACAATGGATCGAGGTTTGACTGTAGTAGTTGTTATTATATCTAGTTGTTTACTTTTTGCAAAATAACAAGTATAGCATAAAGTTTTACTACGAATTTAAGAATTGACGGGATCGTTGAAACAAGACGATGCATGCGGGAACGATGGATCGAGGTTTAACTATAGTAGCTGTTAGTTTTTATGTCTAGTTTCTTTTTTAGAAATATAGCGTGTATAGCATAAAGTTATACTTCGAATTTAAGGTACTCAAACGACTTTCGTTAAGCTAAAGGTCTTTGAAGAAGTAAACCTTAACTAGAAATTTTTAAAAAAATATCTATATACCTGACGTTAGTTTCGGTGGAACAACCGTTACTGGAATAACCCCTTCAATGCCTTCTGGAAAATCTAGCTCGTGGTCCACATCTATAAAGTTCGACAATCTACTGGTATTATCATTCATTAGTAGAGAGAAACTGTCATCAGCCAACTCGACGTCCAAGCTGTTTAATGATTCTGCCATCGTGCCATTCTCTGCCATTGTGCCATTCTCTGCCATTGTGCCATTCTCGTCTGTTGGCGTTTGATTTGTCACAGATTCTTCAACTGAAATGTCGAACGTCGTTGTTTCGCCATCCGTATGATTATTGAAATCGGTCATTGTTGTATTATCGATATTTTCAGTAACTGCACTTTCATCGTTGCCATCTTCAAGTGTGGTCGGAATGGTGTTCACTTCAACTGTTTCTGGATTGTTCGTAGACGTGAAAAGATCGAAATCTGTTTCTGACGTCGATATCTCGTCGTTTGAGCTGATCACAAGTGGTGGTAGTCTTGGGAGTTCGGGTAGACCAGGAACAGAGCAGGCTGATGGAATTGAATATTCTTTTGTCACCTGGAGTTCTGTGAGGAAGAATAGAACATTTAAGTATCGAAGCTTTATTAATTTTTTTTATCATTAATAATATATAAAAAGATATTTTTTAAAGCACAGTACGAAATAAAAACGATCCCTGAATAAGTAAGTAATGATCGAATTTTCACGTACTAAGACTCAATGGTTCACGGGGGTCACCTCAAATAGACATACGATATTTTAAAGTGCATACGATATTTTAAATGACAAAATCAGACGCAAAAACGTACTTTCATTGAATATACACACCTTTTTTTCAATGGATTTGGCGATGATTCAACCGATAAAGAGTATTTCATTTCTAGCTTGTTTTCGAGAGATTATTAATCAAAATAAGTACTGATATACAATACAGTTTCTTTCCGAAAAAGAAGTAAACAATTTTGTATTGGGTAAAATTTTTTTCTATTGCATGAGATTTTTAAATAGTTCTAAAATATTTCCGCGTTGCTGATTTAAAATCTGCAATTGGTTTCTTTTTGCAAGCTACAGTTGGTTGTACAAAGAGCGTTGTTATTTTATTATAAAGTTAGCTCATAATACTTAATTATCAATCTTTCTATATTAAGAATAATAAGTTACTGTTCCTTAGTCTTAAAGCTTAGAAAAATAAAAACCTTATTTGATTCCATTTGGTTTTAAAAAATAAATATGACAGTAAATGTTGTCATATATAAATGCACCTATTAAAACTGTAATTATTCAGTGAAGTCAAGGATATTTGATTCCTTCTTTAAACAAGCTAGAAATTAAATGGTTTTACCATTAATTTTTTCTCATTTGCGGTTGAAGATTTTCGATGGTAAGTCATTGTAAAGTTTTATAATGGAGTGAAATTCAAACCAACAGATTGAACAATGTCGCAAATAATTTCCGGCAAAAGTTACTTTTTAACAAAATGTATCGTTTAATTCAATTATGATTGAAAAAAAAAGCTTCTAAATTATGATGAGTTTTACATAATTTTAAACTCTGTTAATTTTAAATAATACTATTTCGAGTTTTTATTACTAAGGGACTTTTTAGTAGACTTTTTAAAAAATTTCATGTAGAAATTAAAGGTTTTTGAATAATTTTTAAGAAAATTCACGAATTACCTGGTGTATAGTAATCTTGAATCGTTATGGTGGCTGGTTTTATGTCTTCTACTTCCAATTCATTTCGAACATAGAATGTGAAGCACATTTGTTCGTTCGTCAACTGCAAATCAAAAAATATCAGACAAAGTGGATTGTGAGCATAGATGATATAGGAATAAATTAATGGTTGCCGTTATATACAGTGTGATTAACTGTAACAATGGCAATAAAAAATTGCCCATCGTTGTGTTTATTACTATAAATATTTTATAGCATTCGGAATTTTATTTAAATCCACTCTTGTTAAAAAAAATTTGTTCATTTTGAATAGTTTTTTTTAATTATTTAAATTTTTTAAAAAGTGGCCACAGCATGGATGCCAACTGCTCCGGACACGCCAAAATAATTAAAAAAGCGGTAAATAACTACAAAGTAAATTTCGTAAATATTTGACTATTTTTGCTTGCTTTTTAGAAGGTATAGCATAACATGAATTCTATAAAGTGGTGAATTATGTAAGCCTACTAATTATTTAGAAATAGTGGTGGATAAATATCTACTAAATTGAATTTATTAAACCAGGAATCACAATTGATAAACTACCACTTTAAAATATATATTTGCTGTCCGGAGCAAGTTGGCATTTCTGCCACAGTTAAAAATGTCACAATTGGCCAGTGGTGAAACTCCCCAATTTTGCATTATAATAGTTGGAGTACTGTGTACATGCCAAACGACACATTTGAGAATATTGAAAGAGTAGATAAACAGAGGGTCCATTTTTAACGGTCCGTAAAGTATTTTACCTTTACTTTCCACCACGTATAATCAAGGGCGCTGGCAGAATAATATAAAAGGGGGTGCAACCCTCTAACAAACTACCCTCCCCTCGAAAAAAAATTAAAATATTCTGCTATTACATTTTGTTTTGTTATTACATATACTTTCATCTGTTCATTTTTTCAAGATACGTTTCTTCATTGTTAGCAAGATATTTAAAAAAAAGTACGAATTTCTTGTACTTACAAATTTTGCCCAGAAGCCCTGGCGCTGGCATAGCTACTAACTTTGAAGCACAAATAACTACAAACAGTAGTTTCGTATACTAACGTGTTTGTGCACGCTGAACATTGGTATTAATTGTGTTGATGAAGTTTTACAGTTGCGAGAAGTCAGCAAGTGTTATACACCTTTGTTAAACTGAATAACTAATAGAAAATATATTATTTACATTTTATTAAATGAAATTTAAAAATATAGCTTAGATATCTGCCAAGTTTGTGAATGCTCAGTGTGCATAAGAAAAGAATCAAAGATGACTCAGAATTCATTGAAAAAGTTAAAAACAGATTTGGACAGCAAACAAGACGATTACAATTCTTGTTTGATTAAACCATTTTTTAATTGTTATGTATCAATAATTACTTAATTATTTGTTTTTCCATAAAAATATGTTTAACAAAAAAATTTTATAACAAAATTTTTCTGTATCTCTTTAATTGTTTTTTAAAAAAGCCAGAGGGGTGCAAGTGCACCCCCTTGCACCCAGCTGCCGGCACCCTTGCGTATAATTACATAAAAAAAATTAGAATATTACTTATGATTGTACAGTTAATTAAATAAAATGATTTTTTTCCGCAATTTATTTGATCCAATATGTATAAGTGTCATGCCGATTATATGGGGGCATTGGTCCATTATCGGTCAATACATATTTCTAGAATAAAGTATAAAAAAAAAATTTCTATTCACTGAACAAACATTATTAAGGTCGGGAAGAGCAAAGGAAGGATTACAATAATCAGAAACCGGTTAATTTGCTTATAGTGTTAATGGAATGTGTTCGCTTAAAACTTTTGCTGAACTATGTAACTTAATCTTCTTAATGCTGTTCCCCTGATCTTTATTGTTTACCAGCACTGCTGATTCAATGCTTCGAGCTCGAAGCCAACTTTGGCGAAGAACCGTGATGAGTTGAATAGAGCATTCAAAATTTTCGCATTATCGCTCTATCATTGGCGTCATAATTACCACCCTTAAATCATCCTCTAATGTTTGAATGCATATATTGTTGTGTGTTATTAGTTATTTTACTACCATACATGGAAATGCTACTTTTAAATCTATAGTAAAAATTAAGTATAGTAAAGTATAAAGTAAAGCGAAAAATATAAAATGCAAATAAAAGTCTAAATTAAAATGTGAAGTATTAAATAAAATGTGAAGTAAATGAACAAGTATTTGTTCAATCCAAAGAAAGAAATATTTGTTTACGAAGAACTTTAATTTTTCTCACCATATCCCAGTTCAGGAGGAAATGTATGACTCTTGTTTACATTCTTGGCGAGAACAATAAAAGAAAAGTAGTGTTGTTTTCGATAATTTTAATGCTCTACTAAACTACAAAACATTATCTTACCTGGTCAAAATAAAGATTAACTACATTTTCTTCGACTTCGTACCGCTTCAAACTGATGTTTATTTCCGAGTGAAGCTAGAATTAAAATATTATATATATATATTAAAGATTATTGATTATTAACGAAATTGAGGATAATTAATAATAATTCAAAACAAATTGGAGACGGCGGTATTATTCAACCACGAGTAGTTGACAGGAAAGCTTAGCAGAAAATTTCCTTATTCATAAGTGGGGAAAGTTAAAGCGCGCGAAATATGAGGGCGCTTCTTTTGGCGACAATTCTCAAACTGGTACACTATTTCGATTTTTCGGTTCATTACGGTAGAAAGATCTTTAAATAAGTTATATTTTTTACTTATTTGATTTTCTACTATTCGACAAATAAAGGTTCATATTCACTTACCCCTGATTCTCCGTTTCTTTTACGCTTCGACTTGCTTTTCCTTTTCCTAAATCATTGGAACGGACAACTAGACAAATTTTCATTTTATGCGCGGTTTTTTATTTTTTTATTGAATTAAAAGTGTTTTTACTAAAGACATTTTTCATTCAACACATCACCAATTTGTTAATAATAATAAACATACGCCGTTTGTTCTCTTTCTTCATTCACTATAACCAGTTACCTTATTAATCCACCTACACAACACAAAATCCAACATTACAAGGTGATTGGGAAAAAGTGCTCATTCGAGGCCTCAGACTCGCAGTTCGAACACTATAACTAAACAAACTACAATACGATTACAACTCGAAAACTATGACTAAACAAAGTACATTTTGCTCAACTTTGAATCGAATTTAGGCTTAGGCTGAAAATAAAATTGGGCACCTAGGGTCGCTTGGCGGCCGTTATCCCAACCACCCTGATTTTGTGATACAATGAAGTGAAAATGATGAGAAAAGCAAACAATGAGGTTGCTGAGTATGAGAAAACGAGCACCTTGCTTTGTAGAAATAAAAAAAAAAGGAAAACAGAAAGGAAAGAATAAATCTATAAGCTCCAAATGCTGTATGAAAAGCTGATGAGCTGTGTAAAATGATGAGTGGTTGAACGTGATAATCAGTTAGTAGGTGGGGCACAGGTCTTAGATAACGCCCACTTCAAATGCCTTATCTTGGATTTTGCACTTCTATAGCTGACGAAGAAAAGAATATTAGCGGTTTCGGTAGTTATTGTTCGAACCATTACTGCAGTAGTGGGCAGCAATTGGACTGCTGAGATGAATATCATTAGAGAAAATTGATTAACATTTGCTGTAGTACAGTTGACTGCTTTGTCAAAGAAATCTACGTTTAATTTGTAGATGGAGATTTTGAGGTATATGGAATATGGATGTTTCTGATGCATCATCTGGCACCAAAGATGTTGCGCAAAATTTTGCATTGACAGATCTTGTTTTTTTTTTCAGGAGATGAGGTGTAATCGTGCATTAAGCAGTCGACGCGTATGTAACTATGGGCGAGATCATTATGGTATACAAAAGATTCTTTTTTTAGTTTAAGGTTCATTTGGTGGTCAAAGGTTAGTGGCTGGATTTATAGGATAGCAAATTGAGCTTTATCTATGGTGGTTCTTACTGGTTAATTTGTTGTTGATGATAAGATCAAGGTATGTGGCTTTTTATTAGAATATTGAAAAGTGTGGGTTGGTTCTGTGGAAGTATTGGAGCTCTCTTCTTTTGAATGAATAATATTTGAGACTTTTTTGCATTCCGTTAAAGACACCATTCTTCTATTTCATAGAAAATATTTTGATTTAGGAGTGCGATATTTAAGTTTTTTGATTTAATTGCAACCCCTGTGTCATCGGCATAATATGCTGTGATGCCATTGTGGCCGGAAAGCCGCATGCCTAGTTGACCGAAAAGCCGCATGCATAGATGATGTAAAGTATTGGTCCCAAGATACTGCCACAATGGACGCCAGCCGAGATAATACGTTGGGTTGATTTGGTGCTGATTGGTGAAATTTCTATTGGTTAGATAACAACGAATATGTTTGATGAGACCAGATGAAAAGTTAAGCTGCATTAATTTGAATAATGCGCCTTGATGCCATGCTTTACAAATATGTATCATTAAAAAGGTGGCTGATTCTTTATTGAAATCTCGTTTAATGTAAGCAATGATTGGTAATTGCTGCTTTGCAGTGTCAAATTCTTCTCTATATCTATATTGCTCGTCAGGTCAAGAGGAAAGGTACTGTTTTATTCTATAGTAGATGACTTTCTCAAATATTTTTGCCAGTATGCATAACAGGTTTGCTGCTCTGTAATTGTCCTTACGGCTTGTGCTTTTGTTTTCTTAAGAATAGTATTACAGGTGCGTTTTACAGGCCCGAGGTTACAGTTAAAAATCTGAGTGATTTTCTAGATGTAGCTGTTTGGTAGTAATTTAATCATTTTATTGATGATATATCTTCTCCAGGAGTTTTTTTAATCTAAAGTTGGTGGATGATGCTATTAATTTCTTTAGTAGTACTTGAATCGATATTTTGTAGAGCTCTGAGAGAGTTTCGTTTACTACTAGGTTATGATAATCCGGATCAAAGTCGTTATTTGGTTAGAACTGTTTTTCTGGAGAATCTGAAAAGGTTTCCGCATTATGATTAACTGTGTATGCTGTTTCAGAGGGTCCTTGGATAGATTTTTCAATTTGTATTGTGTTTAATAGAGATTTTACCATCCTCCATATGAAGTACGCATAATGTGGTCACTTTTTCTTATCATAGCAGTCTTTCATATTGCTTGCAGTCAAGAATGATCTCAAAGTTTAGAAGACTAGTTTCTTCTCTAAATTCAGGCTTGCCGGTTTTTTGCGACCATTTTCTGCACCAGTTTTTTGATTTCGTTACGGAGTCTGATGCGTTTCTTATAAGTGGAGGCGCTTTTGTAGTCTGCTATAATATCATCTGGAATGTGTATTATGTGATTTTTCTATGTCTTCTGGCATATGGGTTTGTAAGATTGATGATTAATATGTTCTTGAAGATTTTCCTATTTGTTTTAGTGATGGGCGTTCCGACGAGCATTTTTACCGGAAGGTGTCAGCTGAAAGTTCGTTGAGGTAATAGGCGACCATCGGTACTTTCACATTGGAGACTTTAAAATTCAGTATATCAGGTTTTTGATGCGGCACATTAGGTACTTAGGTGGGGGTTAGTGGAGCTATGACTATTAAATTTGTGACTGTTACAATTAGTTATAGATACTGGGTATGTTTGAAAGATAAAAGCATTTAACTCTAGTTTCTATTTTTAATTTGATGCCCAGAGATGCCAACTGCTCCGGACACGCCAAAATAATTTAAAAAACGGTAAATAACCACAAAGTAAATTTTGCAAATATTTGACTATTTTTGCTTGCTTTTAAAAGGTACAGCATAACATAAGTACTATAAAGTGGTGAATTCTATAAGCCTACAAATTATTTAGAAATAGTGATGGATAAAAATCTACTAAATTGAATTTATTAAACCAAGAATCACAATTTGTAAACTACCACTTTAAAATATATATCTGTTGTCCGGAGCAAGTTGGCAACTCTGGATGCCCCTTAAAGGCTTACACTCGGGGACAGATATTCCCTTTTGTTCCCGCTAGCAACTCCCCTGAAGATTCAATCGGTAAATCGAACAGTGTTTTTACAGCAAAATTCACTGTAGGCAGCTAATTAAAGCTTAATTCTAGCCATGTTATGTTATTTCTTACTAAAGCGTAAAAACTTGCCGAAAGAAATGCCCATTTAGCAAATATTTGAAGTGACCAGACGTTCTCAAATCTTGGGGAGGGTCCGCGAAAGCTTTTAAACTGTACAAGCGTAGAAAATGTTCCGAAATTTTAATGAATGTTCTTAAATTTCTCAAATAAAAAAAGTTTAATCATTATGTAATCATTCTTTTTATGTGTATTAAACAAATGCAGAAACTAAGCAGATACGTTGTGTCGTATCTGCTTAGTAATGAAATCAAGTTTAATGACGATAGTTCTGTACCCTGGATATTTGTTATTAATCGGACAAAAATAAATCTTTTTTGCAAACATAAATTAATTTTTTCATAATTATTTGAGTGTCCTTAAATCCTATATGAATTCCAGAACGCTCTGCTGATTCGTCTTGAAATCAAGATTTAGAAATCTGGTCACTTTGCATATACTTCTATATACAAGCGCAATTATTATTATTATATTTTTAATATTGTCTGCATTAAAAAAAAAAAATCGAATTTTGAAAAAGTTGTATTTTTAAAGATTGATTTCTCAGGAGCTTAAATACTGATTCTGCTCAAATTTTGTATTCTGCCATATAAAATTGCATTCCTTAAAATAGAGTAAAATTTTGTATACCCTACAACTTAAAATTTTTTGGACTACATTGAATAAAACAATAAAAAATAATAAATATTTTCTTAAAGTTATATTATCAGAAAATATCTTTGGATCGAATTTCATAATTGTAAAAATTTTTTGAATTCTCTGAGGATCTTGAGATATGATGAAATACGCAAAAAAATAAACTAACATTGAGGGGTCCAAACATTGAACCGCTCTTCTTACCAAACTAATAGAAATCATATTTCACAGATTGCTGCTAGCCCAATGCCTTGGTGGTCAGAAATCTAAATTCGTCAAAAAAGGTACGTTTATTCAGAGATAATACTTTTTTGTTACAGATTTCGTAATTTAAGATATTGTCTGTCTCATTAATTAGTATATTTCAGTTCACCCCTTTGAATCATTAAGATTGAGTCCTAAAATGTAAAGTTCAGTTCATTAGGTGAAAAGTTATTCAGGGTGATCCGTTTTTCAGTGATTCATTGATTCATTCAGTGATGTAGAGTTATTTTATTTATTTAATTATTTATTTATTTATTTAAATTACCAGAGCGCAAATCATCGTAAAAAAAAGAGAGTTAAATTTTTTTTCCTTGGTCTTATCTTATTATGACCTCTTTAATTTTCAAAACTGTAGAATTTGAAAAGTGTATTTTTATTTGCGCATTGATTTTTACTTTTTTTGTCTTAAAAATTCAATTCACAATATTCCGCATACAATATTTAGGATGATACAG